CTGTAACTATCAGAATAAAGAAGTTTTTCCTCAAACGAAAGAACTTCTTTCTCAAATAGTACCTCACGAATCTCGAAAATTTCAGTATTAGCATACTAACAAGAAGTAATGAAAAGAAAAATTCACCTCACTGTAATTATTTCTGCAATTTACATTTATAGTTCTTTAAGTTTTCTTGTTTCGAGTTTACTTCATATGTAATTTACATATAATATACTATGTTCTTACATATAATTTTATAAAGAAGAAAAGCACGGAAAATATTTATTCATTATTTTTAGCAGATTTTGCTGAATTAACATTTAAGGCATAGTAAAATCGCTCCCTGGTAAATGCTTCATATATTCTTTTGTCAAAACAGTCGTTCTTAGTTTATTCTTATTCATTGCATACGCTCTGTCAATTACTGTAGCGAGCAAAGTAGACACAATATAGCTTTAATTAATAAACCGTATATTCCGGCGTATAAAGCGCATCGGTGTATAACAGACACCTATAATTTCAAACTACATTTTTTCAATTTTTAGGTATATTCGCCCTATAACGTGTACCTTTTTCTTCAAGAAAGGATCCAAGAGATACATGTGTGATGCTCTTGTCTTTTAAAGTCATTCATTCGAAGATCTTTTCCAGACTTTGGAACGATGACATACTGAATTAAAAATGATAAGCTGAACAGTATGTGAATGGGGGTATAGAGATATATAATTCTGCAAAGGGGGTGGGTGGTATTCAATGTAAGTGTGCACAAGAATGTTATTCTAGGATTTCGAGAAAAGAGAAACCAGATTTCTTATAAGAACTGATCCTAGTGAGTTCGAGAAATTAGGAGTCAAACGTTTTATCTGAATGAATAATTATATGCTTTACGTAACGGAAATTATTCGATAATTAAAAATTACCCGATAATAAAAATTTTTAAGTTCGTAAGTTCTGTCATTTCTTTTAAGAATAAGGTTAAGGAACGGGCGACGTGGGTACTATTTACTCTACCATACGGTTAATTAGAATAGCACCACGTCCACCATGATCTAGAGAACCCTTAAGACAACACTAATTCAAATACGTGAGTACATTATTGAAAATGAATGATTGATTACAAACAATTGTGGTATACCTTGGCAGTAAAATTGTTGCATTTGTGTAAATAACAAGTTACGATACATTTAACATAGTACAATGTAAATACGAAGTCATATATGTTATTGCATAAGACTTCTAACAAGTGATATATCATTATACGTAATACATTACACAGCGCGAGGATAAACTCCTGAGGAGAAGTCAAACATATAACTATAGAGAGATTATAATATGATAAAAATACGGTACAGTATGATAAAAATCCAGTAAAGGATGACAAAAATACAGTAGTTTACAGCAGATTACAATAATGATGAATACATAGGTATAGACTAATAAGTTTGCAGTAAATTACATTGAAAATATTATGCCAGTTAAAAATAAATGAACTTATGATATGATAAAGTTTAGAATAACTTAAATACATAGATGTTTAAATTCATAGACTAAAATAGATGTACATATGACATGATACAGTTTAAAATAGTTTAAAATGCACATTATAAATCCATTAATTAATGAATAAATGATGGATAGAAGCAATGCAAGGCGGTATATAAATACTATGTTGAATATAATTCCATATGTATTGATGATATTTTGTTACAAAACATTTTAGACATTTGTATGAAATGTCTAATAAGTAATATTAATACAAAAGATGTAGTAAGTCTGTATGATACAATAAGTAAATACATATGAGTATACTATAGAATATTATAACAGATTGTATATAGTAGGTAATGAAGTATAGTTGTGCAGAAGTCATATATGCCGATTCGTATGGAGCTTATATGCAGAATAAAGTTCTATGATGGTTGACATAAATCCAAGTTTAAAGAAGAGAGCTTATCAATGAAACGCTTTAATGTGCGAATTAAGTGACGTGGCTTTATCCAGAATTTGGAAAAGGCTTGCCGAGAGAAAAACTAGTAAATAACAGTAACCATATCTGCATTCTCAGGTTTCCAGGTCTTTCCTTTATGCAGATTTTAAAACTCTTTTCATGTTATCATATCAAAGTACATCCATAAACATTTCTTTCTTTGTGATATCAGATCCTTTCGGTATCGTATCCAAGACATATCAGATCTTTTCGGTATCGTATCCAAGACATACTATATCACCCACAACAGCACTAAAGTGAGGGAACACGGGACTATGAGCTTCACAGGCAAATAACCATATTTATCATAAACTTGGTCTCCCACAAGAGATCCGGTAGAAGTCGCCATAATAAAATCTGATATTTGTATGCTCTTCTTTTCTTTATTTTTAAATGTATCATTTTTATATTCGGCCTATGACGCGAACCCGTGTATTCGTATCTTATTTTTTTGTATATTAAAAGTGCATGTTATACGCCGGAATATACGGTAATTAAATTCGGGAATATTTGTTCGCCTAAAGTACAAAACCCTTACTCCATAAAACCCTGAAAGCTCTGATTATTTTCTCCCTTTTTTTTTCTACACTCTTCAATAAATGAAGTTCTCTGTTAAGGTCTCCATAACTATTTTCTTCATTAAAACATGGAGGAAAATTCCAAGCAAAAGCAAATGGGATTATAAGGTATAAACAATTTAATTTGTACATTTTACAATTTATCATTGCTGACATTTCAATGCATAACATAAATTTATTCATTTGAATTTGTCTGGTTATGTATTAAACGCAGGACAAGTATTTCACTAACTTCTATTCCTAGAATTTTACTCTCTCCTACAAGGAAGAATGAGGCTATCGGGAATTCGAGGCCGATGGCCATATGAGCCGTCTCGTCACCTGATATGGATAGTTTAAAAACGGATGAAATATTAATAACAATCGTAGGATTCATGAAGCGAAAAACAATACGGATATTAATAATTTGTCAATTTAAAAAAGCATTAGTCATACTGTTTAAAAATAAGAAAAAATTATGCAGTAACACTGTGATTCCAAAACGTTTTCAGTTGGCGACGCACTTATAGGTTTAGTATTTTGTCATGGCGCCCTAGTCGTGTTCAATGAAGTGTTGTACAAGGTTTGTGCTTTACAACCTGCTTACTACATAGTGTCATAGTTAATCACAACACTTCATTAAATATGACTGCTAGTGATACCAGTGACCAGGCACAGAAATGAAAACAACCACAATCTGAGGATCATATAGGTATATATTGAACCGATATACAAGAATATTATATTATTATCATTAAAGAAAAATAGGAAAAAAATCAATGGGATGGGAGAGCTTGCTGATCTCCACAAAGTTTTTCAAAGCGATGGATAAGACGACATTGCCACTTTCATTTCTTGCTCTACGTTGATCTTTGAACGGTATTTGCTCATTGTTAGAGCTACAGCTGAAAATCCGGTTTCGCATAAATATGATGCTGCAAAAGGATTGAAAATCCTTAAAACTTTTGAACTTAGAGTTGGAAATTCATTTTTGATGATTCTCCAAAACTCTACCAAATCGGAACAATCGCGGAACTTTACATGTTCAGAAAAAATATATATATGTAATTATTTATAATCTTCAGTGTAGAAAATACATTTCTAATAAATAACGAATAACTTTAAGAAATACAAATACTATTATGCTTACAAATTTATTGTTTTATTTTTTAAAAGTAGAAATTCTTCAAATATTAATGCATTGAAAGATATCTTTTGGAAATTTGATAATGTATCGTTCTTTTCTCTTCACATTTTCGTGCATTTATTCATTTAATAAAATTAACATAAAAACTATTGCATTATTTTGCATATTGGAGAGCTTAAGAAAGCGCGTGCTAAGGGGGAGCTTATTCTTCTATCCAAAGAGAAAGTAATATGAGCTATAAGTCGCAGAGGAAGAGATTTGGTCAGTTTGGCAATGTCTTTTCGACAGCATTCAAATAAGATGAAGATAAGTTGCGCACTTCTTATAATATTGCTTTGCTTATTGGAAGGCCAAAGAAACCGCGTGCTAGTGGCAGAGATTTATTCTTCTACCCTAAAAGGAGGTATTGCGGAATATGCTATATAAATCATAGAGAGAGAGAGATTTGCGCACATTGGCAAATCTCTTTTCGATAGAATGCAATAAGATGACGATAGGTTGTTATTATAAGATACAGATTGTTATTATATAACAGGTTAATTAATATTATAATTACAGGTTAATTAATTTTATAATATACAGATTGTTATATATATACAGATCTATATATTAATATAGATTGTTATTATAATTATGTTAGGTTACTTCTTATAATATTGCTTTCCTTATTGGAAGGCCAAGGAAACCACGTGCTTTTGATTGGGGGGGGGCTTATTCTTCTACCCAGAAAGAAGATATTGCGGGTTTTGTCTGATAATTCATCAACCGAGATCCTGAAAAATTATCGTACAGAACATGGGGTTTTCCCACATGGGAAAAATCACTGAAATCAACCATGCAGCAAGCCTGGAATCGAGCCCATTCGATCTACCAGTAGTCAGTGGTCTTAACCACTCGGCAATTGGTCGAACCTCAGGCCAAGATAACATTAATGAATTTTACTATAATCCAATAACTCTCAGTTAATCCTTCTTCTCTGCCACTCCCATAAGTGTGCCACCAAGACGGACTGGCCTCTAAAAAGCCGACAGACCGCAGGATGCCTTTTAACGAAATGCTCACTCTATGTTTGAGTTAAAACTCACTGCTATTTTATGAATGAGAAACGCTACACGAAAACGCTTTTCATATTCTTCTAAGCTCACTTTCTGTATAAGCCCAATTATTTACCAGTAAAATATAGTTTAAGTTCTGAACAGTAGTTAGTAAGAAAAAGGTAACAGCGGTGCAAGACATTTTTTTATTTTGATAGTTGGCAGCAATGAAAACGGAAGTACCGTCTGCTTCCGCATGCAGGAGAATTTCTTCGGTTGCTCTGTGTTTTTGCGATTAGTGTTTGTGTGCGGTACGGAGCGATGGGTTTGTTATCCGAAGGTTCTCCGCTCACATGGGAAGAAACAAAAAAGTATGCTAACTATGTGAGAGAACATGGTGTTATACAATTTATAAAAATATATCATCGCTTAAAGGATAGACAGAACGACTGTTTAAAATGGGGTGATGAGGTAAATTATATATATATATATATATTATATATTTTTTTTCTTTTTTTCCGCAAATGACCGGCTAATATTTCATATGAAATGTTAATGTAATCAAAACGTTTTAGTTGCGTATCTTGAAAACTGTGTTTAAATATCATTTTTAAAATCAGCAATATGCACTTCGTTAGTCTACGCAACAATAAAACATATCGTAGTATTTATAGAGGGCTTAGTTGCTTTAGTGTAGAAATTTATTATGCTTTATTTTTTAAAAGTAAGTTCTTCAAATATTAATGCATTGAAAGATATCTTTTAAAAGTTTGATTGAAATTGTATTGTTCTTTTCCCTTCACTTTTTCACGCATTTATTTATTTGTATTTTATTTAAAACTCATTATTTAAAATTATTTTTCTTCCATTATTGTGGAAAGCGATAACATCGAAAGTTTAGTGGGAAAATTTTCCATGTGAAAGTAAAAGTCGTAATTATATCTACTAGTTATCCTAAAATCCGTCCAAGTGAATAAGACTGTGGTAGCTGTATTCTTACTTATGTCTTGAGTCTATTTTGAAATTAAATTATGATTGCATGTATTTATCATTTCCAATAACAAATATAACATAAATAGAGGTAAAAATTAAATGAAATTCTGTAGTAAATAAATACTGGTGTTGCATAACTTCTGTTGTTTGATATAAAATTCAGTACAGCATAACAAAAATCAAACATTATCAAATCAGATTTTTTTCACCAGATCTTCATACTAAGAAAATAACTAATTATAACTTCAGATAAGTGCTGAATGTACCTCTATGGGAAAATTCCTGAACATTAAAAATGTGATGTGTGTATAGACATAAATATACTCTTTAATTAAGCAGTTTAATCACTTTATCAGGTCCATGTTTTCGAAAAACTAGAAATCCCTCCTCTTTTTTTTTTTAAATGGATTGTTATTCTTCTTTGTGGCAGATTTACAAAAAAATATGTGCAAAGGTTGTTTCAAAATGGTAATATAAAATGCCATTTTAAACTGAACATTAAAATTTACTCCTTTTATCTAATTTTTATCATCCAAACATTTAAAAAAATTTTATTCATTAGAAAAAAGTTACATCATTAGAAAAATTTTATCTTCTGTTTTTTTAAGATAAATCAAAAATTACTGATTAAAATAAATTATATTAATTTTAGATTTTTTCTCAGTAATATATTGAAATTTTAATACTGAACTTATTTCTTAATTGTTATTATGATTTTTATATTTGTGAATGCATTAATTATTTTTTTTACTTAAAAAATTCAGTCTTATTCAATTTTATATTATAATTGGATAATATTAAAATTGCTATGAAAATGTCCTGTTGGGAAATTTTGTTGTTGAAAGCACAAAATATGTTTTGTTTATTTATATATGTGTGTTTAGTATAATGTGCCTGTACTTCTCAACTTTAATAAATATTTAACGATGTTTAATTTTCAGAAGCTTTATTTATTATTGAATGGATTAAGATGAGCTTTAATGTAACTTTTGTCATTTTGTAAATTTTAAATTTGAACTTATAAATGTAATTTTCTGAAGAAGTGTTTAAATACATTCTTTTACTGTAAATTTCATAAAACTGTTTTATATCATTTGGCTTGATGAATTTTTCCTCTTTTTATGATTTATTGAATTAAATCTTAAATAATTTCTGATAATTTTTAATGTTATGAATTTTTTTTTTTTTTTTTTTTTTCAAAAAATATCACATACTTGGATATTGCAAGTAAGTCCGTAATCATAAAATGGCTACAGAAAAGCAAAGTTGTAGTTAATTTCAAACGTGATTCTTGGTGGCAGAATAGACTGGCTGAGAAATTTTCAAAGTTTTTTGGATGGCTAATGTAAATAAGAACCTTGTTTCTTATAGAAAGTTTTCCATGAAAGTGTCCTTCTATGCAGATAAACTTCAAGTAACATGTCAAGTATCAAACTCATAAATATGGTAAAGTTGATTACTCTTTCCAAAGAGATTTATTTTGTCATAGAAATACGCTTGAATTCATAATCTTCTATTATATCATAATGCGTACATACATACATTTCTAAATTTGGTTCTGATAACAAAAAAGTACCCAAAACAAGTTACAGTGGAATGTTTTAGTAATATCTGTATAGCCAAGCCAAACATGACCTCTTAGGTTTTGTACCAGGAAAATCCATTGTTATTACTACCACTCTACTGACAGGTAGGAGAAGGAATGGAATATAAAATGTGCACTGCTTCGCACATTTCTCAAAATCACCAACCATGAAAATAACAAGAATTGCACAAACTCGGTATCCATGTACACATCGACCTATTTTCACTTAAAAAAACATCTGATAATTGCAAACTTGGCATTGCACACTCCCTAGACATTAGCCATGTACACATCAATATGTGCCATAACCAAAACCGTTCGTGCTAAGGCTGTCGGCTCTGCTAGGTTTCAACCTGTTATTTTATTTTTTTAAACAAAAGTAAATCAAATAAACACTGTAGTCATAATGCTAATAAATTTCAAAATGCAAAACTTTTAAAATTGTTTTTCGTACAAAAATGACAAATAAATCTGTAACATTCAGTCGGCATTACTCTTTTTAAGCTTTTTTTAAAATAAATATCTATAATACTTTTTTTTTGTTTCTGTCATTACTATATCTAATGGAAAATGCAGACTGTACAGTGCATATTATTTGAAATGTGGTTTCATTTAATATGCTTTAAATAATAGTTGCCAATGTGTGTAATAGCTTAAATATTTTTTTTTCCGAATGAAGCTGTGGAACCTTTCAGATTCCAAGAATATCTATCAAAAATCCATCTAGACAAAAAGGACAGAGATTTGCCTTGTTTTCAAACACTCAAGAGATTTGTAATATATCCCACATTAGTAAATCTCCTTTTGAAAGTTTCCAAACAGGATGATGATGGGTAGTGTCCTTCTTATAATACTGATTTATCTTTTTCTTCTTATATTTCTTTAGGGAAATCCCATACTATTGGGGAAAAATGGTTTTATGAGCTGTAAAGAAAGTATTTTGATTTATGCTACATAAATCATCCATTGATGATATGAAAAAATTTCATTTGAGTGATGGCAAAGTCTATCATCCTCCCCCCAACTCCAAAACACTTAATAAGTGATTCGAACCTTTGAAAACTCTTTATGTAACTTTTTAAAAATTTTCATTTTTCTATAGGACTTGATGAATCAACTTTGCCAGAAAATGAAGCCTTCACTTATGTGCATTTCATAAGGTATCAAGAAATCTGCCTAGCATTATTATTTGCCTGAGCTTTATAAATCAGTAATGAAGGGGAATCATTATTTTTCGTGTTATGAAAGCCTTTGTTTCAACAAGTAAAAATTTCTCTGAATAAAGAAAAAAGAAAAAAAAAAAAACACTTGTTACAGACAGAGTATTATAGCAGTAATTGGGCACATATAAAAGCAGGAGTTCCAAATATATTGGCTATACACTGTGTTATTTATCATCAGCATATAATAGCAAAACATCTGAGTTTATGCTTATGTACCTGGTTTCATCTCATCATCAGAACAACAAATAAATTCATTGTACTGCTAATTTGTTTAGGCAACTCTGTCATGAAACGTATGATTTCAGTGACTTGCTTCATACTATCAGAGTACTTGATACTACTATGTTCATTGACTATCAAAGGGAACCAAGTCATTTTTCCAAACTTTTTAATTCGCTGTTAGAGATTTCAAAAGATGCTGTTTTACAAGCAGAATTCATAAACATATAGCTTATCTGACAGATATGTTTTATAAATTCAATGAATGGTGGTGATAATATGCGTCCAATAAAAGCAAAAGTGTAATTTCTACATTTTCAGCAAAACTTCATTTCTATAGAAGAAACCTGGAACAAGTAGAATTTGGTTATATTACAGATCTGTCAGTGTCACTTGAGCTAGAGGGAAAAAATGCCAGACACACTTTAATATAAGCAACATATGGAAATTTTGGAACTGGCCTTCAGATGTTTTAAAAATGGTTGTACTTGATTGGATTTTGGACCCATTCTCCAAAAATCACGTATTAAATTCAATTCATCTCTTTACATTTTATCAAATTTAATTATTTAATTACTTTAAGCATTAATTACTTATATTAATGATTTTATTAGTCATTTTATTTATTCTTTTTTCTCTCTCCTGACGGTCTTCCATAGGGCTTCGGCACTTCTAATATTAGAAATTAAGCCATGAGGACATCTGTCCCTAGATGCAGCATCCAGGCAACACCTAATTGATATTTCAAAATTTTAGAATGAAATCTTTTGCACCCTTGGAAAACATAAAGGGGCACGAAAGCATCATTGTGGAAAAAAAATTAGGCAAATTGAACTAGTCTGAGCAAGTATTTAAAAGATGGTACCAAAGATCATAACAGGTGTAACAGAATGTGTCTTCTAATCTGTCTGTAAGCAGATCAAAACAGAATGGAAAATGTAAAACTTTTGAACTTTTATATGCTTTTTATCATATGAACTTGCAGTACATGCACTTATGATGCAAACATTTATAATACCGGGAGCCATTATGTTTTGCATCAAAATAAACTAAAAGGTAATTGAGAAATTCTGTTTATGCTATAATGAGGAAACTAAAGTAAAAGAGAGCAAAAAGGTTAAAAAATTAACAAAGTAGTCAAATTGAAAAGTAAGAGTTTGGTTTTAAAGCTTCGAGGGCTATTTGCCTAAGGGAAAGAATGCCTTCATGGAGGACTTTATAAGGGAAACTGGTTCACATACATGTTACACATGGAGGAAACCAAAAAAATGGCAATGCAGCATCTCCGTTCATGGGATTCGAACCTCAGGCCAAACTACCAGTGTTCAGCGACTATACCACACTGGACATCTGATGCCCTGAAGGTACTAGGATTATGTGTGCAGGTATAATAACAAGGCAGACGACAATTATTGGCAAGTAATTGCAAACCCAGGAAAAAGTACTTTAAAACCTAAGTATTAAATTTGCATTTTGGTGATAAAAAGTAGTTTTTAGATTTTGAAATATATATTTTTACTGCTTTTATATATGTATGTATCAACATATTTTTTCCTGCATTACCATTAGTATTTGTCATTTATGATTATATTTTGCTTGTTTTTAGGTTGAGTATATGGTAATCAAGTTTGATCATTCCAAGAAAACAGCTAAAGTATGTCTAAAAGCAGAAAGGTTATTGGCTGTTTTGCTGGAGAAAGAAAAAGAAAATCATGGGTGAGATTTATAGAAAGAAAAAAGAACTAGGGAAAAAAAATCAGGTATTTGCATATTAACTTTTACTGGGAACTTCAAATAGCACTAAGATAACTTTGCCAGCATTATGGGTGCCATAGACTTCATTTGATTATAGGTTACCTAGTGCTTCAATTCTTCCTCTTATTTCAGTAACTACCACTTATCAAATGTAAATACTCAGTAATATTTTATTAACCATATTTAACTCTTCACTAAATTACTCAATAATACTTTATCAACCATATTTAACTCTTCACTAAATTTTACAGTTGATAATTTCTTACAACTGTAAATAAACTATAGAGTTGTTTCAAGTCTATCTATCTTTAAATCAATCCATATTTTGATTTTTACTGCATATATGCATTTCTATATTTTGTGCTGCCATGCCATTTTCTTTTTTTCTAAAATGTAATTTTTAATTATGGGAAATAGAGCATTCTTGAAGTATTTAGTAAGATTGCACAATTCTGGAAAAAATTATAATTTCCATTTATATTATTTTGCAAATCCAGAGACTTAAAAAAAATAACAATGTGCAATACATTGAAGCTAAGAGAACAAGACTGATCTGATTTATAACAGACTAGAATTTATTGGCAAATTATTGTCATATATTGACACCAAATGAAGTTCCCAGTAGGAGCTAATACACAAGTACTAAAAACTGGGCCTGTGTCTTAAACAGTGCAGTATTTTGAATATATTTTAAATTAATGTAAAGATTTTTAAAATCTAGATTTTCTTAAAATGAAAGTTTTAACCCAGAAACTAGTATATCCCCCCCACTAGAAACGTGTACATTAATTATAGACAAATTTTATCTTACAATATAGTAAATACCTGAAAGAGAAAATTTCTGAAATAAATTTAGTATGTTTTTGAACTTAAAAAAAAAGGATGGGATTACTATACCATGAAAATTGTCATAAGCATTTATTTTAACAGTATTCTGTGTTCTTTTTACCTTCAACTGTATTTTTAAAATATTCAAGGGAAAAAAAAAAAAGGCCTTTTGGAATTTCAATAAAATAAGGTACTAAGTATAATGAAACAGAAGAGTATTTTATTTAATTTTAGTGAGTTCGTCATATAAGCAAGCAGCATATTTTTAATTATTGAATAGTATGATGGCATTCCAAAATAAATCACTGTGAGAGAAATTATATTGAATATCAACTGTCTGTGTGTTAATTGGTGGATATAAAAAGTAATTTTTTTTAATTTTACTTTTATAAATTTAACACTCATATTTCAAATCATGTATCTTCTACATTTTATGTTTTGCTGAATGGCAACACACTGGTGCTTGGAAAATAAAAGTTTTTATTTCTAGGATGGCAATACATTAATTTTAACTTCCTGAGGTTATCACTTAAAAGTTCATTAATTTTGCACAAGTTATGAAATTTCAAAAAATAAAAAAAATTCAAAATCTGCATGTTAGGTGGAGGGTGATAGATACTCAAAATTTGGTGGCTCTAGATGCTGTCTCGTTTCTACACTCTAAGCAACAAAGATTATTGTAGATTCTTCATTGGTTAATTATAGAGATAATTATGTATTACTACTAGTTGTTAATCCATCAAATTTTGTTTTCTAGTTTCTATTACAATGTTGGCCTTACTTTATGTAATACTACACTGTTTTGATGCCAGTATTCACACTATTTTGATGCCAATAGCCATGTTGGAAGCATGTTACTTTTTTTATAATGGCCTGCGCTAGCCATATTTTTTAAGGTTTTGTCACTACTAAGGCCAGAAGTGGTGGTCAGTTTATTATGGAGGCACATAATAGGCAGCCACCATTGTCTCCTATAAGGGGACAGCTTATTTATATCCATGCCTTCTCTGGGATTCGAACCCTTACTCTTTAATGTCGCGATCAGCACCTGTAACCATTGTATGGTCTGGGCGGTACAACAATTTCATTATTACTGTTTTTCACATGTGATGAATTACATTAATTTTCAGTTTATAAGATTTTCTAGCATTTCTGACTTGCAATAAGTCAAGAAATCCTGGAGCCTTTTGTAAATTCACCATTGTAGACTGCAAGATTGTTTTGTATAACTGCAATTCAAAATTGCTATTTGCTTTGCCTGCAGTTGAGAGTAATTGACATTTTCCTTATAATGAAAATTTTAGTTCATTTCCATTTTCAAATGTTGCATTCGTAAAAACTTAATTAAAAAATCCACTTTCTGCTACATTCCTTTATTTCCTTTCCAGGCAATTAAATCCCATAGAGTATATATATATATATATATATATTAATCATTGAGTCAAATCATTGAGATGTTGGAAGAAGGTCAAAGTGTGATCAGAGAGTAACCCAATAATAACTCAAGATTTGTTTTTCAGAATGAAAGAGTCTCCTATCCCTCATACAGTACCACTATCCTCACAAGAGTATTTTTAGCTCGCTATTATTTAAGTGTCTCCATGCCACCAAGATATTATATTTTAACATGTAAAAATATCCATAGCACATGTATTTATGTTTGAAAACTAATATACTAAACCATATGTTTAAAGTGTGCTTCTCTGTGTATGTTGTAATCACATGTGAGAAACATTATTTCAAGCCAAATACTTGAAGTGAAATTTGTTGATTATAGTTTACTAGAGGGTAAAAATAAAGTACAGTCAAAAGTCTTTAATCCGGACGTCCATAATCTGGAATGATCTATAATGCGAACCTCAAAGCTACAAACTTTCTGTGCATGCGTATATGCATTTACACATGCGCATAATACCTTTACGCATGTGCATTTAATGTATAATGGATGGTATAAGCTAAGCTAAAATTATCTAATTATCTATTTCAGTTAATGGTGCATATTGCGTTGTTTCTTAAACTTCAAATTGGATCCGGCTTATTATTTTTTGCAGACTGTTAGAGCAATTTTATAAAAAGTAAGCTTGAACTTTCGATTATGTTAAAAAGAGTTTCCGATTCTGGAGCTGCCAAAGAATCTACAAAGCGAAAGCATGTTTCGATGTCCATTAAACAAAAAGTGGAATTGCTGCAAAAAATGGATAAAGGCATGAAGAAAGTGACAGAGAGGTGATTTGTTTCTCTCAGCATTCCGAAATCTGTTTATCGATTTCACGCTGCTCTGCAGGGGGGGGGGGACATCACAACGTGCAGTGAACTTAAAGTTGATCTGTCAGCACTATCCTCATCATCTTTATTTGGCTTATAATTCCTCACTAAATGTAGTGTTTCATCTCAATGTACTCTGATATAATTTAAATCAAATTCCTCATCATTATAAATATCACGAATACACATCAAATAGTTTTCTGGTTGCAATTTTCTAATTTCAACTATGCGTAATGTATGCTTTACGCATGAGCGTTGAAAGAAATGTTTAATAAAGTAAACAAACAAATATTCAGTTTTTTTTTTTTTTTTTTTTTTTTTTTTTTTAAATTTTGATACTTTAGATCATAATTCCTCTTTATTTTATAAATTACGGTTTCATATTTTTAATTTTATAATTTCTGCATGCCTTCTTATCAGATTTAAACTGATGATCTATAATCCGTAAAAACCGATAATCCAGAATCACCAAAGTCCCGATTGCCGAAGTCCGGATTGAAGACTTTTGACTGTAATTTGTTAACTAAAATTAAGAAGTTTTTATGATAATCATTAGTGTAATTTTGTTGAACAGTACACAGTTTTCTTCCATCTTGTGCCACATATTTTTTAAAAAAGTTATTTTTTTATTTACATTGATGAATATTTTTATGTCAGGAACAGTCTCTTCAAAAAATTAAAATACATTGAAAGGTGAATTATTCAAATTTTATCGATAGCTAACAAAAATATATTTGAAAAAGCAAAAATCAGGATAAAGAATAAATGTTATGGGAAAAAATAATAAACCTCAAAGCTTGTGAAATACATGTTCTTTTGTGCAATACTTATTCTTCATTGCAAATACAGAATGTATGAAAAATTTTGTTAAAAACATTTCATTATCATTGAAAGAAATGAACTAAATCTTTAGCAGATCAATCTAAACGTAAATATCATAAATGAATAATAATTGTAAAAATAATAAATGAATATAACTCATAAATGAATTTTTAAAAATCATAGTTAAAGTACCTTTTATATTTTTGCCTCAAGAAATTATTGCAACACTTTTGTTAATGCACTAAATTTATATAATATACTTAGTTTATATGTAGGTGATGTTTTGTTAGGGGCTTTTATTAATATGTGAAATTTTATTGTATGAATTCTGATTTAAATTAGATTGAAATTACTCAGTAGTACCGTACTGTAGACATGCACTAATTATGATCTAGCTGTGATAATTTTAAAAAATATTTTCATATTGTTTTAAAATAGTGATGTGAAAGCATTATGGCGCCCTGAATTTGGTGCATATATGATTGAAGGTACTCCTGGAAAGCCATATGGAGCTCTTTCATCGTGTTTCAATGTAGTTGAAGCAAATATGAGGGCTAGGTATGTATGCATAATGTTTTTTCGTTGTTCTGTTGTGTGTTAATTATAGAGAGGTGAATAAAGGATATAATATGGAATTCATGCCTACTGTATTTATTTCATGTTAAACATGCACAAAAATATGATTATATATATATATTAACAGATTATTATGTTTAATTACATACATTTTATGCCCATGCTTTATAGGTTATTCCTATGCTTTATAGTTTATAGGTCCAAGATTGATTGAATTCCTTTTCTCATTATAATAACTCAAAGATGTGTCAAGTAATTATTTCAACAGAAGCAGTAACATCAAAAAATAAACATCAGTTATTGTATTTCATATTTTATATGTAATTCTTTGAATTCATTTTTACATATTTATAACTAATTTTAGGTCTATTAAAAATATTGCTTCTTTCTGATATCTGCACTTCCCCCCCCCCACACACACACACAAAGTATTCATAAAGAAATGCACCATGGGATTAAAATAGGTGAAACAGTCTGCTGTGTACATGGGGTGTGCCAGATTACACATGTACATGGGGTGCATGTGCTGTGAAAATGGGGTGCAAGTTCAGTGCCAGATTTGTGCAATTCTCTGATAATTTTTTTTAAGAGAAAACATTCTGCTGTGCACATAAATTAGAATATCAGCACTTGGAAAAAAAAAAGTAAGGATATTTCTTGAAAATGATAAATGGATTTTATGGATTATGTTTGAAAAGGTAAATAATAATAGTTAAAATGTTTTTATTATGGTTGTTTGTTGTTTTTTAATTTTATTGTTTTATTGTTCATTAATTGCTCTTTCTTAGTGTGCCATCATTTTCAAAGTGTCTGCTGCCTTTCACGTATTAGCTTGACAAAAAATTAGTCACCATTGTGTTGGTGGAGGAGGTTGCAGATAATCAGAAAGAAACAAAATGTCTAATAACGTTAAAATAAGAATGTGTATATTTTAATGTATTGATATTTGAAATGAGGTTTATTTAAAAAAGTGCATGACAGAAGAATCTTTAGTAGAAACACATTTGCAGTGTATTATCAGCATAATTATAATGATGTAAGTGCTTTCATTATAATATTTTAAAGGCGATAATTGGCAAAAGATTTGTTTAGTTAATGTAATCTATTAATTCTTATTTAAAAACTGCAAATTTAAAAATGTGTCTATTGGTTTTCATTACTGTAGCATTTCTTATTGGGTTCATGTTTTTGACAGTCACTTTATTGATGCAAGACATAGTATATCTTCATAGTAAGTGCAAGACGTAATATATCTCCGTAGTAAGTGCAAGATGTATTTTTGATTTAATTTGTTGAGATTGACAATTAGAAAGAAACAATCAGAACGAAAACAGAAATGAAGTAATCAAAGATAACAATTAATAGAATTTCTGCAAATGTTGTACATCTTGTATTAATCATTATATATGTATAAATTTATATAATAATCTAAACATTTCTGAATTTTATGTTGTGATAATTGTAAGTATTTGCTTTGCAGAAGGCTTGAAGTTACAGACTTGCTTGAGAGTGATGAAAGTTTGTTGTGTCTGACCAGCTTTCCTCGGTAAAGTAATTTCATTACTAAATATATTTTTCTCTTTCTAATTTTTTAGATTAAAATTCAGAATTATAAGTAGAAGAAATATATATATATTATGGAAGTTTTTACCAGTTATAGAAATTTAAAGGAAACTTTCATTTTGTAATTTTGATCTTTTCATATCTAATTAAGATTTTGTAAAAGTTTTGATTGCATATACAAATCTTGTCTTTAAAATCTTGATTGCTGCATTTGAGCATCCTTGGCAAAGAACGATAATAATATGATATTAGTTGTATGAGGCTTAGAAAACGGTAAGAAATAATTATAGAAATTTATTATATTTACATATCTTATCATGAATAGGTGTCTGAGAATGTAATAATTAATTTTTTTTAACATGTACATGTAACAGAATCCTATAACTGATAAAATAAAAATTTATATTATTTTCCTGACTTAATTAAACAGAATATAATTGAAATGTTAGAAAAGCATGATGGAGGGTAATTTTACCTTCAAGACATTGAAAAATGATTGATACTTGAAAGCTACTAATTAAACCTTTTATTTTTGAGTATATGAATCATGTTTATTATTTTACTTAATATGTATATATTTTATAAATGAGAAGTCAATGTATCTTGAAATTAAAATGCAAGGCAAAAGGGACATTTTAAAATTTTTTATTTATTGTTGAACTTTTTTTTAATATCCAATATTTTTATTTTTTAAATTTCAAGGAGTATTTTCATAGTTATTTGTCTTCCTTAGACTTTTGTCGTCCTTCATGTTTTTGATGAATGCTGTCATATTTATTTGACTAAACTTCTACTTATATGACTTTCTGAGAAGCTTATGGTAAAGCATTGATTATCATAATAAGTTTTTACCATTAACCTTCTTCATTACGTATTCCATTTACTTGATGAGGCAAAAAGCAAAATCAAATTCCTGAGCATTTTCTTCAGGCTTTTTTATAGCAAGATCATTTAAATTCTTTTTTCTGGTTATATTTCAGTAACAGACTGTATTATAAAATAAAAGCAAAATCTTCTACCAAAGTGCCAATGATATTTATATAATACAAAACATATTAATTCATAAGTAAATATTAATAGGTAAGGGTTATGAATGTTGAAAAATAATGTTATAGTAGCTATTACATAATTTTATTTGTATTTGATACAACTGATTGTTACTATATCTTTCATTCATTTCTTAGGTTTAATATAGTGTATGTCAGTGCATCACTCAAATTAATACAGATAATGCAAGATATGATTTACAAGTTTGAAGTTGCATTATGAAACAGATTAAATTTTTTTAAGAAAAGCTATACAAATTTTAACTAAATTGACTAATGGTGAGTAAAAATTGTCATAGTTGATTAAATAAAATACATACATTATAATAATTAAGAGGAAGCAAACATCTGAAAGCAGAGGGAAATACTTCCATAAATACAATGACATCACCATTTTTTTGTATTTAAAAAATAAATTTAATATAAAAATATAGAATTTATTACAAGGCAATCATTATTCCTGTTGGCCTGTTCAGAGTATGCTGTGGTTGTAAATGAATTGACACTAAAATTTAGGCATACTCTATTCAAAGGATATGGAAAAGGCTTCTTTAGGGAAGAAGTTAGAATAGTTAATAAATATCTCCAAGGAGCCTATTAAATAAATGAAGCAAATCTTGGAAAATATTTTAAGTATTTTATCATGACATTTGTAAGCATTATAAATGAAATAAGACAAAGAGATATGAAACAACGCAATGGGAGGAAAAAGATTTACATAAGCACATAGATAATTCACATCATCAAATGTCCATGAATGATATAAAGAATCTGGTACTATTCCGTTTTGAGGGCCGTACATTGCAGCGAAAATATATGCGCAAAAGCGCCAAATCTAGCAAACGCGGCCATTTAACAACGTGCCAAATCTAGCATGCGCGCCGATTTCAGATTGCATAAGTTTATATAGTTCTATATTTCTTAAGACGCCATTGAAATACTAGTTTCATTTTTAAATCCTTTTTTGATATCCTATGGATTTAACAATTTGGGAATTGCCCATGATGAAAAGCCTGCGATAGAATTTTGGGTAAAGTGCAGAATCACTCACTGCTTGACGCATTTTTAAGAATTGCGCATACTCGGTATCCATGTACGCATCGACTTATTTTCACTTAAAAAAAATCCCAGAATTGCACAAAAATGGCACTGCACTCACCCTTGACTATACATCGACCTATTGTCACTTAAAAAGTAAAAGAAAATTAACAAAAATCTAATTGTTTTTACCCTTGTAAAAAGCGGCAAACAAATAAGTGGGTGATTCTGCACTTTACCAAGAATGTTTTCAAAGAAAAGGCATTATTCATTATAGAAAAGTATGTTTGAACAACCAACAAGATGAAATTATGCTTTAGCGATAACTCGGTAGCGAAATAACGATGCAGCCATCCATTCAGTTATGTTTAGCAATTTTTATATACTAAATTATAATAATGATCTGAATAGTTATTTACTCTTATGCTTCCGTTCAGTCATGTTTAGCCTTTTATATATAAATTATAATAATAAAAAGTATTATACGAAATTAACCTTTCATCTAAATTAAAACATCAATCTTTGTTATTTACTATTATACTTTTCTTGTGTTAGGGTTGCCGCAATTATTTTTGGTAACACTGGCGTCAACAATAGTTTGGCGATTTTTTACGGCCCTCAAAACCGAATAGTACCAAGAATCTTCTCAGTGAGTTCATCTTGAATCTGCACTAGCTGATAAACAGTATATTCAGCAACAGATTCCAAATGATCCTGTGTGAGCTTTACATCATCATAAGGGCCATATAATCTTTCAGTTCTCCCAAACCCTGCCGAGGTAAATAGAATTCTTTTTAAGTGACCTTACTGTGAGTAATCGCAGGGTTGAGATATGATGAACACGGTCATCAGGCAGTAAAAAATTAATGGCTAATGAGATGTTTATCTGAAAACCGGCATGCTAAAACTGTTCTTGAAGTGTCACTTCTGATTCTATTCATAATCTTGTAAATAATATAATAATAAGTGATTATTTTAATTTCTGGTTGCTTCATTTCTTTACTTTATTATTATAAAGTAAAATAAAGTAAGTATATATAAATTTTGTAGTCTGTTTGCTTGCTCATTACAACTATACAGTAACAACTGTAATTGTGATCCACTGTAAATAATTTAGTACTTGCATATTATGCCGTCATCAACCATGAAAGCTGCAGAACCCTAGTGCAACTATCAAAGTCAGGCAGAGATTCTGCCAAAGATGCACCAGTTGTTCCTGAGGAATTCTGAAGGAAATGACTCATCTTTATTTAATAAACAATCAGTATTCAACCAGCTTCTTTTTTTAGCTTAGTAAATTTCTGTTATTTTTTTAATGCTCTCCGACTTTATTGGAAGCTCTGTTTAGAACACTATGAGTACAAACTTCTGGCAGGTAATTGTTCCAATCCATTTCTGTTTTGTTGGCCATATTGAGTTGACCATATTGTGGCCATTAATACACATTTTTGTTAAATGGTATTGTTTCATAACTTTGAAAATAATTCACTGCTTGCTGTTCTGTAGAAAGAAGGCTCCAAATTTTAATAATTTTTAGTGCACGGAAAATATACAGCAATAACACTTAATTTAACTCCTCGTTCATGAAAACAAAATGTGTCTTATTGAGAATTATTCGGGTTTACATCTACTGAAGCCACACATGTTATAATTGTAATATGTCACACTTATCTGTAACTGCTAAATCGCACTGCTTGGCAATAATTTTACAGTTCAAAAGGAGAATACCTTAAGAACCAATAATTTAAATATTATACTTTTTAATATTTTTAAATTTGAAAAAAAAAAATAGCTTCAAACCTTTTCAGTTTGCATTATTGGTACATCATCAGATGTTGCTCAAATGCAGCTTTGGCAGATGGTGAGTTAATATTACCAAAATTAGTATTTTGTTTAATTGCAAAACTTTGTTTTAAGCCTAGGTTGTGCAGAATTTACTTTTCCACCTGCTACCACTGATCCTAAAGGAAGTGCCTTATGTTCTTTATTTTTCCCTGATGCCGCTGTATATGGAGGTCATCCAAGATTTAAGTAAGAGTTTCTGGAGTATTGCTTCAACTTTTTCAATCTAATAAAATCTTATAAATCCTTCTCAATTGACTACAAGGACTGGTGTAGTCATCTGTCTCTTAAATGCTAATTATTTTATATTTTATAAATTACTGTTAGGATTTTTAATATTTCAGTTTAACGTAATAAATTCCTAACCCTCTTCCACTAATTTTTTATTATGACAAATTATTCATAAATTTTCTGTGATTATTAGGTATACATAAAAAGAATTATATTTTTTTAAAGGTGGCATTTGTACCCTTATTGGAAATGCTATTTGTTGAAAAGAAATTCTGAACAAAATTGCTTAGTACTAAATTTGGAAGAACAATTGTTAATAATTGGCAAAAGCCATTTTTATATGATGCTGATTTCAAATTTAAAAGCTCTGTGTTTTGAGAGACAACTGACACTTCTATTCTATTTCAGGAGCATGTTATAAATGTATAACAACATGTTATAATGGATAAAACATTAGTTTTTAAATATTTCTGCTATTTTGTGTGTATTTGTCACTTTTAAAATTTTCTTAATTGTGTTGTCTTAAATGTTTTTATAACTTTTAAAAAAATGGAATGATGTTCAATAAATGAATTGTTTCTCTTGATGATGAAACACTTTGTTACTATGTGATTATCCATCCAACTTTTTCATAAAGTACCCAATCACTGGTAACTAATTTTTCGCCAACCTAACATGTTAAAAATAGCAACCATTTTTAAAAAGATGTTGCATTACAAATTACATAAAGCAGCAACAAATTAACTAAATTAAAATTGTGACAAATGTACATAAACATTTTCTTTTTTCCTGGTCTTTTGCCCATGTGAAGAGTGCTTAAAAAAATTCAGAGAATTTCAGAATTGTCAGCATTACATAACAACTTGGCACTGCTCTGCGTGTTTAAATCCACTTTTTTTTAACTTAGTAAAGCAGCAAAGAATTTCATATATTTTGAAAATGTTATCACTAAAAAAACATGGGAACAGAAATCACAAACATGATCCTCGAATTTCAAAACAGGTTGCATTTTGCCAGTACATTATGCATTCAGAACATGCATTCATATGTTGCCAGATAAATGCATTTTCATAAAATTCTGGTTTGCTTACTTTGACAGCATAGCTATTTGCCCAGTGACTTTTGTCAGTGTTGGGTAGATAATCAGAGGTTACCAATACTTTCTTTCCTTATGAAGTTGTTTTAATCTGAAATCATTTTTATTTTATTTATGATTTGCTATGATAGGATTCTTAACTATTAAAATGAATATGTTTTTAAATTAATACTTAAAATACCATCTTTCAAACATTAAGTGCATAAATATGATGAAAAAGTTACCTTTGGGGGTGACATGGATTTCTTTTCACAAACCTATGGAGCTTTATATTAAAAATAATTTTTAAAAATGTGAGAGGTTAATAAAATTTCTTTTCCACGAAGTTCTGTGTAAATGTTTGTTTTTTAACCAGCTTTTAACTTAAAATCAACAGATTCATGTATATTTGTGTAATAAAATATGTTGTATTAGAAATTGTAGGTGCTTAATACCTAATAATAAATAATATTAGTTAACCTGAAGTAAATAAACTCAGTTCTGCATTACTTATTGAAAATTCATGGAAAGCGTCACAGTAAATCGTCTGTTTAATGGTGCAAATTTATTACTTCCAGACATATAGGATTATTAGAAAAAAGTATCCTGTTTCATTCAAGTTTCAATAATTTATTTAAAAGAGGAAGAGTTTAGTGAAATATCATGAGCTTTCAGTAAAACTAAAAAAAGGTACTTTTATGAAGATGCAAATTTTTTGTTCAACACCTTTTGCAGTGATGTGAGCAAAAACCATGTATTATGTGACATAGTTGACAAAGTGGTCCAAAACAGAGAAGGCGTGTTCTGTTTTTGTTTAGCTCATTTACTTACTCAAACAACTACATTTTGTATGAATTAAATTTTTCTAAACTATAAGGAATCTGAATATCAAGATTTATTGTCATTGTTGATTTCCGTAGAATTTGTTGAAAGGTGCTTTGAATGTGTTCAACTTGTTCTTCAGATGCATAAAATTAACCAGGACATTTACATTTGCAGAAACAGCTTATACTTTTAAATTTACTTTACCAGTTGTAAATAGACTTCCTGCTTAGAAGTGATTTTTATACTAGGTTGAAAACTGCATTGAAGCATAACAATAGATTCCATATTTTTCATTTGTAAAACACAAAATGCCTTCTGCATTTCAGATAACCTTTTTGTCTTCTGTGCGCTGTAGCACATAATAATCGACTGTGACACCTTATAAAGTGCTTGGGGAAAACTTCATGTCTGCATGCATGTGCAGCTTTTGTAAAATATTGAAATTGTATACTTTTTTCTAATACCTTTTCTAATGCCATAATTATATGAATTAATCATTACTTAGATGATTATTTATTTGAAGTCAAAAGCACTTTTGCCTTTCCTATGTTCATTTTTAATTTTAATTATTAACTTGTACAAATTTATGTACCCCTATAGTATGTACGAATAAATATATGAATCCCAATTGCAATTTAATATGTTAATTTTAGGGCTTTTTCAGCAATAAAAGTTTGAGAATCTATTTAATCTCTTACTTAAAGCCATTCAGCAGTGAGATAATTCCTTTTTTTAAATGCAAAAGGAAACGGCTTTATTGTTGATACAAAAAAGAGTACTCTTCTATTATCGGAACCAGATTCAGAAATGTATATATGCATTTAAATATGGATATATGTGTACATGCATGAATATATACAGTTAGTCTGCGTGTCTAAAGTCTGCGTGCATCAAGAAAAGTAATATCAAATCCAAATTTTAAGGTGCGAAAAGGGTAGTTTCTTAAAGTTTTATTTTTTAAATATTTAGTTTCTATAAGGGACTTTGAAATTATTTAACTGTAATATTTTCCTATCTAATAATTTATGCACACTAATTTTTAAAAGATAAGTGGCCAGAAATCAAAGCCAATAAAGTTTGTGTACAACGCGAATGAGGCAGGGGATTTCTTATCTAACTTTTAAACTTCAAACTTGAGAATACAAAGAAGGTTACACTTGTCTTCTGAAGCAATTTCACGATGATTGGAAGTTGTTATTTCTATTTTCTTTGACGAAAATGACAACCAATAAAGAAATTCCTTTAGTTACGAAACAACTAATTATCAAATTGAGAGAAGAAGGTAAAACTCTTCGTTATATTGGTAAAACCATTGGAAAGCCATTTTCTAGTGTGCAAAGAGTTATTCAAAACTATCTTGACACTGGTAGTCTTGCTGTAAAACCAAGATATGGGAGACCGAAGAAGCTAACGCAGAGAGAAGAAAGAAAAATTCTTTTACGAATTAAACAAAATCCTAAATTTTCCACTGCAAGCATTGCAAAAGACATTTTTTTAACTAGCAACAAGGAAATTCCTCCTGAGACTGTACGAAAAGTGCTGCGAAAGGCCGATTATCATGGACGCAAACCTAGGTCTAAGCCATACATTTCCGAGACAAATAGAAAGAAAAGAATTGCTTTTGCCAAAACATATTTAAACTCTTCGCAGGACTTCTGTAACAATGTGATTTGGTCAGATGAAAGTAAATTTACAATATTTAAAGTTAATGGCCACCCTATTGTATGGAGAAAACCAGGAACAGAACTGAATCTGAGAAATTTAAATCCAACTGTCAGACATGGAGCTGGCGGTGTGATGGTATGGGGGTGTATGTCGTCGAAACGAGTTGGAAATTTTCACATTATTGATAAAGTCATGGATAAGTATGTTTATCTGGATATTCTGAAGAAAAATCTACGAGACAGTGCCCGAAATTTAAACCTTTCTAATACCTTTATTTTCCAACAAGACAACGACCTGAAACATACAGCTAAAATTGTGAAGGAATATCTCCTCTATCACACTCCAAGACAGTTGCGTACTCCTCCACAGTCACCAGACCTCAATCCAATCGATCATTTGTGGGCAAAATTGGAGAAACGATATCGAAAACACAATATTACATTGCGAAATGAGCTAATTAGTAAATTGCAGGAAGAATGGACGAAATTTACGTCGGATGACACTGAAAAACTAGTTCAGTCAATGCTCAGACGTCTGCAAGCTGTTTTGAAGAATAAAGGATATCCTACAAAGTATTTAAGTGATGCAAAAAATTTATATTTTGCTCTTTTTTTTTTTTTTTTTTTTTTTTTTTTTTTTTTTAAAGTGTACGCAGACTTATTGGGGGGAATTTGTGAGTTTTTTTGACAAAATGTATTTTTGAAAAAATGTAAAAAGTATTACACTGATATTATTTACTTTTTATTTAAGCTTACAATTTTAGCTAATAGAAGAAAAAAAATGCAATGATTAAAATACATTTTTCTATGCTTTAAGTGTTTTTTTTTTTTAATTTAAAATTTAGTCTGTACGCAGACTTTTGTAGCTAACTGTATATATATATATGTATGGCTCCTACTTTTATATGTGTCCTAATATCATCAAATGGGGCGATATGTGTTCTGCGCTGGTTTTGGCATGATTGCGTGTTGTGTATGGCAATCCTGTTGATGTTGAAAAATCTTTTGCTGGAGTAGTTTAATTGCTCGTTGTTTCGTGTGGTGCATGTTTTGAAATGGCCTGTGTTGCAATGAGAGACGTGGTGGGAAGATTTCAGTTGCGTATTTTAGATTGTGTGCAAAGAAAATTTAGTATTAAAAGGTACAATGTTGGAGTTGTTAACGAGTCTGCTCTGTATAATGCTCTGTGTCTAAAAAGATGGGGGGAAAGATAAAGTGGTGGAAGTTGATAAATCGAAGTTCGGCAAAAGGAAATATCATCGTGGCCATCCTGTTGAGGGGCAGTGGGTATTTGGAGGTGTGGAAAGAGGGTCTGGGAGATACTTTTAGTGGCTGTGCATGACAGAAGTAGAGAAATGCTGATGCAGTGTATTAAAGAGTGGATAGAGCCTGGTACAACTATTTGTTCGGATGGATGGAAATCTTACAAGGATTTAGGGAAAGAAGGTTTTGAACATTTATTTGTGAACCGTAGTATGAATTTTCTGGATAATGTGTCTGGCTGTAATGTAAATAAGATAGTGATTACATGGCGGCATGTTAAAGGCGGTATGAAATTGGTATTACTGCTGTTCGAAAAAGCATTCATTCATGGTGAGTGCATTTTATTTTATTCTTATTTTGTAGAATGTTATGTCATTGTTTTTTAATATGAATTTCTGTCGTTATTATTGTTTTTTTAATTTATTTTAGTTTATTTTGTTGATTAGTGCATAGAACCTAGATTGTGCAATTCGTAGATGTTTTTTAAAGTTGAAACAGAACGCTGTGTACATGGTATTCTTTGAAATTTATTGTTATGTTAATTTATTAAAGCGAGGTGTGCATAGTTTGTAGATTTGTTCGTTGCCTAGATTGTGCAATTCGTAGATGATTTTTTTTAAAGTTAAAACATATCGCTGTGTACATGGATTCTTGTCAAATATTTTTGGTTAGAAACTTTACATTTTTACTGTGTAAATTTTTTGTTTTTGTTTCGGATTTTTAGCTTAAATTGTGTGTTCAAAACGTGGTTTTAGAAAAAAAAAAAAAAAAAACTTAGATAGTAATATGGCAGCATGGAGTTTCTTGCCAAAAATGTTTGGCAAGAAATTTGGCGACTTGAGGGCACATATAAGAGTAGTTCCATATGTACATACATACATTTCTGAATCCGGTCCTGATAACAGAAGAGTACCCAAAAAAGAAAAGATATTTAATACTTATTAATACATTTTAATATGCATATAAAGTTGTGTGTTTGTACGTGCATTTTTTATTTCTCATATACATTTTCAAAAACGCCTTCTGCATTCAAAATGTATGTACATCGTGCCTGTTAAATAAAGAATTATTTTAATTCCTTTTCTTTAATTAAAAAAATTTATCCAGGCTTATATTAAAAAATATCTATATGGAAATGTGATAACTTTCAATTAGATCAGTATATTAACTGCTCTGGTGGACAAATATTAAATATAAATTTGACAATATTATATGAATAGGGAATTTTGAAGCTTTAAAAAAAGACTGAGCTTTTGCTCACAGTAAATATATATTAACATCTTTCTGAAGATGCTGTAAGTGATGTTAATATCTTATTTCACTTTGTTTATGCTTTTTGTTAATATAGCTAATAGCAAGTTCAGAATGCATATGAGAGGACAATTGTAGGAAAATCTAAAGTTTTTTTATAAATAGAAATTTTAGGAAACTGTGATTGCATAATTATTTAAAGAGCTTTTAATTTTTGAACATTTTATAACTGTGAACAATTCTTTTAATTGTGAATTTAATAGAGCTGTTTTAAGCTATGGAATACATTTTAGATGCAGGTTGTTAATTGTGCATTGAAAAATAATTAAATATATTTCTGCAGATCTTATATTTATCTTACATGCACAATTTATATTATAATACTATTTTAATGTAATCTTATTGCAGAACTTTGGCAAGAAACATACGACAACGACGAGGCAGAAAGGTTGTTATAAACGTACCAAGTAAGCTTTTAAATTCTAGATAATGAATTTATCTTTCTAAAATATTTTACTAATAAAAAAGCAAAATTTCATGTTACTGTCATTTTCATGTTATATTGAGTTCAGTGTAAAGTTCAATTTAACTTATAGTTACTATAAGTGTTTATCCTTTTTTTTTTCTTCCCTCCCTTTATGACGTTGTATCAACATATGTCTGTGCCATATTTAAGAAACATTAATATCTGTGGTATTCACTTTGCTAAATTATTAAGAAATTCTTAATATAAATCAGCTTCCACAAAATCATCAATTAATTTAATCACAGTTACTGAAAAATATTCTGCTAGTCTCATATTTAAGTTTGTTGCTAGCTTATGCAGAATTCATTTCAAAATGTTTCATCAGTCTTTTAGGTATTTAGTGAGAACATTAAATTTGTTTGTTATGATGTGCTTTGATGTAGCTTGGAATATTAAATGTATTTTTTTTTAAATTATTGTAATGCAAATGACTAGTTGTATATCTATTTTCAGAACTCCTAATCAATGTATAGTTTAGCCTTGTACAAAGGCAATAGTAATTGCTATAACTATCCAATAATTCGATTTTCCCCCCTCCTGTAATTGATAAATCTGTTTAACCACTTTAAACTCCTACACTGTCTGGCCGAACAATAAACACCATCTATCCTGCGGTTATTTAAGGGGAAACTTCTATAACTATGCTATTTTGAGTTTGTACCTCTATTCTTTTACCATTTTCTATTTTAACATTTAATTTTCAAAATGTGATCATCTGACAGGATACCTGAATCTGAATTCTTTTGTTCTCATCTTCTCGAGAGAATATTGTGGAGCTATGGGCAGGTATAGGTAGAAATGGGTAGAATATCAGAATTTCATCAAACAGGTATAGTCTCGCTGAACTAACTATGCAGTTCTGCCCCAATTTTGAGGGAGAACATTGGAGGGGGGTCTGAAGGTCTCCTACCCCTCTTCCCATCTCACCAATCCCTAATGAAGACTTTTGGCTTGCCCAATATTTTGAGTACCTCCTTGCCGCACAGATACTACACACTTTCAAACATTCATGGTTTTTCTGGGATTTGAACCTGGGCCCATCAATATGGCAGTCAATGTCACTGATGACTATACCAGCCGGGACTAGTACTTTAAAAAATTTCAAATCTAGTTCTCTTTCTCAAAGCGCTGTTTCCATGAAATTCCATATTGCTAGACATCCATACATCTCTTCTTTTTTTTTACATGGTATTAATTAGATAATTTTGAAATGTAGTATTATTGTATATATTTACAAAATAAATTATTGTAATAAAAGATATTAATTAGATCATCTTATAAATGTGAAATAGATATTCCATTTATATAAAATTAGGCTTGGCCTTGCAAACATACAAAGAAATATTTTTTCTTCTCTATATTGTGAATCTGAAAAGGAAAAATTGACTCAGATTTTGTAACTATGCTAGTATTAAATAGGAGTTACTATAAAATACAATGAAACATTTGTCAGGTGAGCAGCTACTTTTTGAGACAATTTTGGTCTTATGTAAAGGTAGAGAAAATGTCTTATGGTAATGTCAGTACAATCAAAAGTCTTTAATCCGGACGTCCATAATCCGGAATGATCTATAATCTGGACCTCAAAGCTACAAACTTTCTGCGCATGCGTAAATGCATTTTGCATTTACGCATGCACATAATACATTTACGCATGTGCGTTTAATGTATAACGGACGGTATAAGCTAAGCTAAAATTATCTAATTATCTATTTCAGTTAATGTTGCAGATTGTGTTGTTCCTTAATCCTCTAATTGGATCCGGCTTATTATTTTTTGCAGAGTGTTAGAGCAATTTTATAAAAGTAAGCTTGAACTTTCGATTATGTCAAAAAGAATTTCCGATTATGGAGCTGCCAAAGGATCTACAAAGCGAAAGCATGTTTCGATATCCATCAAACAAAAAGTGGAATTGCAAAAAATGGATAAAGGCATATCCTTTGTTTCTAACCATTCCGAAATCTGTTTATAAACTCCGTGCTGCTCTGTGGGGGGGGAGAGGATAGTCATGGCACGCATTGAACTGGAAGTTGATCTGTCAGCACTATCCTTATTTTCAGGCAGATGTTTTTATTTTATTCGGCTTATAATTTTTTACTAAATATAGTATTTCATCTTGATGTACTCAGTCTTTGATATGATTTAAATCAAATTCTTCGTCATTATAAATATCACGAATACACATCAAATAATTTTCTGGTTACAATTTTCTAATTTCGACTATGCATAATGTATGCTTTACACATGCGCGCGTTGAAAGAAATGTTTAATTAAAGTAAACAAATAAATACTAAGCCTTTTTTTTTGTAAATTTTGATACCCTTTAGATCATAATTGCTCTTTATTTCATAAATTATGGTTTCATATTTTTAATTTTGTAATTTCTGCATGCCATCTTACCAGATTTAAACTGATGATCTCCGTAAAATCTGATAATCTGGAAAGTCCCAACGAGTCCGGATTAAAGACTTTTGACTGTATTAAATGTTTGACTGCTTCGCAGCGCAAAAGCACTGCTTTCATTTGTCTCAAAAACCACTGCGCAGCGAGTTTCAGTGTGTCTTTGTTGCTCCGTGGATGTGAACGTAGTCAGTCTGACCTCACACGTACTTTGTAACACGAGTGCCTTCTAAAATAACTAACTGCGTCATGGTTTTTGAGACAAATGAATGCTGCGCTTTTGTGCCGCATAGCAGTCAAACGATTAATATTCATTTATATTCTCAAAAATATTTGCGAGCTTCAGATGTGGTCATCATGAGTGATTTCATTGGATAGTAAAAAAGTGAAAATTGTTTTTTAGTGATTAACTTTATCATTTGATGAAAAACATGCTTTTATATTGTTGAAGGTAAATGAAATATCTTACATATTATGTATGTAATCCATTTTTCATTCAGATGTTATTTTTTACCTTTCATGTAATGACAGTAATGTACCAGGTTTAAAAAAATAAAAATTCTGGGAAGTACTCCTCTGTTATGTAGATTGCTAGATTGCAAAGAAATTTGATTTCAGCTGACTTTAGGTGTCAGAAAAGAACTAGAGTCTTGCTATAAAAAAAATAAAATCTTCAGAGCATCTGAAATAAATATCTCATATGTAGACCAAGTGATCACTTTTCATCCCAGTACAAAATCGTATCATAAAATCTCTTGTGCCTAGCATCTAAAAGTTTCTTTATGTGTAGATGGTCTAATATTAGCTTGGCATTGTATTGAAATATTCAGATTCATGGAGAAAAAAATCTGTGTAATTCTGATTATTAATTCACACATTCTTTATTCTTAATTATCAGTCTTATTGTATTTGAAATAGAAAAGCTAAGAAAATATAAATTTTTAGATTTTATTTTATTTATTTATTTGTCATTTTGTGTTACCATCAGGAAATTTTTATTTTGTTATAATCGATATTAAATAAATTAGAATTTATATTTTCTTCTCTCATATATTTATTTGAGAAGTAATTCCATTAGTTTACAGAGACCGAAATACACCAGATCCTTTTGTTGAGGACTTCACCAACCTTGGAGATGACGGCGAAGCAGCAGCTGCTGCTTTACCAAATCATGTCTATATGGATGCTATGGGATTTGGCATGGGCTGTTCATGTCTTCAGGTTACCTTTCAAGCTTGCAATATAAATGAAGCTAGAACGTTGTATGATCAACTTGCACCAGTTTGTCCTATAGCAGTATGTTAATGCATTTCTTATTTTATCATTCTGTATATCAGATGAAAAACTAACATATGTTTATTTTGTTGTATAAGTTGAATTATAAATGCAAAAGATATTTTACTATCATGTTTAACAGTAGATTCTGTATTATTGCAGCCATAATTTTATGCTAGTGATTTTTCTAAACTTTTAAAGTAATGCTTCATATTTAATAAAGACTTTTAAAATATTTTTAAAAATTACCTGTTTATTTGTTTGATTTTATGAATTCATTAACTGGAATTGAAAACTCTTTCTTAAAAATGGAAGTTTAGCAATTATAACTGGTTTTTAATTTTATAGCATCAAAATTGTTATCTCTAAAGTTTAATAAATAATGGCCTAATCCTATCGTAATTACTGACATAATAATGCGAAAAAATAAACTAACATAATACAATAAATTAAAAATATTTTGCCATAACTCCATTGACTTAATCTTTTATTATTTTTAAATAAATACTGTTGTTTGTATTCATGAACAAAAAAAGCAAATCTGCTACTATAAATGTAATGTATTGATGAATAAAAAGTGTTATTTTAAAATTTAAAGAGCTAAATTATATAATGAATTATCTTTCAATAATAACTAAGGACTTTTTATGTGAATTGAGTGTTCAGAAGGCCACGAAGAAAGAAGAAAAAATGTATGAGTAAAATAACTAATAATTAAAGTATTTAAAAATTCTAATTGAGGTTAAAATTCAACAAAATTTAAATACAAATTTTTAGTCAAAATTTAAATACAAATTTAGCAAATTGTTATAATAATGATAAACAGTTAAATAATAAAATAAAATATTGGATCTTAGTTGGGAATTACAACTTCATTCAAAAAACAGATAAATAGCTCATATAACCTCTGGTGGTATTTCAGCCTGAAATTTCCTGTATAATGCACTATCAAAGGATGATAGTAACAGACAATGTGACATATATGATAGAAACAAGGGATGGTAGAAAAGACTCTTCTTTTTCAAAGGAAGAAAAGGTAAAACCATTGGAGCATCATTAATGAAAATAGAATACTGGAAACACTATGAGAGTATGAGCGAAAATTTTAATGGAGATGTGTAACTTCGGAAGCAAAGAAGAGTTCAACACTGTCTGACCACAATTCCCTGCCGATATAAATCTAGCTGTCAAGCAGAATGTGGAGAGAAAAAAAACTTGCCTTGAATCAAATGCTATAACAATGTAAGAAATGTAAGGCTCTATACAAGTGACAGTTTTCTTGCCTGATATTTGTTTACATCATCACAAAAAACCCTTCCTTAGGGAGTTACTAGCATTGTACGTGCATAACAAGGGTGACCACATTTAGTACTTTTGAGGGTGGAAATTTTACCCATTCTCATAAATTCATTGTTCTTCCTGCAGCCTTAGGCATGTAGGTAGAGAGCGTTTCTTTCCTTAAAAGTCTTAACCTCTGTCAGAGGCTTTGTTTCTCAGGGAAAGACTGCATGCATTTAACAGTTAGAATTTTAAGTCTTATTTGTTGTTAAAATTTTTCTGCTGAAATTATGGTTCATTTACATAAAAGATGCACTGGAGCCCTTTTATTTAAGTGTCTGGTGCACTCTGGCTGGAATTACAATTTACTTCAAAAACTGAGAAGTACAGGAGCCTGGCTCCTGCGCAGTTTAAGGTCTGATGATGTGAAAGTGCCTCATATGCCTGTATGGGATATATTCAGTCTGATAGAGAATCATACAAATGTTGAATGCTGTTATGCTGAACATTTGCCAGATTTTTATAACTGCTGACCAGTTTCTTGCAAGATAGCTGTACCAGCATTCTTACATGTTTCATATATTTTGGTGAGTTGGATGGTTAAAAAAAAGAATTGTAACATTATATGTATATTCTCTGGAAATGTTCACCATATGCAGATGAAGACTATCTTGCTGAAAGATGGCACTTGGCAGATGCAATAGCAGTTACAATAAAACAGGCCGCAAAATCATATCAACATCATCTCAGCTGTGTCATTAAAGTGGTGTGAAGAACATAAAAATGATTAGGTATCATTTCCCAGTAGCTTTCCAAATGAATGTTAAATGTGATGGATGTGTGCTAATTTATAATGATTTGGGCTGACAGAGGAATTCTTCAGTAATCAAGCAAACCAAAACTGATTTTATTATTTTTAATTTTTATTAATTTGATTTTGTTAAATATAATACAATATCAATTCAGTATATTTCAAACACTGCATCTGCAATATTTCAATAATCTGTTGCTGCCCAGAGTTTGTGGTAGATGTTATAAAGATATTAACAGTGTCAAACTTCTGCCAGCCTTCTTGTAATGGTCTTGTATGATATTATATAAGAAACCCTTACCAAATGAAAGGATTATGTTGTTAACACATTGTGTGTGTGGTAAAATAGTATCCCACAAAACTAACTTTCTATGGAAAAACAAGTATAGTTCAGATTAAGAATGTATACATAATTTATGCAAAAATAAATATTATTGTAATTAAAAGGGGAAAATGAAGCAGATGTTAATTTTTTTTAAGCTAGAAATCTTTTTTCATTAGTTTTTCTTATCTCAAAGACGTTTAAATATATATTATTTAGAGAAACTGTTTTTCAATCTTAAGCCATCTCCTCAATGAATGTCATATGCATTTAACTCTCATAGTAGGCAAAGCTAAAATGCTTATGCAGACAGACCAGGTATCTGAATACTTCAGTTCCTATCAGATTAGCACAAGGCTGACATAAACATAAAAAATTAATAAAACCGTGTAGTGTTTTTTTTTAAAGCTAGAAATCTTTTTTCATTAGTTTTCATTATTTTTGAATCTCAAAGAAGTTTGAATATATATTATTTAGAGAAACTTTTTTTAATCTTAATCCATCTCCTCAATGAATGTCATATGCATTAACTCTCATGATGAGCAAAGCTTAAATGCTTATGCAGACAGACCAGGTATCTGAATACTTCAGTTCCTATCAGATCAGCACAAGACTGACTGGCTTCAGAAATCATCAAATAAGATGTAAATTTTTGCAGTAATGCTTAGAGTAACTTAAAGAGTAACTTAGAATAACTTAATTAACTTAGAGTAACTTAAATTATTTTTACCACATGGTGCTGTATGCTCATGTTATATTGAACTGAAATTATGATTCAAGGGGTTATTCAAGGGTATTCAATATTGTTTATGTGCAAGCGATACTGGGAGATGTTGAATGTTCAAAATTATGATCATGTACACTTTAAAAAAGATAGTTTGAGATGGTATTCACTAAAAATTCTCCAGTGTAGTATGTACTAAGAAATAAATCTCATGATCATATAAAAGTAGTTGTGCCACTCATTTTTTGCTAATTTTAAATCTTCTTTATTTTTAACTTGCTATTTTTCATTATAAATGTATTGATGCTATTTCAAGTTAGTGTATAAATCACTGAGGTTATAAAACTTCCTAGACCTTTCAAGCAGAGAGGATGGTTTCAGGCTAAAAATAATGTGTAATGGTTTGCTTTTTCAAAGCAATAGAAATTGACAATAGGTTATGTGAAAGTAATCACTTTGTTGTACTACTGATATTCTTTCATCACCATGATTGAAATCATTTACTAAGCGAGCGGTTACGGGGTTTACGTGAATGACTTGGGTGATAAAATTTTGCAATACGTATTTTCATTCATTTGATTGTACACTGTGCCTAATATATTTTAAAATGTTGCATTGAAGATGCATAAAGGAATTTATTCTCCAGTATCTTCATTCATTTAAATTGTAAACTGGGCATAATGTATTTTAAAGTGTTGCTTTAGAGATGCATAAATGAATTTAAAAATTCAAATAGTTATTTCAGTTAACGAAGTTTCTATATTATGTAGTTAGCTCTGAGTGCTGCATCTCCAGTTCATCGTGGTTACTTAACAGATAGAGATTGCAGATGGGACATCATTGCTGCCTCTGTAGATGACAGAACTTATGAAGAATTGGGTGTTAAGGTATTTATTGTTTTTTAAAATATTTATTTAATATTTGTTAGTAAACTGCATAACTCTTTAAAACTGGTACTGCAGTTTAAACTGTAGAGCAAATTTTAAGCTATAGAGCGATATGCCAATCAGTGTAGAGCAATTATATTAATTTTACATAGCATGAATGTAAGTAGTGAAAATGTAACAATATGTGTTTTTCTTATTGTCATTACATTGACTGAAAGAAATAACATTTAAGTATAATCTCTCTTTTTCCCCAATTTCAGCCTCTGCAAAATAACAAATTTAGAATAAATAAATCTCGATATGACTCCATAGATTCTTACCTTTCACCTGCTGGAGAGAAATTTAATGATATTGATTTAATATATGATGAAGATATATATAAATTATTGCGTGAATCAGGTGAGGTTTTATTGCTTCAAACTTGCATTTTATGTTTGCCTGTGTATTTATTTACAATTTGCTTTAAATTGCTTTTAGAAATATTAAACTGGATTATTGTAGCTCTCAAAAGATCTAAACATGTATATTCAAATTTCTGAACATGATTGCATAAATAATAATTTTTGTAAACTTTTATTTAGTTCACTCATGATGCTTGACACTGTGGTCAGAAGTTTGTCATCAATTTTAAAACTACTTCCTATTAAGCTGTTGAGTTCAAATTTTGTATATATACTGCTTGTGGATGACAATATAATTTGATGAAGCATTTTTTTTCTAATATTTAATTTATGTTTTCTAAAATTTATTGCCGAAATGAGTTTTTACACATCATATCATTTAGTGAACAAACTAAAAACATTTTTTTTTAACATTTGATGTCCGTGATTTTAAAATTTTAACATCTTGAAATATATTGGTTAAAAAGTTTTGAAATTTTTACAGATATTTAAAAAAAAAAGTCATCATCCTATTTTAAAGCAAGAATGCTAAAATGATAATTAACTGAGCAGTTTTTTTTTTTTTTTTTTTTACATTAAAAAAATGCTACAATATGAATAAAAATAAAAGTATTGCAATTTCTTCAGTCTTCAAGGGCATTTACATGGCACTATTTTTCATGTTGTCATATACATTTCTCAGAATGCTGCAAATAAGACTAATGATTTATTAATGTTAAGAATTATTTACAGTGAAATCTATTGTGTCATTTTTAACTTTTCCATTCAAATGTTTAGATAAATTTTTCTCAATATTTCATTTTAAAACTTAATTTTTAAACTTCATTGTGGTATATAACATATTTTTATGAGATTTTAAAATTCTATTTTTAAGAAATGTACCTATTTTAAAAATTTGAAATTTGTTAAGGTTGTAAAGCAAATTCTTCACCTTCATTCAAAACAATAATAATAAAAGAAAAAAAGTAATATTAATTAGATGACTCTAGAATTTGTATAAAAAAAATAAAAGTATTGCAATTTCTTCAGTCTTCAAGGGTATGATGTTCATTACATGGCACTATTTTTCATGTTGTCATATACATTTCTCAGAATGCTGCAAATAAGACTAATGATTTATTAGTTTTAAAAATTATTTACAATGCAATCTATTGCATCATTTTTAACTTTTTCCATTCAAATGTTTAGATAAATTTTTCTCAATATTTCATTTTAAAACTTGATTTTTAAACTTCATTGTGGTATATAACATATTTTATGAGATTTAAAATTCTATTTTAAGAAATGTACCTATTTTAAAGATTTGAATTTGTTAAGGTTGTAAAAACAAATTCTCACCTTCATTCAAAATAATAATGATAAAAGAAAAAAAGTAATATTAATTAGATGACTTTCTAGAATTTGTATTTAAACTTTCTACTTTTTTTATATATTTTTTACCTAATTCACTCATAGTTTTTGTCATTATAATCAAAATTTTGTCATCCATATTTAAACTATTCCCTTCTTCAATGGAGGAAAGAGCATTATTCCTTTCTTCAATGGAGGAAAGATAAGTGAGTTGCAAGACAAAAGAGAAGCAAGAGAGAGAATATCATATATCTAAGATGAAAATTTAGTTTAGAATAATGTAATTTTGATTTAGCTTTATTTTAACTGGTTAATGTAAATTTTCGGTTACCAATTGAAATTATTATTGTTTAAAGCAGCGATTCTCAACCGGCGGTATGCGTACCACTGGTGGTACTCAAAAGAAAAATAGGTGGTACACAAAGAAAAACAAAGTATTCATTAATTCATTGATGAATCTATTAAATTCAAAAAATTCAAAAATTTATTAAATTAAAAAATTAAATAACCCAACATCCTGTTTAAGTTTTTTCCCTAACACTCATAAATTTATGCGATCTGATCTTTGCTCAAGGTCAATAGCCACTCACAAACTTTAGCAAAATAAACCATTTTTGTTTTCACATATATTCTTTTAGCCGTAGACATAACAAAATTTGTCATAAATACTGTTTTAAAAGGAGTAATAGAAATGGATGTTGTAATAAATAGTGAATAAAAATAAGTTCCTAAAAAAAGATAACAGTTATCTCATTAATTCTTTTAGAATTGATCGATTTTTTAGCATGTCTACACTTTATGTTGCCACCATTTCCGGGCTCATATTGCTTTATTTTTGAATAGAAACATTTTTTTATGTTGATTTGCTATCTCTGACAGTAAGTATTTTGTCTTGTTGCTTTGTATCCTTTACTTTTCTACCCGATTTTAAAAAAGCATCGGTTGTTTGTGAAAGACTTGTAGTATATTGTGCATTTAAGTATCTATGAAAAAATAATAAAACAAACCTAGATTTTTCAAAATGGAAAAATGGCTAGGATTGGCTAAGCCGAAAAGCGATGATTCACAGATGATGGATACAGGACAATGTACTAGCACTAAGAATATTGAAGAGAAAAGAAAAATTGTTTATAAAAAATCTATTGAAAGTTATTTTTCATTTGGATGTACCTGGAATGAAGGTGAAATAGGCCCTCAAACTTAGTGTATTGTTTGCGATGAACTATAATCAAAGTATGAAAACCATCATTTCTTAAAAAACATCTTGAATCTAAGCATGCCAGTTTAAAGGATAAATCTGAAGAATATTTTAAGAGAAAAATATCACAGTTCAAAAATAGTAAGTACCTGGTAAGCATAAGAATTGCCAATACCGGGCAGGCTCATACAGTTGAAGAAAACCTTATTTTACCAGCAGCTAAAGATATCGTTTTAACATTATTCAAAGAAAAAATGGTTAATAAACTCCGTTATCAAATGATACAATAAAAGGATGAATTCATGAGATGGCAAATTCCAAAAATAAAACACATTGAGTATTTCGAATGATGTAACAAACTTTGTTCATTTATTAGTTTAGGTATGTTTCAAAGAAGATATATGAATTGCCGAAGAATACTTATTTTGTGAATCTCTTCATGATAAAGCAACTGCAAATAAAATTTGTAAAGTAATTGACGATTTTATGTCTGAGAATGATATCTCTTGGAATAAGCGCATTACCGTATACAGTGATTGAGCTCGGAATTTAACAGGAAAACATTCCGATGTTATTTCTCAAATAAAGAAAGATGCACTTGAAACTAAATTTACTTACTGATCCATTCATCGTAAAGCTTTAGTAGCCAAAACAATCCCCAAAAACATGAAAATCATTTTGAATCAAGCTGCAAAAATTGTTAATTTTAGTAAAAGCCAGTGGCGTAGCTAGGGTGGGGCAAGAGGACACATCTGTCCCCAGGCGCAGCATCCAAGGGGCGCCAAATTGATGCTACGAAATTTTTTATGAATTGTTTTCCATCCTTGGCACCCAGAAAGGGGGGCAAATTTTCAGTTGTCCCCGGGCGCTGGAAACTCTAGCTACGCCCCTGGTAAAAGCATAGCTTTAAATTCAAGAATATTTACGATTTTATGCCAAGAAATGGGCAGTGAACATGAAACACTTTTGTTACATTCTGAAATAAGGTGGTTATCCAGGCAAAATTTTAAATCGTCTTTTTGAACTTCGATCTTTATGTTCGATCAGAAATTCAAATTTTCCTCTGTGGTTCAAAATTTGAATTGCAAAATTGTTTATTTAGTGGATTATGTTTTGTGCATTTAACATATTTAGCTGATATTTTTGGAAAGTTAAATGAATTAAATTCAGGATTACAAGAACAAAGTGTCAATTTTTTTTTTTTTTTTTACCATTAGAGATAAAATAAATGCAATGATAAAAAAAAAGAGCTAATAATCAAAGAATTGGATAATAATATTTTAAGCTTTTTACCACTTCTAGAAAATTTTCTAACCGAAAATAATTTGAAAATAAAAGAATTAGCATCTGACATTAAAAATCTTTGTTTTTCATTGATAAATAATTTCAGCGTGTATTTTTCCGACGATTACGAAAAAGAAATTTCGATTAGAAATGCATTCAATGAACAAAGGTATTCTTCCATTTTATATTTGAAAAATATATACAGAACAAAATTAAAAAGTTAATCTTAATTTAAGGTTAAAACTAAGTGAAATAACATATATACATAAAGAAACTGATCTCTCTTAAATAGACCCAAATTTCACACTAAATTTTGGAATTAAAGGATTATAACTTAAATTTTGATAATTAAAATGCTAACCAATTTTTAATCTAATATTTTTATGTGCCCATATTTAATACGGATGTTCAACATGTTGTGCATACGGGAGAATATTTTTTTTTTCTTTGAGAAAGTGAAAAATAATCATTATAAAATGTAGTGGTGGTACTAAAGTTTTCCAGTTTTTGTTTAGATGGTACGCAGTAATTAAAAGGTTGAGAACGACTGGTCTAAAGCCTTCTATAAATGCCTGCATCATTAGCATCATGCAGTAATCATATGACATGGATTAATTTTGAAATGACACTGTTTGGGCAATTTGTCATAAGCACTTACTAATTTTAAAATGGAAATGTAAATAACCAAATTAAGATGGAGAGTTAAGGGACTGTTGGAAATTAAAGAAGAGTTTTGGGTTTTTGTATTTTTATCTTGCATATGTAATGTTAGTCCTTAGTTGTGCAAATTACTTGTTAAGTTTGTCCTGAGACCTTACACATGCCTTAACTGTGAATTTTCATATCACTTTTAACCCATAATTACATAAATATGGTGTTTATTTAGCCATAGTTACAAATTATATGAGATATAATAAGTTATCAGATTTAAGCATTTAAGGTAGGGGGTCTTCAACCTTTCGTGTCCGAGGGCCACATCAATAAATTCACAAAGATCTGCGAGCCAAATTCTGTCAAGGATATAGTGTAGTCAGAAAATTTATATAAAAAAGGCAGGTTTGTTTTGCAAGACCACAACTGATTCTAAGCGAAGAAGAAATAGTGAGATATATATATATATATATATATATATAATTGGTTCGAAAAATCAAATTGTACATAGAGATTGCATTAAAATGTTTTGCAACTTTTTTAACTATGAAAAAAGTATAAAGATGACTGTACAGAACGATGTTACAAAATACATTTACAATAAGAAAAACAAAAAAAATACATTACTGGCTGGAGATGGTAATTACTTTAGTTTGAATGTGAAATTTGACATTGTTTTTGCTTGATTAATGCTTCAATATCTGGTTTAATCTGTGTTGTTGATATTCGTAAAGTTTCTTCTAAATGTCTTGTCTTTCAGCCATGCTCTTGTTTTTGGTTTTAGGATTCTCATTTTACTAAAAAGCTGTTCACTTATGTAGGTACTGCCCAAAGTAGAAGACATGAAGAGTGAATGTTTACGAATTCCTGGATACTTGTCTTCGGTCACGTACTTCGAATAAAAATCAATTAATGTAGGATTTTCAAGAAACTTGCATTTTACTTCAGACTCGCATGAAATCTATAAATTCTAATTGAAGTTCAGGTGGAACACTTCCAACGTCTGGTGAAGAGAACATTCTCATAAAAATCTCATTTTAACGAAAATCGTAAAATCTGCTTTTGAATTCCTCTTGCAAATTTGAAATGCATTGTACATAATTATTTGAATTCCATGAGTTCATCACACACTCCATCAATTTTGGAAAGAGAGTGCAATTCTTATTTAGCAACTGACTTCCCCACAGGATTAATTTTGTCTCAAAAGCTTTCATAAAGTAATAAAGATTATGAACAAGCACCTCTTTCCTCAGTAAATGGTAGTTCAAATCATTGAGGTGACCTGTAATATCGACTAGAAATGCAAAGTCTCTCAACCATTTCTCATCACTAAACTCGTGAATAGATTTCCCTTTAGACTGCATGAATTGCTGAACTTCGCTCTTCAAAGAAAACAGGTGCTGAAGCATCTTTCTTTGGCTTAACCAACATACTTTCACATAATACACAATATCACACCATATTCAGCTTTCAAATCAATCAAGAACTGTTGAAATTGCCTTTGAGTAAGTCCTTCAGACCGAATGAAATTAACCACTTTTACAACAACATTCATCATATGTTAAAGTTTGAGAAGGACTTCTTGCACAAATTTTCTTGGTAACTAACATAAACCCTATTTTCAGATTATTTATTCGCTGTGGTGAAGAAAGACTGCTGAAAATTTAGTTTTGATTTTAATTCACTCACCTTATTGCTTCGAAAATGATCTTCCAATGCAGAATATTTCTCACTGTGCTTAGTATCATAATGTCTCTTAATGTTGTATCCCCTTCATCACAGCTGCACTGTCGTTGCAAATAAGGCAAACTACCTTACCCTTATGTACAACAAAAAACAATAAAGATATGAAAAAAAATCGCACTTTTTCTCCAACTTTTCTCTTTTTTGTTATCACGGCTTGCCATTGTATACTCATTTAAAGACCATAAAAGCTTCTGAATTTTAGAATGTGGAGTGAGCGTGAGTAACCTAACTTAAAATTAACTGTAGAAAGTCTGCTTATCACCAAATCACACAGGATGATTACGATCACCGTTACCTTTGACAACTAATTGCAACATTAGGAGAAATATAATTCTGTTAATTTATTCCCTCTACCCACTATATAGTAGCGGCACGCTCAAGATCACCTTTGGCAAAGTATTGATGAAAGATTGATATCTGTTGCAAACTTGTTGGAGATATGAATCTACCCTTTTTATGGAATTGAGATTTATGCATAGTCAAATTTTTTATTTTTTAAAATTACATAAGATAAAGCGAAATTTTTGAAAAATTCGTAATTTTTGGAAAATTTTATCACAAATAATATCAGGCATGCCAATAAAATGCTTTAAATATCAAGAATAAGAGGAAGAAAAGTTTTTTTCACACAACAAAAGCTGACAAGGCAATTTTTCTTGAAATCAAAATTTCTTAAAATTCGATTTTTCTTTAAATTCAAAATGTGGTGCCACTAAGATGCCTTAAAGCATTTAATAGGCCACGGGTTGAACACCCCTAATTTAAGGGATAGCATTTAAGGGATAGAAGTACTTTCATAATTGAAGCCTATAAAAAAATTCTGTCATGTAAATCATCTGCATAGGAAGAATGTTTCAGAGAGTGTATTACATTATTTAGAGAACTTTTCTGATGGGCTGATTCTAGAAATAAGTGTTCTTTCCTAATCTAGTCTACGTTTCAAATGTTTCTGGATAGAATAGATTTCCTTTGTTAATATTACTGCTTTTGGGATCTGTAAAAATAATATAAAAGATAAAATGCTGAAAGCACGTTATTGCTATATTTACATACCTAATTTTATAATAGTAACATACATATTTGAGTAATTTTCTACAGAAATTTTACCATTCTAGTGTTCATTACTGTATTAAAATTTGTGTAATTAATTTTCTCAGACTTTAATCTGAAATCTTTAAATACTTATACTACTTTTAAAATAGTATTAAGAATTATTGACACATACATTAAAAACATACTTTTATTCCCAATTGTCCATTTAACTATTTAAGATGCAATTTAACAAGAATAAAGTGCTGGTATTAAATGCTTTAATGCATTGTAATGTAAAACTCTTAATCAGTGAAAGAAAATGCGTGTACTGATTACATAGAAAATGTTTAAATGTCAGATTTTAAATGTATTTTCTGAGAACTAAGTAAAAAGGTATTTTTTAACAACTTAACCAATAGAATATGTTATATTCATTTTGCATAATAAGTCACATAAATCATTCAGAAATGTTTTCCTTTGGGACTCATTCCATATGAAGACTGTTAATCTTTCAAATTCTGAATAGTAGCTCTGAGCAAATTATTTTAATTATAATTTAATAATTCCAACAAAGTTAATTCAGCAATAACTGTATCTGTTGTAGCCTATTCTCTAATGATACAATATGAGTATTGATCTAATAGATTTATATCTATAATCTTATTATTAAACATGTTGAACAGGAATTTTGGTATGCTCCTTAAATTTTTAGCCACCACTAGATAAGCCACAGCATTATGTGATTTTAATTTCAAAATTGTATGGAAATGGAATAAATTCCATTTTGGACTGTATTTTTGAATAAAAATTTTTTAAGCATACCATATCTCAGAATTTTTCCTCATAGTCACCACATTATGTCTAGACTGTTTTTATGCTCATTTTAGATTATGAAATCATTATTTAACCTATGAAATTTGGTATGCTTTTCAATCCCAGCTAAGCATTTGCAAAGCTATCATTTCCTTTTATTATATAAGTTCATCTACAGGATAGTTTTTTACTCAATGGCAAAAATAAAAATGATACTGAAATAGCTGAATAAAGATTTTCTAACCATGCTTCTTACTGAAAGCTGCAGAGAGAAGTAAGAATGATGCACAATTCTCATATTTTTCAATGAAATAAAGTTGTCCTACTTTAGTACGAGTGTTTATATTTTGTGTTTCAGATCTAAAATTAACAATTTTTTACCTTAGAATTAAGCATTTTGTTAGAAATACTGATTATTAAGTATCATTGAATATTATTTTTAAGGCATTGATCACTTGTTAGCTCAGCATGTGGCACATCTCTTCATCAGGGATCCCATATCATTGTTTTCTGAGAAAATTCATCAGAATGATGATGAAGATACAGATCACTTTGAGGTATAAGATTAATAAATGTTCTAAAAACTTAGTTATTTTTTCTTCCCTTCCTCCCCTCCCCCTTTTTTTATTTTGCATTTTGTAAGAAAATATTAGCTTTAAATTTGGAGTATTTATATATATATTATTTTTTAAAAAGTTATCCTTTTTTTTATGAGCAAAATTTTAATAGCCATGTTCAAAAATAATCTGTGCTTATGCTTTGCTCAGTACTAGATATCTGCAGTCTTGCAGCTGTGGCAACAATCACTGAGAGAACTGGTGCTATTTCTCAGTTATCTGCCGGTAATGCTGCATAGTGATCATCAAATTACTTTGTAACTATAGAACATCCTGAAATAGGGCATTGAATAACTAAGTAAACTCATCATCTTCATAATGATCTGTCTATGTATGTTCTAATGTGTGCCCATCTAATGCTATAATTCCTTAAAACAAAATCTTCAAGCCTTGATGAAGCAAATCTAATGCAAATTTCTAAAAAATAATTTGGGAGCATTCAAATTTTTGATGTAGAAGGTTATTTTATTTGTCTTGAGTTACTGAGTAATTTGATATTTGAATATTCATTTTGAAGACATTTGTAAGTCTTGTTCAGTGTATTCTGTAAGTGAGTTTGTTTATTTGAGAATTTGCAATTCTTTCTCAACTTTTGAAGGGAGGAATAATTTTATTCCACGTAGAATTTATGATTTTTTTGTTTTATTAGCCTCTTTTGCAACAAGTGTCTTTTGGCTACATTGAATCTGAATGCTAGAAAGTTAAATTTTATCCAATGAATTTGTTTGAACATTTTCTGTGTTTAAACGTATGGAAAATGCAGAGTGCTGAAGTTTATATAACACTTTATTTCATTGGGATATTTATTTGTTGCAAAACAGCTATTTTTATTTTTGCTATTGTGTTCAGTGTTGCAAAATGTAGGATTTCCAGAATAAATGGATAATTTGCTTCTGAATAGTGAGAAAATTAACTTTTTTTTTTTTTTTTTTTTTTTTTTTTTCAAATGCAGAATTTTATATTTTCATAACAATCCATTTTTTTCTTTTTTTCTGGAATTATCAGTGCATTTATTTACGCTTTTACCTATTTACATAAATAAGGAACCGTTTTAGAACTAAAAGTTTGAAAACATTGTCTTGAATGCAGATATTCATTTTCAAGTGCAAGGTTCAAGAGGGAAGAAAATCATGTTTTATTTCAGGCAAAGATTTAGTTTACGAATCAGAAAAGTGCTCAGAAATAAATTTCTGCATATTTACAGTAAAAGATCCAAAGCTAGAATAATCACTTTTATCTCCATTTAATTAAAAATTGTCATGATTATCATAGATTTCTTCATCAAAATTTGGTAAGTAATCAATGTCCCAATCTCACATAATCTCAATAACAGATTAGAAATCTGACATATGAAATAAAAATGCCAAACGAGAAAGATCTTTTCAAAGTGACAATGAAATTCATGAATAATGCAGTATAAATTTACAAATACTATGTTTTAATACCATTTTCTAATGAGTAAAAGAGAAAATCTATGACCCATAGTTCATCATATTAGTATATTAGAGTCACAACTACTATATACAAAAATTAGATTTTGAACACATGATCTTGAAGATCTTTGAACACATGTTTCTAGTTCCAGGTGCGGAAAGGGTTAATAATGTAAGATTTTAAATTCAGTGATTTTTCATGTTTTTGTGTAGTTTTTATAAGACTGAAACTTTGCTTTCATTGCCTGTTAATAATTAATGTTTAATTGAAATTTGTATTGAGAATTTTTGATGTAATAATGATTAATTATCATCATTACAGAATATTCAGTCTACAAACTGGCAGACAATGAGGTTTAAACCTCCTCCACCAAACAGTAGCATTGGTTGGAGAGTTGAATTTCGTTCAATGGAGGTAAAAGTATTTTTAAACATAGTTTTCTTATAAAAGTAAGGTAAACTTTTTACAGAGATTTAATCTTATAATGCTCAAATTCTACTTTGTTTATAATGGCAATGAATTTATATTATCCTATGTATACTGAATCATTTGGTTTCTAGAATATCATAAATTTTCAAACTAAAATTAAATAATAAAGAAGTGTGACTGCACTAGAACACAAATTTCCACATTTGTTAAATATATATATATACTTCTAAGTTGAGAGCAACATATCTTATTATTATTATGTTCCAGTGTTAGAACTTTTTAAAAATTTTAGTTTTAACTTTGTGATATAATTATTTACCAATATTTCTTTAACTTTCAGGTTCAGATGACAGAATTTGAAAATGCTGCATATGTGGTTTTCATAGTTTTACTTACAAGAGTTATTCTTACTTTCCAGTTAAATTTTCTAATACCAGTATCTAAGGTAATGTGTAATTAAATTTATTACTGAATAAATATAATCTGTTTAATATTATTACAAATTATCTCACTTTAAAGCGTTTTATAGAGAATAGATGTACAACAGTACTCGTATATTATAAGGAATCAAAAAGAAGCAAATTAAGTGATAAACTATGTTTTTAAATAAGTAAATTATCCATACAACATTGTCAAAAAGTCTCTTGAACAGTTTTCTTCCAAAGAAATTGCACAAACTGTATAAAATTATAGATTAGAAAAACAGCAATTAAAAAGGTGTAAACAAAACAACAAAAACACACAATAGCCAACTGATGCAATGCAATGTGTCTTTTTAAAAAGAAGCAGAAAAAGCAGAATGCATGTAACATGATAACTAAAATTAAGCATGCTTCTCAAAGGATATCTAACTCTCATCCTAGATGCCATCATGTAAAAAAAAGAAAGGAGAGACATATCCCAAGCATTTAAAAGGGAAAAAGAAATAAAACTGACAAAGCAGAATGGGAAAGGGAAGAAAGGAAAAGTAATACTGTATTGGGGGGGGGGAAATGAAACACTACTGAATCAGCATATAGTTCTAAAATTTAAGTAGCAATTAAGACATGTAATATAAATTTATAAATTATATAGAAATACTTGAAAAATTCTAAATCATATGATTATTGTAAAGTGGTAGAGAAAAACAAGAACTGTTGTTATTTTTTCCCCCTCGTTTTAACTAGGGCTTTACTTGTAAGTTGTTACAAAAGAGATTTTGTATACTTATTGTCATGTGGAAATTTTATATTTTAGAAAAAGCTAAATTATATATATGTGTGTGTACGATAAAAATATGTAAATCAGTTTTCAGTTTAGCAATTGGCTTTTTCTTCTTCACTTTTAATTTTGAGCATTTCCTCTCTACTCTAAAATGTTAATACCATTTCTGGATTGTGCCGTTTATAGATAAATCTACATTGCACGGCTTGTGTAACACTGATGACGTAGCTAACTTGTAACCTTAACTCAAAATGTTGAGAACTGAAACCTTTCTAATCTAAACCAAAACTTTCTCTTGGTGAGCCTCCATATTGGATAATTGCACACTTTTAGCTTTAGCTATCCTGCAGTCAAGATGCTACTTTGCTCTGTTTGCTTTGTCATTCTGCTAACTATGCCATTATCTAAAATGTGACACTGTATATAAAATTGTGTGGTGCATATTGCACCCATGATCATATGTGATGAAAGCTATGATTTTGATAATTTGTTCCACCAATAAAAGTTATATGCAATTTGGACACATTTGTCTACAAAGTCCTCTCTTTGAGTAAAGTCTCCCCAGGATATAATGCAGAGAATCATCGTCAATCTGTTGCAAGTTACTCCAAGTCATCTTATTATATATATATATACACACACACTACTTTAATTCATCAGCGTATACAATGTTTATCATCATCGTCAGTTGATGTGAAACCTGTTTTCAGCATCATTTCTGAGAACTTGAATGAATGTGACCATTTTGCTGCATGTTATATAGACACTAATAAATTACTATGATTTTTCTCAAATTGTCAATAATATTGGCTACTAGCATGCTATTTCTAAATGTCAGTGTGCGTTGCAGCTGTTCATAGAAATTCACAGTGTAGTGTAGACTAGCGATTCTCATTTCAAATAAAGCTATTAAATTTTTATTTCTTTTTTGCACCACCTATTTTTGTGAACAAGGATTTTCCATGCTATATTTGAAAAATAGATACAGAACCAAATTAAAAGTGGATCTTAACTTACGGTTAAAACTAAGTGAAATAAGACCAGACATAAAGAAATTGATCTCTCTTAAATATGCCTAAATTTTAGACTTAAAAATATTATAACTTAAATTTTGATAAATAAAATGGTAAGCAATTTTTAATCTAATACTTTTTTATATGTGTGTATATTTAATTAAAATAGCCTGTAGATTGTGCAAATGGCAAAATAAAAAATAATCATTGTAAACTGTAGTGGTGGCAGTAAAGTATTTCGGTTTTTGTTTAGATGGTACTTGTTAGTAAAAAGGTTAACTGCTGGTGTAGACTAGTGTATGCCTACAGGAATGCACAGATGCCAACCTTGCATCAACCTGGACTCGTTGATCTCCAGTTCTTTTATTTGTTTATAAATATGTACATGATTTGAATAATTGGTTTAAGAGTTGTTGCAGGAAATTATTTGGACTAATGTAATTATAACAAAAAAAATTAAACTCTGCAGATACTTATTCAGAGAATTGTGATTAAAAAAAACTTTACATATATTTAAGTATTGGTACCATTATTAGAAAAGAAGAAAAAAATTAAGATATCTACTCTCTTATCTTTTGAAAAGGGTGCAAGTACATATTTTTCAAAAAGGATTATTTAAAAAAAAGTTAATTTTGAAACATTACTGATGGGGTTAGTTTCAAACAAGGGATTTCCTTGAAATGGAAATAAGGATTACAGGGAAATAAAAAGGAAATGCATATCATGTAAAAAATTCAATCAATATTTAGTTTATAGAAATGTATTTTGCAGTTTGAGGCTGACTGTCATATGTCTACCTTTTTCAAGGAGTTAAAAATATTCTTTAAAATTATCTATGCTTTCAGCTTGAATTTTAACTAATTTTAAATCTGTGGAGGGATCATCTTATTGAAGTAGTTTCTAGTATATCACTGATAACCCCTGAGGTATAAGTAATTAGCAATATATTATTCTACCATCATCCTTTTAGCATTCAACAGTTACGTATGTTACAACTTAATGTTTCACATTATACCAGATACTGAAAGCTGAAATTTTTGCTTAGTACTGGAATTTCTGGTCTTCTGTTTGTTCCTACTGCAGTTTGTATATTTATATCAATACTGCAAATTAAATATTTAATATAACATTCATAATTAATTGAAGTTATTTAAGTAATTGAGCTTTCTCTTACAATAATGACAGAATTTGTCAGGACCATTTCATAAAAAAATTGAAAAAAAAAATTGCTTGCAGATTTTATATTTCGGCAATATCACAATATGAATATGCCACACTGGACTCTACATAAATTTAAACATGATTTACATTTTTAATATCTTTCACTGAATTTATTTTGCAAGAAAGTAGACAGGGAAAATGTAATCTGAAATGAAGGAAATCTTGCAAGAACATATTACATAATGTTTATAATTACATAAATTAATTCCAGATCATATTATTTTTTCAGATATTCTTTATGTTTATAACTTATATCAAGTGCTTTGCACAACTTAATTTTTTTTTTTTTTTTTTTTTTTTTTTTTGTTTGTTTGTTTGTTTGTTATTAAATTTTTATAACAGGTAGATGATAATTTATCTAAAGCACAGAAACGAGATGCTGTCTTACATGAAAAGTTCTGGTTTCGTAAAGATTTGACCACTTGTAAGTATGGGTTTAAAATTGCTCTAATTTTATTTCTTTAAATGTAAAATATTTTACATAAATCTTTAGCAAAACTGGCAGCATAAAACTTATTATTTTAATCAGTACTACCAACTTACTGACGTTCATATGAAAAAAAAATACCAAATGCTTCAGGTTCTTTCATAAATGTATTGCCAGTAAAACTATCCAATTGTAATGTTCCTCCCTCCCTTTTAGTTGTCTATATACTTACTGTAATTATGAATATCTGTATAAAATGTCTTCCCCCCCCCCAAAAAAAAATCATTCTGCACATCTATATCAAAATGGGCATTTAAAGATCATAAACAAAGACTGAACTTATGAAGTGTATCTCATTTAAAAACATCCATCCTTCAAAAGAAGGAGATATATTACATGCCATAAGTATTTCCTGCAAAATGACGTGATAAAAAATTTGTGAAATATTTTTAAATACATTATTTTTTAATCTTTGAATTTAGAATAACTTGCATTTTGTAGTTTAATGCAGTTCCTTTCATTTTACTTGACATTAATTTTGTTTACTAGTTATTTTAAATGAATGTTGAGTGAACTGGTTCTTTATTATTAAAATCCATTTCTTTATTAACTGTCCTTTTCACCAGTAATAAATAAGATCTAATTCTGCCCACCCCTTTTATCGTCTCTTTTTTGAATTTGTTACTGAAAATGAGAAAATTAACAAATAATCTGAAAAAAAATGAAGGGAAAAATCCAATTTTTGATTTCTAAATGAAGGGACCACATATAAGATTTCAAAAGTTAACACAGATTTTCAATTCATTAATATTATGCTTAATACAAATGTTTTTAACAATTATTTCATTCATATTCTATGAAGGATAAAGGAGAAGTTCTTAAATTTTGAAGTATGGTTTACAATTGTTACAACCCTTTTGCTGCGTATCTCGCGATTTCCACGGGCAACTTAGAAGTAGCAAAATTTGCACAACCTGCAATTTCCACAGAGAGGCATTTTTTCTGTTTATTTAACTGTGAAACCCGCTCTTTTCCTGTTAATGGTTTCATTTTGGATTTTCTGTGATGTTTAATTATTTATTCAGATCTGGGTTAACAGATGGCATTAGTTGGCCATATTCCTGCAAAATATACAAACACATTTTGTGCGCTCTTTTCAAAACTCAAAGATGTCTGTAATTCAGCTCTCAATCACATGAGACTAACTGCTCGATATTTTGGTAGATATATATCCCCCAATTCCATCAAGAAAGAAACTCCTAGATGTTGTGCTGTTTGTTTCTAAAAAAAACTGAAACTGGCAAAAAAATTCGCGAAGAAATGCGGATTTGGTGCAAAGATGTCGAGGCTTTGTTTCGAAGTCATCTACAGCCTCACAACTGTCTTGTGACCTTGCTACTGCCACAGGAATTTAAGTTTTAAGGAAGATAGTCACAAAAAGGCTCCATGAGACAGGATTGTATGCCCGCTATTTGCGTCCCAATCACTTCCTTCCACAAAAGATGCATACAACACCAACACTGGACACAGCTTCAGTGGGCAAATGATTTCTTCGTGAATGAGTCCACATTCAGTCTACAACCTGATTTTGAGTGATTATTGATATGGAGGGAACCTGGGACTCAATACCAACTCAGCAGCATCATGGAAAGGGACCATTATGATGGTGGAGGAAGAATGATCTGGATAGGGATCAGGCAACACACCCGCACACCGCTCATATGTTTGATACTGGTTTTATGAATGCTCAGAAGTACAGGCAGGAGATCCTAGAGACCTGTGTGTGACTTTTCAGGGAAGTTGTTGGCCCTGAGTTCATTTTTATGGACAATAACCAATAATAATAATATGGACGACCACATAGAGCCCACCTGGTTGATGACGATCTGGAAAGTGAGGATATTCACTAAATGGACTGGCCAGACAAATCTCCTGACTTTATACCTATTGAACATGCTTGGATACTCCTAGAAGACTACAACAATATGCAAACTCCCACCCAGAATCATTCAGGTGTTAAAAGCTGCTGTGGTGGAGGAGTGGGTGTGACTTCCACAGGCACTCCTGAACTCTCTTGTTAACTTTGTGTATGCTGTCGGCCTGCCAGAGATGATCACACACCATCTAGCCACATTTTCTCTGCCATCTTTCAACCTCAAGTTTCAACAACATTGGACTCTTGGCCGTAACTCATGCTAATAAATGGCATTTTCATCATTATTTGATATTTGGGAAAAATGTGTTTCATTCTTAATTTTGTCCACCAGTGTATATTGGCTTTCAAGAGGAAGCAATTCAAAATATTTCTCTTCCTTATTGTTAGAAATTAAAACCTTTCTCCTTGAGAAGAGTTTCAACTATCCTGAATTAATGGGCAATTAGTGGATCCAAAAATTTTCTTACGTGGTAGACATTACATCTTATCTAAATAATCTTGATTGTAAACAACAAAAAAAAAAAATGTTGGAAGAAGTCACTTCATTCAAAAACAGATTATCCCTTTTTGCTCAAGATTTTGAAAGAGAAGCATTAATTCATTTTCCATGGCTACTGAAACATCGCCAAGGAAATATTTCAGTAACTGAACATATACTGTTTCAAAACAACAGTAATTTTTATTGAAACAGAAGTTCAGCAAGTCTGAGGCAGAATTGAATGGTACTAAGAGACAAGGAAAAGATGCCCCATGAAGACAGTTACCTCTTGTTTGTATGTTTTCCTGATTCAAACAACATTCTTCCTTTTCTGTTTATACTATGCACTGTCCTTTACAAAAGAATGCTAGAATTAATTAAAATTTTCATGTGTTTAATATTGTGTACATTTGTTTCATTTTGTGTTATGAACTTGTATAGAAAGTATTATTGTGAATTTTAAATAAATAACTATCTGTCTTCTAAAAATTAATTCTGATGGAAAAATTAGGTTTATTAAATTTAGATGATGAATAGCCTTGAGTGAATTAAATTTGTGAACTATGGTTTCACTTTATACATTTAGCTTTAAATAAGTTGTACATTACATAAATACTGATTTATTTATTTAAAAATTTATTTACCTCTCTGGTAAGGATTTCTTACCAAATGTGATAAATTGTATTTATTCTGATATGAAATTCTTAGTATTGTTTAAAAATAATTCTTATTTGTCTTAGGTGAAAGCCCTCCAGAAGCTGCAGCTTACATGGCTGAATGTTGTAGCTCTGATGAGTGTCAGTACACTCTTATGACCATCAATGAAATAATAAATGGTAAAGAAAATGAATTTCCAGGACTTGTACCATTGATACAAAAGTTTTTGACTAGTATGGATATTGATGTAGATACCCAATGCTCAATTCAACAGTATTTGAAATTAATTCAACTAAGAGCAAAAGGTAAATTTTGTTTATAAATAAAATTTATATTCTTTAATCACTTTTTAAGGCAAAAGAAAAAATGAACTTATTGTGCAATGTTTTTACAGCATTTGAAAACAAATTTTTGAATGAATTTTTTTGATTCATTCATTCATTTCAAGATATCCAACACAGAGTTTTAAAATAGTGGCATCAGAGCAATTACAGAGTTTTAAAATGAGGCAAAATTTAACTGTAGATTGGCCTTAGAGCAATGTTGAATGCAATGATGGACGATATGATTCAGGTATCTCTTCTTCAGTGAAAAAGTATGTTCTGTTGCTCATGTATAAAATGAAAAAGAAAAATAAATTCTATATATGGCACCATCTATTAAATAAAATAGACAAAAAAAAGAAGAGAAAAACCTTGAAAAGTTCTTATATAAGGTTTATAAATATAATTTTTTTGATATGAGAAAATTAACATGAAAATCGTGTTAAATTAGAACAGCTTTAAGGAAACCTATTTTACAAGCTGCAAGGTCTGAATGTAGGTCTGAATGTCTGAATGAAGTAATAAACAATCATTAGCAGTGGAAGATTTATTTATTCCTTTTCTGATGTAGCTTTTTTGTTTGTTTGTTTTAAAATGTGGAAATTTAAACTTCATTTCTACTCATGTATGTTAAATCATAGAGGCAAGGATTGATTATAAATATCAACTTATAATATGTAAATTATGCAGATAAAAATTTCAAATCTGACAATGGAATATTTTTAAAAACTAAATTATGGATTTTATGGATTAAAGGAAAAATAACTTGAAAGATGTGTAAACGAGATGCATCAGTAATGTTATGACAAACAAAAGGACAAAAAACAGAATGACATAGTGATTATAAAGATTGTTTTAAATGCTAGAATATTTCTTACAGTGGTAAAAAGAATACTTATTTCTTTATCAATAAATAACATACTAAATTACTTTACCTAGAATAAAAGGAAAGAAACTCTTAGTTTAATAGTTATAGAATAAATAGTTGAGCTCCTGAGTGGATTGTACAAACAAAATTCATCCCTCCTTCCTTACTAAAATGCTAAGATCATCTTTAGCACAGTTTTCCCAACATTTTAGACTTAAATTACACTACCATGTATTCATCATCCATGTAAACTTGACAAATGTTTCCATTGCATAAAACACAAAAAAAAAAAAAAAAAAATCTTGGAATTGCAAATACTTTGGTTTATGAGTGTTTTAAGAAAAATTTAAGAGCAAAAACTTTAATGAATTTTAACAGCAAAGTATGAAAGTAGCCAACATCGCAAAATTTTACAAGAAGTCTGCATCATTTATGTGCATAGTATTAAAGAAGAAAGAAGCAATAAGGTGGCTAGATGTAGCAAAAGGAATCATGAGAGTATCAAAGCAATAACCATGTACTCTGGAAGATATTAAAAAATTGCTTTCTTTCTGGTAAACTTAGAAAGAACTAACAGATAATACTATGACTGAGAATTTTATCTGTAAGTGGTCTTGTATGCCAACATAGTAAGTAAATTGCTAGGTATATGTTGACAGAAAATGAAAAAAGCTTCAAGATGAGCAGGGAACGGTTTAATGAATTTAAATGCAGAAGTGACATCTACACTGCTGTGAAGCACAAAGAGCCTGCAAGTTTGGAAGGTAAGGACTCTGTGGCTGTCTCTTCTGAGTTCTAGAAACTCATGATTTCGAAGTATTACCTACCTCAAAAAGATTTTAACTGTTGATGAGACGAAGCTATTTTGGAAAAAAAGATGCGAAAAAATGAATTTACAACAGAAGAAAATGTAATTTCTAGTCACAAGCCTAGAAACTGCCTCACCCTTTTGCTGTGTGCTAATGCAGATAGGAATTTCAAAATCAAGCCTTGCTTGTATGTCATTCTGAAAATCCAAAGCTTTCAAAAAATGTTAAGTATAGAAGAGCTAATGAAAACATTATGTGAAGATCAAAGATTTGTGATAAAGCCTGAGTCGTTCTTATCTTGTTCGTTGAGTGGATCAGCAAGGTATGTAGCCTTGCGATAAGAAATGCCTTTTTTAGAATAATCTGCTCCTCAAAGCCTTTCTATATACAGATTCCAGTAGTTAGTAGAGGAATTTGAGTTCATTAAGATCAAATTTCTTCTTCGCATTAGTACACCACTGCTTCGGCCTGTGGCTTGGTAGGTCATTTCAAACTTGAAAAGGCTGTACACCAAAGCGCTATTCCAGTGATGTTCTGAGATTACCAAGAAATCCTTAATTCTGCTGATTATATTCTTGGACATGAATTTTATGGATTTGCTTATGAACTTGACATGCCATTAGTACTTGGGATGACTATGGGGTTGGAGGTGAATGATGATGACATTCAAGAATTAGTGGAGGAATATAGGCAGGAGCTGATCACCAACAGACTGATGGATCTACATCACAAACAAGAACAAAAGGTTATGATGGACAACTTGTCTAAGGAGGAGAAGGAAAAATCACCTCAAATGAGATTAGGGAAATATGTAAAATGTAGGTGAGAGAGCAAAATTTTATAGAAAAACACCAATTGAATAAGACTGTAGCTGTGCAAGTAATGAATCCATTTAACGACAGTCCAATGTGATATTTCTGCAAAATTCTCAAATGCTAAAACATCTGTTATTTGATAGGGTTATTGTTAGTCATATAAAAGAAAAAAAAAAAAAAAAAGACTTCAGTGAGACAAATGATAGGAGAGATTCTGATAGTTAGCCACAATTTGTTTCAAAGGTAAAATGCAGATTAATTTGCTTTCTGTATTTTATTTTAATCTTATTTTATATTTTGTGCTAATTATTTTACATGAATAACGTTGGGTTGTGAAACAAATCATATGAGTTTCCATCACTTCTTGGAAAATTTGCTTTGATATGTGTGTGCTTTGAATTGGAAGTACGTTTCTGGAACAATTTATGCATAGACACCAATATAGCACTGTACACAACTTTTGATTTATTTTTCAGTCAGACTTGTGAATAGGCAATTTTGATAGCATTGCCATTCTGCAAAACATGAGACCTTTTAACCCTTTGGTGACCATGAATGAACCTAGGTAACATTTGGGGTTGAAACTTTAGAATGCATAAACAAGCTCAGCTTATTAAAAGAATTTCTGCCAAGCAGGACAAATGAATACTGGAATATTTACTCTACACAAGTAAATATTTTATAGCCATTTATTAATTAATGAATCAGATTTGGGAAAAAGAATAAATTTCAGTTAACAATTATGAAAGCTTCAAGTTTTAAAAAAGTCAAAAATTTTGATATGTCCATAATTTTAGAAGAGAAAGTGAGAAAAAATAATTTCAGCAGCAGTTTACAGCATTATAAAACTACTTAAATGTTTTTCAGCTGTAAGAAGATGGACAAGTGTTCTATAAAATTGTGCATAACTCTCCCTAAAAAAAAGTAGCTTCTAATTTTCTGTAATGATGCAGAAAAGTGATGAGCAGATGAGTGCAATTTATTAAAAATAAATGGCATCTGTGGGAAGAAATAGATTTCTAAACAGTTTGATCATTAGATAGTATACATAAAATATAACAGATTAAGATTGAGGAGAGTTTTCCTTTTTTTTTTTTAATGCTAACAGTTATGAAAAATAGCATGTGATAGAAAAAATTTAGTAAGGAATTTAATTTTTATAACTTAAATATATGAAAATGGTATTCTACAAATCCTGTTTCATAACATTTTAGTGTTTATTTTGTGGAGTATCATTTTATAATGATTTGATGTTAAGAGAATAAAATATACATGAGTTTTCTGAAAATTTCAAAAAAATATTTTTACAGTATTAAATACTTTTGAAGTTCAGTGGAAATAAATCTAGTGATCAAGTAATTTCATTATTGGGCATGAAGGAGTTACTAAAAATTAGTAAAATCCCACTTCCATGAATATTGAAATCTGAAAAAAATCTAGCACAGTTTGCAAGAGATCAAATGAGTATTTTCATAATGAAGTAGATACGAGATAATTTAACAATGAGTTTTAGCTGCAGAGAACAGAAATTACTAAGATTTTTCGAGATATACAAATATGGCTTCCAATTCTGGATTCTATGATTCAATATGTTTATATGTTTTTATCTTGAGTAATAATTTGATCATCTTTTTCAGCTTTGAAGATAATATTTGGATGAGAATGAATTTCACATTAAATTGTTCTGCCTTCCAGAATAACATTAAAACATATGAAGCCTTATTATTAAACTTAATTTTGTAAATAATTAGATGGCAGTTAGGTTAATGATTTTCGTTCTTTTTTTCTTATCTTTAAAAAAAAATACATAAAGCACTGTAGCACTTTTACCGTATATTTCTGAATACAGTACAAAGTCCATAATCCGGACTCGTCGGGACTTCGCCGATTCCGAATTATCGATTTTTCCGGATTATAGATAATTAATTTAAATCTGGTAAGATGGCATGCAGAAATTATACAATTAAAAATATGAAATCGGGATTTATGAAATCATGAAATATTTATGATCTAAAGGGTATCAAAATTTACAAAACAAAGCTTAATATTTATTTGTTTACCTTTTTAAACATTTCGTTCAATGTATGTTGTTTAAGTTGCTTTGTTTTTTGTGCTAATACTTTTCTCTGTTAATTCTATAAACAGACATAATTCCTTGTTCAGTTACTAAGTTCCACTGTTCAAGTCCTGTAATTGCTGTGTCGAAAATACCGATTAACTTGTCAATCGAAATTTTTTCGTTTTCAGTAACGTTCTCTGTTACTTTCTTCACTATCGGAAGCGCGCATGGGTAAACGCTTTACTGGCTTTATGCACATGCGTGTTTGTGCCTTTGAGGTCCGGATAATGGACATCTGGATTACAGACTTTGTACTGTATAAGCCTAGTGTGCATTTTTTCTTCAAAAATTTATCAAAAATTCAAAATCTGTGTATAAACCGAAATGAAAAACATTCTTGTAAGATTCAAATATGTCGCAGTGAGCACGAAAATGTTGCCAAGCAGGTAAAATGCTGGAATATTATTGCTTTAAAGCAGAACACCAATGACAATATTTTAATTCTGGTAACCCTACTGAAGCTAGCATGTTTTCCCCATTCATTTTTTGTTGTCCCGTATGCAATGTGTGGTATCTGTGCTGGTCATGTTTTTTTTTCTTGTTCCATTTTATTTTTGTCAGAACGTTAAGCGGGAAGAGAAATTCTTACGCAGCAAATTTCAAACAACAGATAATCATGTTTGCTGAAAATTCTAACAACAGTATGGCAACATGGCATTTCTCCTAACTAAAAAACATTTGCGAGTGGGGAAAAAAACATCTTAAATTAACAGAGATGCCAAAATACAAAGTTAATTTTCAAATAGACAGGGTGCAAATTTTGCCAACATCAGACTTTCCATTTTGACAACGATGCAACAAATCAGCAATGTAAACAGTTTCGAAAATAAAACAACTCATTTTCACAAAATGAATAATTCATTCCATTTAAAATTAATTTTTTCATGAACTTAAGAAATATAAACTAAGGAAATAAAAAAGTGCTATATTGTCAATTTATCACTTGCCCCCTGCTAGTAGAAAAGTACTTATGTTTTTTTACAAGCTTTAGAAAAAGTTCCAAAAAATTTTTGGATTCTGCACAAAAATATGTGGTAGCTGGCTCCAGATATTCAAAATAATTTTTATTTCTGAAATATAAATTGTTTTCTTACTATTTTTCAGGTGAACTTATGACCACAGCCCGTTGGATACGAAATTTTGTTGCCAAGCACCCTAGTTATAAATTTGATTCAGTTGTAAATGAAAGAATTAATTATGATTTACTCACAACTGTTGATCGGATTACTCAAGGCAAAGAAGAATGTCCAGAAATATTAGGACATCCAACTTCACGAACCCGTGAACACATTCCGAATGCTGTTCGCAAAGCAGAAAACAGTTATTCAAACTTGATTACGGAAAAAGTAACATGAACTAAAATAACACACTTTACTTAGAAAATGTTACATGAATTGAATTGTGAATCTTACTCAATGGTTTCTTATGGGTTTTGAATTATGGCAAGAATATGGATTAATTATGAAAACAATTTTTAAAGCAGTTATTAGTTAAAATCTTTTGGCGTCATGAAAATAAAATATGGCTTTGATGTTTTAATCGTAAATAATGTGTTCAATAGAGATTATTTACTGTAAAACCTGATTCAGTTTCGTCTTACATTTTTTATATTAGAACATTATGTACGAAAAAGTTATCTTAATTTCTGTGTAAGTTGCAAAGTAATACATACATATCTGAATATTTAATCAAAAGGAGATGATGTATGTACATCTCTTGCACAATATGCACACAGCTACATATTTCCAGAAATTAACTATACCCAGTATATTTACACCAAATTTTAAAATATGTAGCATATTTTACTTAATGTACATGTTCAACAATGTATATATAAATTAAAGCTTTCTGATGATTCTGTGAGGTTAATATGTATACAGTTAGTAATAATCTTTAATTTAGCCATTTTATGTGCAGCATACTTTAGTAATCATTTATGATTGCTTAGATTTTGAAACATTTCTTTAAAAGTATTAGAAATGTATGCATGTGTAGAAATACTAATTTTTAGTTCTTTTGGAAACTTTCCAGATTATAATTTTTACAAATTAAAATGATTTAATAATTTTTTTTTTTTTTTTTTTTTTTTTTTTTTTTTTGCAAATTTTTTTCAATGCAATTATTATAGTTTAAGGTATATTGAAATTACCCAATTTATGTACAATATTTGCTATATATGTGTGTGTGTGTGTGTATTTGTCCATGTCTGCTAAGTTAATGCATTTTGTAATTCATGAATCTGGTCAGTATTAAAGGTATTTGTAGCAGAAAGCATGTGATTTGTAAAAAGTCATTGCTTATATTTTTTAAAAGCATTAATAAAATATGTTAGTAATTTATTACATCTTAAAAGTCTCTTGCTGATTTTCTTTATATAATATGTTGTTTAATTCAGTGATTTCAGTGCTTACTACATGAAAAAAAAAGTTTAAATTCTGTAACAATACGTTTATTTTTTTTACTCTAAGAATAAAAAAAATGTTAAGCAAATTTTTTTCATCCCTATGTCATAACAGTATATACTATAATTATTATATATGTTGCATTTTGATACTGCATGTCCTGCTTTTTACTAATTTGGTGAGACTTTTAATTTAGAGTAAGCAGAATATTGCACTGCAGAATAATGAAATAACCTTGTATAATTTATAAAAAGACAAGTTAGCTAATGAATTCTCTTCAAATTTTTTCCTTTAAAATGGGTATTTTAAATACTAAAATTTCAAAAGGCTCATTCTGAGATACCATACAAGTGACTGTGATTCATTGTTAAATTACAAATTCATTATCTAGAAATGTCTGTGGAAAAAACTGTGTAATGAAGTAATTCTAAAAAAATGTTAGCTAATGAATTAAATTTTATCTCTTGAAATGGATATTTTGAACACTAAAAAAGTGAAAAGTTCCATTTTGAAATACCCGACTGTGATTTATTATTATATTGTAAATTCTTATTATATAAAACTGTGTAATGAAATAATTCTGTAAATTTTAATAAACAAGTTAGCTAATGAATTCCATTAAATTTTATCCATTAAAATGGATATTTTGAATACTCAAAAAGTCCTAATTTATTATTTAAAAATTTGTAATCATATAACTCTAAGAAATGAAATTTAATGGAATTCATTAACTAATGTATCTCTTAAAATGGGTAATTTAAAATCTGAAAAGTTAGAAGGCCCATTATGGGATACCATATGGGTAGCTGTGATTCATTGTTAAAATACAAATTCTTATTATATAGAACCACTTGCTGAAGTACTTTTTTTTTTTATTATTATTTTTAAGAAATAAGTTAGCTGATGAATTCCATTATATTTCCCCTCTAAAATGGATATTTTGAACACTGAAATGTCAAAAAGTGCATTTTAAGATACCACACCTGTGATTATGGTTCATTGTTAAGTTAAAAATTCATCATCTAAAATGTTTATGTAAAAAATTGTTTAATGAAATAATTCTAAGAAATAAGTTAACCAATGAATTCCAGTAACATGGATATTTTGATTCTTCCTTAAAATGGATATTCTGAGTACTGAAAAGCCAAAAGTTCCATTTGGGGATATCATATCTGTGACTATGATTCATTATTAAATTGCATATTCTTATTATATAAAAATGGTTAATGAAATAATTATCTAAATTTTAAGAAACAAGTTTAGCTAATAAATTCCATTATTTTATCTCTTAAAATGGATACTTTTGAATACCGAAAAGTCAAAAAGTCCATTTTGGAATACTAGATGGATGACTATGATTCATTATTCAAATTACAAATTCTTTTTATGATATAAAATTCGCTGAATAATGTAGGCAGAGAGGTAAAAACTTACACACATGCATGAAATAAATATCATGGGATTTTATTGAAAGTAAGAAAAAAAAAAGTGCTTAAAACAGCCAACAGATGGCACTTCATATGATAACAAAAGCAATAATTAGCATAAGAATTGATTTTTAGCAAAGACTATGTTCTTTATAACAAATGTTCAACATGTTGGCTGTCATTCATCAATAATAGGTCGAGGGACAATTTTATGAAAAGCTTTGTACAGCATATCTGTAGGTATGGTGCGAAATTGCCGTCGGATGTAGTCTTTTAGTATCCCTAAAGAGGTCGGACGATCACAACAGACATACAATTTTAGGTAACCTCACAACCAATAATCACAGGAATTGAGATCTGGGGACATGAGAAGCCAAGCATGATGGAAGTGGTGGCTCAGTAAGCAATCTCACCAAATGATGTGTGCAAGAGATCTTTCACACGTGTAGCAATATGGGGTAGAGCACCATCTTGCATAAAAGTCATACCTTCCAACAGATGCTTATCAGCCAGACTGGGGATGATGCGATTCTGTAACATATCAGCTTACCTCGCACTGGTCACACTGGCAGTTTGAATAGCAGAACCACACATTTCCTTGAAGGAAAAGGGTTCAATCACGATTGATGTGATAAATCTACATCACACCGTGACCAACATTCACAGGCAAGGATAGAAAAGTGATAAAGTCATGAAGGGACTGATTCCCTTTCTCACTGCTGCTCATTTCATGCGGTGTCACTGACATTTTGCTGTCCAGCACCATATGTTATCTTTTTTTCTTTCAAAAAAACTCCATGTCATTTCAAGCATGTATGTCAATTTTTAACTCTCTACCTACATTACTTTGTGAATTATTGAATTTTCAAATGTTAATGGCCTTTTGGTTCACCCGGTACTTTGTATATTACATTTTGATTCTACACTTTTTATTCTGTTGCAATGTTCAATGTGAAAATACTTTTTAAATGTGATATTACCAGAACCTTGAATTCCTTTATTTTTTGCTTCCCCAGAGTGTCCTATGAAATTTTAATATATTGTGTTTTAAAGAATGGTGTTAATTTTCTCTGTATAGGCTGTTGGATAGCTCAAGTATAGTTGTATAGGCTCAAGTATAGGCTGTTGGAACTTTTTTAAGTATTGAAAATCCAGACTATTCTATTTTTCAGTATTTCAACTGAAATGTTATAAATCAGATCTAGATAAAGTTCTAACACTGCAAATCTGAAAAGTTTAAGGAGGATTTCTTTTTGTTTTAGATTGTGAATTTGGTAAGAAACAGCTGATTTAGTTATCTGTTACAAGTACTTAATATTTGATCTAATGTATATACACATTTCAATCACAAAAATAATTTTTAGCTCTGCTTAATAAAAACCAATCTTTTAATCATCCCTACAGTGAAATGCTATCAAGGGTTGATTGTATAAATAAAAATTATTTATACGTTAATATTTATAATTTGCTGGCTAGACCATGTACACATTTTTTGTATATGTTTCCTCTTAAAACAGTGATTTTTTGAAAAGGCATATATTTTCATAAGATGTAAATTAAATTATCAAGCATGAAAATTAGTTATAGTTAACAAATGTAGTAAATAATAGCATATAAAAAGAAAAATACATTTTGTGAAATTATTGAAACATTATGGGAAAATTATATGGGTCCAATTTAACCATTTTTAACACTTTTTCATTTATTTATTTTGAAACACCAGTTAACATAGAAAATTCCATAAGCGTATATTATTGATGTAAATGTATACTAGAATATTTATACGTTGAATTTCATCATTTTGTATATAAAGAAATAAATAAGTTTTTTCCCTTCCATACTGTCTTAAATTACTGTCACACTATGCATTAGCATTAATTCAATTTTATAAGTTTTGTAATTCTTTTATTTTGTCTAAAAAACTTATACACTTTTTATATTTCTGTGGCATTTGCATAAATTATTAAAGAAAGTAGCATTATATTTATTACATAATGATACTCTGTACAGGAAAATATAACAATTAAACTGCAGCTTTGATGGCTCTTTTGTTTGAAGATGCGTAATCCTTCATGCGTTCTTCAATAAGTGGCCTAAAGTGGCGAATCAAACCCTGTTAAAAAAAAAATAAACTTAACATAAAGAACATGAACTTGGTATAAAGAAAGTCTGAAATGAGGATTTAAACACATTCTATGTAATTATGATTGGACTTGTTACTGACTCACTATTGCTTGCGATGCTATCTGTTAAGAAGGTTGGGAAGTGCTGCATCAATGTCTTTGAGGCTAATAAATGATCTTGGGTTTCAAACTGAGGTCTGTAATGTATATATAAGTCAAATATAGCAATGCCAATACAAAGTTATATTTCTGCACTTAACTATCCTCAAGGACACTCAGCAACACTTTCCAACCTCACTAATGAAATAGGCAGCAGCAAAAGCAAGCAGATTTGCCACTTAATAAATAGACTGATTTCATGAATATAAAAATCAGGTGAATATTTAATTAAATATAAAATAATGCTTATACAGGTATGATAATTTAATAATAATTAGCACAGAAAATATAAAAATTTTGTGTGGTTGGGGAGTATGTGTGTGAAAAGATTTTGTGTAAATGTTTTAGTTATTACTGCATTTTGGAATTATGCATACATGATTCTGCTTTGGAATTTTGTCTTACATTGGCATTATGCTAACATACTCTAAAACATTTAAAAGAGAAGCTGTATGCTACATACAGTACAGAAAATATGTGTAACATGTTGCTTATAAGTCTTGCTGTCAGTCTTTGGAGAAAAGTGGTTAAGACATTGCTGTCAGCATGAATGATCATCTAGATCTTTACACCTGACACTTTGGTTTATATGATTACAGCCTCGAGGGCTATCTGCCTAAGGGGAAAGATGCCTTCATGGAGAACTTTCTCAGGGAAACTGGCTCATATCATTACTTATGGGGGAAAACCATGAAAACGCTGATGCAGCCGTTTGCAGGATTCAAACCTCGAACCAAACTACCAGTGTTCAGTGACTTTACCGCTTGGTCATTGGTAGGCATTTCTTTAGAACTGAAATTTTGGCTTTGTTATTATCATAAACTACCAATATTTATATTTATTTATTATTAAATATTTATTTATTAGTATTATGAGATAATCACTATTTATTTATAGTAGATAATCACTATTTATTTCATAAATTTATTATAAATTTATTTTGTATTCTTCTATGGAAAATTTTATAATATATAAATTCTATTTCTAATAAAAAAATTTACATACAGAATTTCATGAAAAACATGATTTAAAAAAAATTTTTTTTTTTTTTTTTTTGTTGCTGATTTTGCAATTTACAAATAAATACAATTCTTTTTTTTAATACTGACTCTTGAATCACTCCTTAAATTAGAATCCAAATCAAAATAGCACAATGCCTGAACAAATTTTAGGATGCAAATTAGGCTCCAACACGTCAATGAAATTCACAAGATGTAATACAAATTGCTAAAAAATAACAGAAAAGCCATCTTGGGAGGAAGCTTACCATCTAAGAATACTTGCAATAAAAAATTATCTAATATATTTTAAACATGAATTGTTCCCCAACTTGAAACTGTTAATTACAAATGCTTTAAACACCAACCCTCTTTATCACTTTAAAGACGTTATACAAATAATTAAACTGTTATCTAAAAGAAAGGAAAATTTCATAAGTATTTTTCATCACTTTGCAATTTTTATTTTCAAGGTGTATATCTTCTTCCATGAATCTTCACTTCAAAGGAAAGTTTCTGTAAATATTTTGAAAAAAATCTGACTTAATTTTAAAAAAAGTACAATATTTGTTTGACTGATATACTTTTGACCACCTTGCTTTTCTGCATCACTTTTACCATAGTCATGATAATTAAACAGGAATTAATCTTTTATGTATGTCTTCACTGCTATTTGGTTTTTCCATAATTTAAGATTATTCACAAGTATTTTCAAAACTTATCCATTTTAATGTAAGATAGAAAGAATAATACAAAAATTTAATTTAGTGCACAAAAAAGATTAAACAATTGATAAGTAAGAAAATCCACAAAAATGTTGAAATCTTGAGCATTTGTTTTCAATAAAATTCAAAAACTTTAAATTTGCAATATGATAAAATAACAAGTTTATATTTTTCCAACTAATGAAATTAAAGGAACTGAAACAGTCAAAATTACTTCAAATGATAAAAATTCCAGTAAATATTAATTAACTAAATTTGACTAAGAAATAAAAATACAATTTAATAATATATCTTGTAATGAATATAACATGAAAAAAAATCAAATAGAATCTTTTTTTTTTAATCAAATTACAAAATTTATTATGAAGATGATCTGATAAAATAATTAGCAGTTATCAATATATCAGAAATTATCATTAAAAAAATAATAATTACTTGAACAGGCCATGCTGCACCATCACCAAGAGCACAAATAGTATGTCCTTCGATTTGTTTACTTATTTCATAAAGCATGTTTATTTCATCCGCTTCAGCACTACCTTCAACTAAAAAATATGAGTGTGTTTTCATTATGTTTCATATATAATTAAATCAAGCCTTTATCAGATTATGAGGGCAGTCCCAAAAATAAGGTCTCCTATTTTTCGGGGACAAAGTGAAACTGTTAGTGTGGTTGTTGGCCACACTGTTCTGAGTGATGCTTCCTACACTCCCAGATAAGTGTGTATGCCCTTTGCTGAGATGCTCAGTCTTAGCTTGGCTGCCATTCAAAAAGGAGCTCCCGTTAAACATCATCACCACGTGCAAAGTTCGCACAGTTATTTGCTTTTTTAATGCAAAAGACATTACACTGGCTGAAATTCATCACCAGTTGATAAAGTGTATTGACAGTCGTGCATGGATATCAAAAATGTTTGCAAAGTGGTGTAGAGAATTTACAGCCAGCTATACCAAACTTCATGATCACGAAAGGAGTAAGTAGACCCTCAATTTCTAACAGACAGTCATAAAGGTTGAGCAAAACATGTGTAAAAATTGGAGGATCAGTCCGGATGCTCTCTGCATGTTTGTTCCTGGTGTTTCCCAAAATACCACCCATAGGATTCAAACAAAAAAAGTTGCAGTATTGGAATATGCTGACAGAAAAGAGATGGCAATGAGTTGCTTCTTTGCCACTGTGCAGATGCAAAGGACTTGATTGTCATAGGTGACGAAACTTGTGTATTCCAATTTACACCTAAGAGACCAGACAATGGCCAATGTGGCATTCTTCTTTGCTTAAACAGCAAAATTTCAAGTAAACACAGTCTGCCAGTAAAGTCATGACAACTGTGTTTATGGAACAGAAGGGGGTATTGTTTGTTAATTTTTAACCTGTTGGAACCACAATAAATGCTGACAGGTACTGTGAAACACTGAAGAAACTCAGAAGGGTAATTTAGAACCAGAAAAGAGGAATACTGAGCAAAGGCTAAGCAATCTCCGCGACAACACTCATCAATTTGTCGCTTTTCTGCAAAAATTTGGTTGGAATGTTGTCATCCACCCATCATATAGTCCGGACTGGGCACCTAATGACTACCACCTGTTGCCTAGGTTAAAAGAACATATTTGTCTGGACAGCGGTTCTGCTCCAACAACGAGTTTAAAGATGATGTTCAATGCTTCCTGAAGAACATGGAGAGCTGATATGACATGGGCATTGTGAAACTGCCACAGCATCACAAAAAAGCATCGACTGAAATGGTGATTATGTAGAAAAATAAAGTAGTCTTCAACCTTTAAACTGATGTAAGTATTAAAGAAAAAAAAAAAAGGTTATTTCATATATCTAAAAATGCAGAAGACCTTATTTATGGGATTGCTCTCGTACTTTTAAATTTGAGTACAACATGCAGTTTATATTTTTCTATTTCCAAGTTACCCCCCCCCAAAAAAAAAAGTGTTAGAAATTTTATATTTTGCTGCATTTCTGCAATAGTTGTTGTTTGTTGCTGAATGTTTCAATACTTTTCATTTTTTAAATATAACAAACACTGTCAATACTATTTTCAGATAAAGCAATTTTGCCATCTATTTATTACATTTATTATGATATCAGAAAATAAATTCTCTTGCACAAAAATATATATTAAGGTTTAAACAATATATACAAATATAAATACTTGAAGAACTGGCATCACATTCATCAGCAGTACAATAAATGAAATAAAGTAAATTCTTCGTGGAAATATGCAAATACAATTGAAATAAGTGTGTATGCCCTTTGCTGAGATGCTCAGTCTTAGCTTGGCTGCCATTCAAAAAGGAGCTCCCGTTAAACATCATCACCACGTGCAAAGTTCGCACAGTTATTTGCTTTTTTAATGCAAAAGACATTACACTGGCTGAAATTCATCACCAGTTGATAAATAAAGTAAATTCTTCGTGGAAATATGCAAATACAATTGAAATAAGTGTGTATGCCCTTTGCTGAGATGTTGTCCATTTGATTTATTGAGCAGGTTGGGAGAATCTGCAGTTTAGGTTTACTTCATTAATACAGTTAACCATTTTAATCTTTAAATGGAAGCTGATCATCTGAAATGCTCTATTTCTGTCTTACACATTTCTTCATAAACTGTTTAAAAATTTTACTTCCAGGCTGGCTGTTATAATTTTTTTTTTTTTTTCAGAAAATCTTGAACTGAGGTATACTAATGCTAAACAAATCATATAAGTAATTAACCAACACTACATAAAATAATCAAACAAAATCATAAAAATAAATAATCAATTGTTACCATTAGATAAAAGTGGTTATGCTACTCAAACTAGCCCAAGTATCTGAGAATATTATACATTTTGAATAATAAAGAAACTCTCATTCCAAACTCTTGCAAATTTGTTTAACTTTTATTTCGAACTTACAATAACTTTTCATATAATTTTTGCATTATATATTTTATATATATATATATATATACATATATATATGCAAAGAAAAGAGGACTCTTACAAATTTCACAATGTTTATACTATGTATTATATGAAATATAAATAAATTAAACCCTTACCAAAACGATTCATTATTTTGTACATCCAACCAACACCTTCACGACAAGGTGTACACTGAAATTTAAATAAAAAAGTTTTAACATTTTTTTAAACAAATGTAAGATCTGAAAAAATGGACAATGTAAGATCTGAAAATATTTATATATTTTGGCTACTAAAATACTCATTTAATATTTGTATAAACAAATGATAAATTTTCAACTTCGAAAATAAAATTTATATTGCAAGAAAAAAAATTTAAAGTACCTGTCCACAACTTTCATGCTTGTAAAATTCTATAAGTCGAGCTATGGCTTTAATTATATCTGTCTGTTTATTCATTACTATTACAGCTGCTGTCCCCAAAGCAGTTTGTGCAGCAACCAATCCATCAAAATCCATAAGCACATCTTCACATACTCTAAAATTAAAAATTTCTGCTTTAAAAAATTTATATATCGCACATGTAGAACAAAATTTATGTTTATGAATATCAGATATAATAACATACTTTTGATGTAATAAGTATATTTCAAATATAAACCAAGATGCAAGATTCTGGTGCACAAATTCAGCCAAAATTGAAAGCTTGTATATAAGCTGAATTTACGTGAACCCTATAAAAATCCAGCTATATGTATCACCAAAAGTGCAAATAGAAACTGCTCATCTACATTAGACAAACCTCTGAGACAAATTGAGTGCCAGATCATCGATTTTTAGTTTCCAATGCAAAAATTAAGGATGAGAAGTTTTGCTTCTGCAATTAACTCAACTTCATGTGCATCATTTGGCATTTTTTTAATGTGATAGTGAATTTGACTTTTGTTCCCAGTTATGGTTAAGGTTTTTAAAGTAATTGTAAGATTTTTTCTCCTCAATCACCCTCACTTTTGTAAGAAAAACAGAATTCCTTATTTCTACTGCAGTAAAACCCAGGATATAGAATCATCAGAACTTTGATGATTTTGGATTTTAGATCATCAATTTAAATCTAGTAAATTGATATGAATACGTTATAACAATAAAGTTTCTCAGAAAATGGGGGAGGGGGGGAAGAACCTGTTGATCCATTAACTGAAAAACAGAAACTATAAATTTGATAAACATTTGCACATCCCAATAAATATTAAATCTAAATAATAGACTTGTAAATATAAAATTCATAATATAAAAATATAGTTTCAATAAATAAAAAGATGAATTTTGCAATCACTTGTAATTTGTTTCATGATTCACATTTGGTAAAAATGGACAACATTTAACATTTAATGTTTCTCAGCTATTTATTATCATTCATCACTTTTAAAACACACACACACACACACCAAAAAAAAAAAAAAAAAAAGAAAGTGAAAGAATGAATTCTTTTATCAATTTTATTAATGCTCCAAAATTTTCATTAATATTGCTTTGAATGAATGAATTACAAATTTAAAAGTGTGACTTGTATTATTAAACCTGCTTTTGCAGTGGTTACTATCATATAAAACATTAATTTTTCTCACCAATAATTCAGCCCATAAGAAATCAAAAATACATCATAATGAATTAATAAATTACATTTATGTTAAAGTAACAAACAAATGAATTTTCACTGATCAGTGCTCCAAAATAGCATAATAGTAATTCAGCTATTTATTTTTTTCATTCTGTTCCCCCAAACAAAGCTATCATCTAATGCATATTGTTCTCAAGTCAAATACTTTATTACTATTCTACTCAAAAATATTATAGATGCAGATCCATTATGATCTTTACTTAACTCGTACAAAATTATTCAGAAAATTTAACACTGCTCTTGTGAGTGTTAGGAATATAAGATAAAAGAAACACATAAGCTGAAATTCTAACTTTAATTTGAAACTCTTCATTTTAATTTGGTCATTTCCCTTTGTCTTAAAAATAGTAACTACTTATAATAAATTACTCTGAACTGCTTCATTTCAAAATAAAGCCTACATGCATTTCTTACATAACACTTATGGCACAGAAACTTACACAACACTTCAGCTAATAATAATTTCAAATTTGAGACAGCAACCAGTATGGATAGAATTAAACCAAAACTGATTCATTCTGAAGAAAGTCTTCACCTTGGACATGTCCCATTACCTCTCTCACTTATATACTATTTATGCTTCTATGCTCTTTCCACCATTAAATGCATTGTTGTAAGATAGAATAGAATAGAAAGATACATAGAAAATGCAACACCATGAAAGATTAGGTAGAAAGTGATGTCAATTGATACACAGACAGAGCATGCATGGAAATAAGTGATGTTATTTATAGGAAGATAAATTTATACAATACTGAAATATACAGAGAATCAGTAGGATATATGACCACTTCTTGTGGAGATGGAAACTAAAACCTTAAGAGCTGAAAAATGACGACCAAATATGTTCCAGATATGCTTGATCAGCAAAAAGATCGAGGGACATCGCAGGCCAAGGAAGCAATAGGATATGCTGTAAGGCTTGTCAGCTAACAAATTCCAAATGCACTGTCACAAGGTCCTGCTGAACACTGACGAAGTTCTGGTGCTCCGTCCACTTTTCCCTGTCCCTGTCCCTGTTGCTAAAGGTAAGGTAGCACAACTGGATGCGGCATCTCATCGACATATTGCCGTGCTCTCAATGTGCCTTTGATGCATAAAAGGGGTGGCCTGCCATCATGACAGATGGTACCCAAAACCACAATGCCAAACTGACGAGCAGTGTGACGTTCAGCAATGGTACTCAAATTGGCTCTATCTTCCCTAATGATTCCAAACTCTTGACCAGTAACTATCATCAGACTGTTCCCTTCACATGTCCAAGTGCCTTATTAATGACAGCATTGCAGTCTTTCACATTGAAAGCTTGGAGTTAATGGAATGAATTTTGAATAAATTGAAAGGATAGCTTGTGTGCAGCCCCCGCTTACAGCTATCATTGGGAAACTGCTCTCCCAGATATTGAAGCATCCGAAGCTCCCTGCAGATTCAGCGAAATGTCCATAGTAGTTGATTGTGACTCTAAGTTATAAGCAGTTACCACCACCAATTTTCTTCATATTGTTGCGTTTTTCTTTTCTGACACCAGTTGTTACGTTATTTTCTTCCTTCATGTTTGCATGGGGTTCGTGAGGATTTGGAGTGGATAATGACAATACTACTTGATGAAGTATCGAAACACACTTTATTGGCCAGTATTGTCAGGACAGCTCCAAAACACGTTTTTACAGTTGTCGATCAACTACTATAAACACGCTGACACTATCAGCGACACACCCTCCAGGTTATAAGGTATCACAGTGGAGACAGCTTCATGGCAAAGCACTAGAGTACAGCTCCCGACTCTGCTTTGTTGTTCCCGGAACTCCACATACTCTCGAGACTCTCCACTAACCACGATACACTACGAGACTCTTTTGGTGCATTCGACGACCCACTCGGCTGTCACTCGGCACTCGGTGCCTGGCTGTCAACTTGGTCGACTCCGCAGGAATTGACTTGATAGACGAGACACCAACTCAATACTAACTATCTTGCACTCTCGAAGACGAGGCACTCCAGCTCGCCCTCTCAATGAGAAACACACTAACTGAATGCAGACCAGAAGGGTTTTATATGTTGTCGAACGGGCTAAACATTAGTAATTCGTTCGTTCAGAAGGTTCTCCATTCGTCCATGGCATATCGCTAATTTTGTCGCCAAATAGGCGATTTCTTGCCAAATGTGGCAACCCTGCCTTCCATTGCCATTTTATGGCAATCCTAAAACTGCTTTGCGTGGAAGCCATCTCACTGTGCCTGTACATTTCGTAGCAATATGCATCGATTTGTGCATTCTGAAATATGTCTAGTTGGACCTGGTCTCTTGCAACTATTTACATTTCCTTCGTCAATCCATTTAAACAAATTCTATGCACAGCGATACATCTGCTGCATTTTAGCAATGATACGACAGTAAGACCAACCAGCTATATGCAAGATTACAATTTGATCACTTATGAAATCACTTGTTTGCTGGAACTGCCTACAGTGTCATCGTTGAGGCATCTCTTCATTAAGTCTCTTCTGTATTGTTGAACTTCTTGAAATTCCCAATTCCCTGAGCAGCAGGCAATAGTGACTGTTGGTTTGTCCCCTTTTTCCTTCCCTTTTATCTCGAGCTATAATTACATGACCAACTTCCATCTTACATCATCTGACTTCTTCCACTCCAAAATTTAAATATTTATATAGCCGAATCTTCACGGTGTTGCATTTTCTAGGTTGAGCAGAATATATATGTATATAAAAATTAAAGTCAAATTATAATATATAACTGACTTTAAAATGTACATAAAGCTGCAGCATATAAAGTAATTGGTAAAGATTTAAATTTCTCAATCAAGCTGAAAGCAATACTCCCTCACTTCCCTAATCCAAACCTAGTTTTGCCAAACTATCCTAAATAAATCTACATTTGATACTAATTTTAAATAATAGAATAAAAATACTTAAAAATAATGTTTGAATGCTAAAATAAACATAATACATTTTTAAAAGACAAGACAGCATTACTTTTTTGGAATAACGGGAGTAGAAGAACCTCCAGGAATAACTCCCAATAAGTTATCCCAACCTCCAATAACACCACCAGCATGTCTTTCAATGAGTTCTTTGAGAGGAATTGACATTTCTTCTTCCACTGTACATGGATAGTTTACATGCCCTGAGATATTGAAGAGCTGAAACCATATTTAAAAAAAAAATTACTATCATACTATCCACCTCATAATATTTTCCTCCTCTTCTTTTCCCATAATTCATTCATAACATCAATATTTACATTTTAATCAAATCACTACAGCACATTTTATTAGTTCTACTTCAATAAACTTTATCTTAGGAGCAAGCAGATAGATAATTATTGATATTTATTTTGTTTCCTGTCAGTTTTACTGATAATCATCAAAATGGCAAAATATGCAGAAATCAAAGTACAAAAAGGAAAAAATATTGCTGAATTTAGGCACCATACCCCTCATTCCAACTCAAAGCAGTGCTTTTAAATAATGGAATATTTAATGGAAATGTTAAAAAAGGGAGGCAGCATACTTTAATTTCCAAAAAAATACAGATTCCTATTTATAACACTCCAAATGTTATGGGTTTAGCCCTGAAAATTCAAATTTCCTCAAAATGTCATGAATAAATGGTATTTTCTTGATTATAATTACAAAACAACTCTCTCACTTTGTACCTTGATTCCTTTCCTTCCAATATTCATCTAACCCAAATTAGCCTTCTATATGGAATTTTACATCCACTGTGAGGATACTGTGTCATAAGCTGTGAGATTGTAATTTATTTTTCAGATGGCAATAAATCAACAACAGTAGCTTACTACTATCAAGAATGTCATTTCTGAACCAGTAAACCAGCTGCTGATGCAAAGGCCTTTTTTTTTAGGAGATTTTTCCCACAGAGTCTCAATTTGGTTTCTGTGGAGGTATATCATGCTCATTTTCAAAAATTCATATGAAGAGTAAAATACTTTTTGGGGGAAAAATGCAATAGCTTCACTTTCATTTGGTGATAAATTGAAATTTGTCATCATTTTAAATCTGGACTAAAAAAAAAAAAAAAAAAAAAAAAAAAAAAGTTTTTATTACTTGTTTTGGGTTTGTAATTAATGCTGCCACACTTACTTTTCCTAATAATATATTATTTCTAAGAATACAATAAACACTAAATAAGAATATAAAATGATATTCTTAAAAAAATTTAAAAACTACAAGGCTCAGTTATTGATTTGTATCTGATGTGCAAGAAAAACAAATTATTTCCAATTACACCAATTAGAAATGAAATTGAAATGTACTAACCACAGACAACAGAAAATGCAACATGCAGATGCAATACTGAAAAAGTTTACAAGAGTTATAAAACTCAAAAAATATGTTTGGACAGATTCAGACAATAACTGTATTAAGATAAATAATACAGCATTAGCAAAATATGTTAAAGATCATTCATATTATAACAGATTTTTTCAAAGTTTGAATTGACAAGACTACGCATAAAAGTAACATTAAAATCTGGGGAGGCATTGGAATCCCTATTTATTTCGTAATAAAGGGTTTCTTTTTGATTTCCTATATATGCAAATGGTCATTATCAAAATTACAAAAGACCCAGCAAAGATAAGAGGTTATTCAAATTCCAGCCAGTCAAGCGAACATGCTATTGTAAATGCTTCTAGTTTTTTTAGAACTGAATATAGGTGTGATGCATTATTCAGATTGTTTATTAAGATTAGAGTTTATATTAAGAAACACTATTTAACTTATTCTCCAGTAACATATTAAAGATACTGAAGCACAACCATTCAAAATTGTTTAAAAAATTAACTGTTCAGAATTTTTTTTAACACCTACGATCAAATAATTATTCTTCCCATCATGCACTTTATAAAAGTTTAATAAATTTAGTGATTCATACTTTTCTCACCTTACAAAAAATGAAGACGTAAAAATTTCACTAACTGTTATGCCAAACTTTATTTTTTATTTTTTTTTCATATTTGAAGTTTCATAGATTTGACAAAAAACAAAAAGGTATATCTTAAAAAACAAAAAGGTTTATCCTAAAAGATATTCAAAATCAATACCATAAAAAACTTGTAGAATGTAACTGCAAATTGAAAAATACATAAAGTAAAAGTAATATGCTTTGAGAGGAGAGAAATTTATATAACTGCACTTTTAATTCACATTATATACTTGACGCAATGACATGCAATATTTGTTTCTTATAATGAGATAAGCACTTCAACAGAAACCAAAAACTTGCAAATAAATATCTGCTTTGCTGTTGAAGCCACATCTTTAACATTCAGCATGTTCTTGAAGCATGTGATTGTGTATAGAAGCTTTCTATATTTTTGTAATTATTTTGATACTTATGTCTTAACACAACCACCTTAATAGAAGTCGCCAATTTTTTTTAATTCACCAGACTGTGGCAACCATGTTGATAACAATTTTTATAGTTTTAACAAGCAATGTCACCATTTTGACATATATTCAACAGCTTTAAGCTATTCTTAAAGTGATAATCATGAAATTTCCATTACAACAAAAGAAACAAAAATCTACTTGTAAGTAGCAAATAGGTTTATTGATTGATTTTTAAAATAAACAGCAATTAAAATGCAAAATATGAATTCAATAAATCATTTTTCCCAATAATACATCATCATTTTTTTGTACAAAAAATCACCAAACTGTGTCAAGGTGATGGCATTCATACCATAAGTACCTTTATTTACTAAACAGTTATTAAACAGTGAAATGGAAACTACATACTTAGAATTATTATTCTACTACTATGAATTTATATTAATAATTACATAGTATCAATTAGAAATAAAAAAAAACATATCAAACTATGATGTGGTGGAAATAGCTACTGCCATTGTTATTTGTTCTGGGTTTAAAGCAGCAAGTACTCAGATTGCTGCCAAAATTATCTCGACACCTACTGAAGCTTTTCTTCTCAGAATAAAACACAAATATGTAATATTGTATTATATATTACTATCAAAAATTACTAAAGAAATAAACTGCATTACCTTTGTCCCAGAATTTCTAGGTCGACCAAAAGAAGCAAACCATGCTCCACCTCTTCGACAAATTGTAGGAGCAACAGCTACTGTTTCAACATTTGCAACTGTCGTTGGACAACCAAAAACACCTACATCAGCAGGAAATGGAGGCTTCAAGCGTGGTTTACCTTGTTTCCCTTCTAAAGATTCAATTAATGCCTGGAAAGAAATTTAAAATTATAAACCCTTTATTAATGCCAAACCATTTAAATAGTTAGCATGATACTTACAATTATTACTCACAGAATACTATGCCTGCCATACATGAAAAGAAAAAAATCACATAGCTGATAGAATCTTTATCCATTAAAGGAATTTATATATTAAAAACTACAAAACTTGAAAAGTGCACCAAGTTTTTTAAACAAAACTAAAACATATATGCATGTACAAATAATATACAGAGTTTGGTATAATGCAAGATAAGGTTCTATTAAGAAAAATCAATTTTCACAAAAAAATTCAATTAATTCCTTTCAGACAAAAGTAATATTTACATACGAATGTTACACAAATCTTATCTACATGTTTAGATTAAGTATGTGCACAAATAATTTTTTGTCTTTATTTCTTATAAATAATAGTGTTAGTAGCAGCAATAAAAATTTCTACATAATTCAAATAAAAAATCTGATGTGTACACCACATGACTTTCTTGTGTGGAATATTAAATTATATGCACTTTTTCCAGCATTTCATGTAAACTTATTGAATTGAATTAAATTTACTTCATCGATAGTGCATAAACCACAATACAATAAACGCACTTTTTAAAATTCACTATATTTATTTGCCATAGCGATACTCTGGTGCTAGGTTCACTTAACATTAGATCTCAATCATTTTATAACTCAGAATGAAAAAAAAATCACATCACCAGAAGAATTATCTAATTGTTGCCACATGTTCCATTGAAATACTATCATAAATCTAAAACAATGTACAAAAGAACTTAAACAAATAAAAAAACAGTTTTTCACAGATGATTCAGCACTGCTTACTTAATGCACATGTGCTACTCGTAAACATTCTCTTCTGTCTGAAACAGACTGGCGACAATATTTTCTGCTAATATGAAACACTTATTTCCTCCAATTTCACGAGAGATGTATTTCTCATTTAATTAATTCAGTTCTCACTTCGCGGCAAGGCAAAAATAATAAAAACACAAAACATCTTCATTAAAAATATAAAGATATAGAAAAACATAAAACACCAAATACAGTTAAAAAAATTAAAAACACAATTTTTACAATTAAAATTAGAGTTCTTATGCCAAAAAAAACAATTCGGCCAGCAACGGACAGAAAGACAGATTTTTCGGTGCACAAAACTGAAAGTTTACTTTTGGTCTCACTTGGCAAAAAGACAGTGAAGGCATAGAAACTGATTTAATTTATTTTGGAGGCTATGCTTACTCAATATATGGGATAATTTAATAACTTAAATGATAATTCCAAAATGGATTAAACAGAATTAAATTCGCAATAATAAAAGAAGACATTACTTTGTTGTTGCGAAGCTTAGTTTCTTTAGATTGGTAACAAATCCACTATTCTGCTAAGTTTCAAATGTAAACAAATATGGCTGCTACAGTAAAAAAATTTGGCTTAGCCATGCTTAAACAACTTTTAAATTGTTGATAATTCTACAACTTTAACATGCACGTTAACTAACTAAAAACCTTAACCCGAAGATAAGAAAAACATAATTCAATCATTTCTAAAGCAAAAGATTCACAATTTACAAAAATATAAGAATAAAGAAACTGAGCTCACTGAGCCGAATAACAGAATGGATATATATATACATACAGTGCAGCCAATTGCAACCAAAAAGGGAGGTGCACATCTGCACGTTATAGCCGTCCCACATACGAAATTTCAACGTTCTGAGGCTATTCGTTTTTTAGTTATGCGAGATACATACATACGTACGTATGTACAGACTCCATGAAAAAAATCTCTTCTGAATAAATTTTAAACCAGTTTTATAATTCGTTTGGGGAAAAAGAGTCCTTAATTCTGTCCTTACGTACAGATATCATGCAAAAACATTGTTAAATTGCATTCAGTAGTGATCAAAATAGATATTTTCATCAAAATATGGTTCCCGGAATTTTCCTTGATTACAATATTTCCTTTACTTCATATAAGGAAGTAAAATTTGTAACAAAATATAATTCAAGTAACACACTGAAAATGGTTTAACTTGCTCGATTTTTAACCCTTTGCCAGTGTCGCTGGAGTCCAGTTCGGGCATCTGCTACATGCAGTATTTGTGATGCCTGAACTGACTTCGAGCAGAAGATAAATTTGTGTTTCTATTTTGTAAAACCCGAACTAAGTTTGTTTTCACTTCAGGATATTCATTTATGATTTAATTCTCTACTTTCACAATAGACAGCATTATTGGTCCTACTTTGTCATAGATTTCAGTCGGGAGATAGCGTGGGCATGTTCAACTGCTCAGCTAAACAAAAACACGTGTTGGGAATGAGAGTTTTGCTTTCACACATTTAGTTTCACTTGTTTTTCTGTAAATATGATACCAAAATTTTTCTTTTTTCACAATGTCTGATTCAGACACTGATGAGGAATATAGTTTAGGTTCTTCAGTATTGGATGTCGATTCTTCTACTGATGAATATAAGGAAAGTGTTGATGAGTCTTCGACTGGAAGCCATTACGTTTGGATAACCTTTCTCCTGCCCCTCCAAGGTATATTTTATTTAGCTTCAAAATGTTGTTTAATTTTCTGTAATTGAATAATAATGTGTCTGTCATCCATTACTTTTCTATGTGCACGTCAAAATAGTAAATACAGTAGTTATTGCATTTAAAATTATATTTTTTTACTAAATAACCATTTTCTAACTTTTTATATTGATATAAAAAACAAAATTAAACTGTCAAACAAAATTTTCATTTTTGGTGCATTTTTCTGAAATATATGCAACAGTTAAGAGGTTAAAATTTCTCTTCCAGATCCTAAACAGAATAGATACATTAAACTTGATTATTTTTAGAGGAGGAGCATGTATAAGATGCCAGATTCCTAATACATTGATTTTAATAAAATCAAAATCAAACATAATTAAAGTTATAATTTATGCAGCAAACTTTAAATTTAGCATTTGATTTTGGTACATTAAATAAAAAAATCAATCTGAAAACTTTTGTATTTCTTGAATACATTAACAAGTAAATAAAAAACTGTTAATAGTTATACATTCTACTACCATTAATAGCAGTATCAATGTATTCTTCAAAAAGTACCAGAAAACAATCATAAAAATATTTCTCTCAAAAAAGAATGAAAAGCATTTTGTATTTTTCCTGTAAAACACTACCACACATTTCTGGTATTAGTTCGTCATTGTGTACATGCAATTTTCAATAATTCCCAAAACATATTAGGCAATCCCAAGAAGCATTATAATGTAGTTAATAAATTATACTTGGAAAAGAAATTTTGTATTCTGTACAGAAATACAATTCTAATCTTATAAGCTAAGCTATTTAAATAGTACTGCAAAAGCTTTTTCTTAACAATTTCACTAACACTCTCATAACCCCAAATCTATATCAGAGAATATTTCTTGACAACAAACATAATTTGTATGGTTATTATTAATCATTTATCTGCTAAACACTGCAATCAGCACTGTTTAATCTGCTAAACACTGCAAAAGAATAAAAAAAAATTCATGCAGATTTGTGAATTTGCAATGACAGAATTCCATACTTGTATCTCTAAAATTTCAAATATAAAAACAGCTAAGCAAATGGACCAAAAGTAATTTATACAATTACAGTTTCACATTGCTGTTTTTTAAAGTTATAAAAGACATTTAAAAAAAAAAAAAGAATTTTAGGCTAGCATTATACATACGACTAAAATTTACTCAGAAGTATTCTACTTCTGATTATTAATTATGAAAATATATAAGAAAGATGGAAATTCATCTTAATTTTAAAAAATTTATATGGTTTTTACTGGAAATTTTGAAATGAGAATTTATTTTTATATAATCTCAGTAAAATTTCAACTCACTGTTTCTTCACCGCAAATATAAGCCCCAGCTCCACGATGGACAAAAACATCAAAATCATAGCCTGATCCACATGCATTTTTTCCAATAAGACCAGCTTCATAGGCTTCTTTAATGGCAACTTGCATGTTAGATGCTTCATTATAAAACTCACCACGAATATAAATATAGGCTAAAAAAATAACAACTGTAAGCATCCCACAAATTTTAAAATACAGAATAAGATGACAAAAAAATGAAATGTCATATACTAAATGCTTTCACAAAATTAAACTCAATAAAATGTATCATTTCTAGTTTAATTATATTCCTTTTAAAGTATGTAAGATTTTACATTTTTAATTATTAGATGATGTTAAGAAACTATTTTCATGGGGAAAGGGAGGCATGAAGTATATGAAAATAGTGCCTAAAGAGCATATGTTAAAAAATATAAGGCGATTTTAAAAAATGTTAGACAAAATTTTAAAAAACGTTCAGGAATTTCAAAATAATAATAATACATAGAAAGATGTAGCTGTAAATGCCACCCACATGTAATAGATACTGCTAGAAATTGCACTAGGTAGCATGAGTCACCATCGTTCTACACGTTAATGTTACATGAGTAATATGCATCATTACAGTAGCACTGAAATTATTGATTCGTTGACACCTAACTGAAATACATGAGCTCCAGTATGATTATACCATGAACATACAGATGTGCACCTATCATCAACATTTTGTAAGGGATGAACTTAGAGTTTAAAAAACTATAAATATTTCTAAACTGGATATCTTAACATATTGCCAAAAACAGTATGAACTTTCGGCATTCCCAGTTAAATTATAAATGTATGCAGGTCTAATAAACATGTTGTGTTTTTGTACTTAAATCCATTATTTTTTTATCCTTTTTGTATCTTTTATCATACCTGGGTGGCATTTGTGGTTATATGTTCCAATGTAAAATTGATTTGTTTTTGTAATTCTGATCTACCTTTGTTTAAAACACTTAGAATTAATCTCTCTATATATATTTTCTGAAAACAAAAATTTATCTGCATTCCTTAAATGCTTATTTCACGACATTTTAATATTATATCCAGCAAATATTAACAAAGTGGGCCCAACATGGCAAAAAAAGTGTTAAAAAGAATATGTTACATTTTGTTAGTAATTTATAAATTCTTCACAAAGAACCAGAAATTAAGAAACTGAATGCCAAAAAAAACTTGATACTAATTAGATTTATCATTCCTTACTATTATAAACCCTTATTTTAATGGCACCAATATAATTATAAAGTTTTAATTAAGAAAAATTTAAGAACTCACATAGTGCACGTTTACTTCTCACATATAATCTGCGGTTATCACGTTTCCATGACTGCTTTTAATATAGCAGCAAAAACATTTTCTCATTCCAAGTTGTCAGACCTTGCATTTTTCTTTCACTTGCAACTTTTTAAGTTGCCCTTCCAAATCCTTTCTGATCATAAAAAAAAAGTTAAATAATAAAGTTTAATTTCCTCATCATTTATGCAAATTCAAATGCAAGGTAAAATGCTACTTTTTAGGAAGAATGATATATCATATATTCTTCTCCACTCTTTAGTCATTAACAATTGTTAATTTTTTTTGAAAGATATAAAATATGACACAAATACAAAGATGGTTTGCTCCAGAGCTCTTTTCATAATGGGTAGACTACAAATAACCATAATTAGCACTGTTGGCTATTTGACAAAGGCTTATGTCGTGTGGTGAATTAATCAATACTTTTTTAGGTCATTTAATTAAAAAAGACCAAAACCATAAGGAAGTACCATCACTTCTAATCAAGAACAAACATTATTTCATTACCTAATCCGATTGAATAAAATTAAACAAATCTTGATTTGTTACCAGCGAAAAAAGAAATGTTTAGTTCTGTTGAAATTTATCATACAGTATTTGTAAAAGATATTATTCAGTACTATGGCACAAATGATAGCTTATGCACATCAATTTTGGCAATAAATAAAAATACTGCTTACTCAGCATTTATAGTGGAAAAGAAACAAAACTAAAAATGAAGAGAAACATGCCAATGTGACAATCAAAATCCCAATAACAACCTTGTATTTAGCGTAAGTATATTACAACACTCAATCGATTTCAAGGGCAGCTAAAGGTCCCTCCTCATCAGTAGAACGAAATTCCTAAAAAGGGGAAAAAAGAAGAAAGATAAAGCATAAGCAACAGAGTCTCAGAAACACATGGTCCTTATTAGCACATTTCATCTATGTTTGATCAGATAGCCTTGCTCAGTAAAAGTAGGCGGCCAGTGTAACTCTGATTCAAATTCCGGTTATGACCCCGTGCGTGCTAATATGGACCACGTGTTTCTGAGACTCTGCTTATGCTTTATTTTTCTTCTTTTTTTCCCTTTTAGGAATTTTGTTCTCCTGATGAGGAGGGACCTTTAGCAGCCCTCGAAATCGATTGAGTGTTGTAATATGCTAAATACAAGGTTGTTATTGCGATTTTGAAACAAAACTAAGTCAACACATCACAATAAACTGTAAATAAGCTTTTTCCTCGTATAAAATCTATATTCATATAAAACAGAAATATCTAACTACATAGTGGTTTTCCCCATTCAGTGTAACGTGTATACGAGCCAGTTTCCCTTAGAAAGTCCTCCACGAAGGCATTCCTCCCCTTATGCAGATAGCCCTCGAGGCTTTGCTGTAATTACATAAACCAACTAGCAAAACCAAATGATGTAAAAATTCTACAAGCCATTTTCAAGATATTCACGTTTAAGACTTGGACCTGGAACCATTTCTCAAATTGCAGCTAAAAAGAATTTCACTAGCCAAACATAATTTACATTTACACCGATTTTTTTAAATCTCTTCAGTAAATGGCAATATGCTAAAAATCTTTCAAAATTTTGAAACTTAAGTTATTAAATTTCTATTTCAAATATAAAATTCTTATAAAATATTATAAATTGTTTTAAATTCCATATTTTAAAATAATCAAAATGTTAGAAAAACATTTATTCAAAATTTCACTTGCATGGTAAACAATCCATTTCTCATTATCCATAACATGGTAAAACAATCCATCTCAATCCATAACTGGAAAGTTATGATTTCCTTAAAAAATGGATCATTTTCTTGACATTGAGAGGAGCAAGTCACAGATATCAATGCAACAAAGCAAGTCCCCCTTCTTCCCCCCCCAAGAACAAATGTAACCCATATATTAAGCTTTGAATAAAAATCAAGTCAAATTCATGAGATCATAAACAGTTGAATTCAACAATTTAATCTCATAGCATTTTCTGACATTGTTATTCAGCTTTTTACTTCAATCAATACTTTTCTTTGGTCTTCATCAGCTTCAAATGGCCCTTCAGAATGTGGTGTATCCTTAATATCAAAATTCCCGGAAAAAAATTTTGTGAACAATTTTGAAACTGGCATTCTATTACACATCACAGATTTTTTTTTTCTTACTTGACAAACTTTGTATTTTTTCAATAATAAAAAAGCAAAATATGCCAAAAATAATCTTTTGATTGTTCATATTTGATGGCGTGCGAACACACAAAAACTTCTACAGAATCAAACAATTTTCTTTTACTTTTAAGCTCTGAAATGTCAGTTGTCAAAATATATAATGGCAATATGATTTAGAATGAAGTGTTGGATGGTTAATAATATCTTCCTGTGGTGGAGAAAAAAATTACTGTGCAGTGCAATAAATCTATTGCACATCCTGAGCTGTGCTTTCATGACTTGAAAAATGGAAGTTTCAGGATCAGTTGAATAAAACAGAAAATAAAGATTTTTTTTTTTTTTCTTTTTTTTTTTTTCTTTTCTCCACTTGATTGACATATCTGTGACTAGTTACTTTAAGAATTTAAGTCTGCAGTCACTTTTTTTCAAATGTCCTATGTAATTCACATTGTGAAAGAGTTAACAAAATTTGGGCAAATTGAAAAAAAAAAGGGGGGGCTACTTTTCTGTTTTGCCGGCGCAAATCTCGCCAAGCAGATTTTATTGGCGACAACATACAACATACATGACATGTATACATAAAAAATGTTAACAAATGTTAGTTCTAAGCATTTTTTTATTTTAAAGGCATAAATATTTTAATATCATTTAAAATTTTGTAAAAAAGCCAATAAATAAAGACAATAAATTTGTAAAAATATATTAATTTAAGAATTTACTATGCTTTCATGGTTCAACATCCTGATTCGCCTTTTCATATCACGTGACCACAAGTGATCTGATCTCGCATAAACTACGCTACAAAAATCTAATTCTCTCAGTAATTATCTACATTAATTTCAAGTTAAATCGTAATTTGGAATACAAGTTTAAATGCAAGAATTATTTCAAATCGCAAGAATAGCTTACTTGGAAATTATGTAAAACCGCAATGCTTTACTTCGCTAGTGCATTCTCATTAGAATTGATGAATTTAACCCTTGATTTTGCCTTATGTATATTTTCGCCTTCGGGTGGGAGTGTTGGTATTGCATCCTAATTGACTTAATTACCGTGAATGGCCTTACGGCATAAAATTGAACTATCTGGTAAAAATTCTATGTAATTGTATGCCAGTATTGAAAGAAAATAATCAATCTGATAAGAAATGGCTGTGAATTATTTTGAAAATGAGGCATAAAAGGTTACCAGTGAGGATATTATGTTTGGCATCAACTGTACCATTATTGGCGACTTTAACGCCTGCGCTGGCAAAACGGAAATGTAGCAAAAAAAGTTATACCAAAACATTAATTTTTCATGTGATGTATAAATTGGGAAAATGTGCATAATTTACCTAAATCTTTATTATATTAATGCTTTCAGAAGAATACTCAAATTATGAAAATAGGGAATGAAAATAGATGAAAATCAGGGAGAATAAAATTTTAAATACAATATTGAGTGATATAACATACAATAGCTAAAAGCATCAAGACAGATTAATTACCTGCCCTTGCTCCCATAGCTCTTCCTGCAACCAAACAGCCTTCAACTAGTTTATGAGGATCATGCCTCATGATTTCTCTATCTTTACATGTACCTGGTTCACCTTCATCAGCATTAACAACAAGGTATTTTGGCCTTAAAAAAGTACATTTTATATAATAATGAATTGATAAAATTATAAATCTAACATGAGATACAGATATAATTAAACTAATACCTCCCATCACTTGGTTTATTCATGAAGCCCCATTTCATACCAGTGGGAAAGCCAGCACCACCCCTTCCACGCAATCCAGAGTCTTTTACTTCTTTTAGTATCCAGTCAACACCTTTTAGTAATATCTCCTTTGTTTTATACCAATCACCCTATATTTAAAAAAGAGAGAGAGAGAGATGCTTCTGTATTATTAAGTAAGTTATTGAAACAAATATTTACAATATAGTAAAATTTCAACCCAATATAAGTAGCAAATTTAAACAGAGATATTCCAGCCAAAAACACTTATTTTTTTTTAATTAAAGCATGAACAGGTAATATAAAAACATGCAATATTTTTACATACATATTTTGATTTCATAAGTCATAAAAAATTAATTGGTATATTTTTCATATTAGGCAAACCAAAAATTTTCAGTACCTATATATATGCCCCTCAAGTTTTACCCAACTAAAAACGCTTAAGTATTTAAGCTGATAAAGTTAATATTATCTAATACTATCTAATCATTTACATATCACCATATTATAATCAGATTTGAATGTAACTTTCAACTGGTTTTCATTTTTATTCAAATCAAATGTGTCAAAAACATTTATGCATTTAGATCAATAAAATTTACTTCCTACACTATATTTCAAAACAATAATTTTTTAATATTCATAAATAGATTTGGCTTTGATACATATTACAGTCAAAAGTCGTTCGGACACCCATAATCCAGAATGATCTATAATCCGGACCTCAAAGCTAAAAACTTTCTGCGCATGCACCGCGTTGGCACATGCGCACAGGCATTTTATGCGTACGCGTAAGACCTTGACTACTGCGCATATGCGTGTGCGCAAGTGCAGAATACGTTTTTGCCTGCGCGTTTAATGTATAACGGACGGTGTAAGCTAAAATTATCTAATTATCTATTTCAGTTAATGTTAATGATTGCGTTGTTCCTTAATCTTCGAATTGGATCCCGCTTATTATTTTTTGCAGACTGTAAGAGCCATTTTATAAATGTAAACTTGAACTTTCGATTATGTCAAATAGAATTTCCGATGCTGGAACTTCCAAAGGATCTACAAAACGAGAGTATGTTTCGATGTCCAACAAACAAAAAGTGGAATTGCTGCAAAAAATGGATAAAGACATGAAGAATGTGACAGAGAGGTTAGTGAAAACGAAAAAATTTCGATTGACAAGTCAGTCGGTATTCTCGGCACAGCAATTAACGGGACTTGAACAGCGGAACTTTGTAACTGAACAAGAAATTATGTCTTTTTATAAAATTAAAGAGAAATGATCACATAAAATGAAGCAACTTAAACAACTTACATTGAGAGAAATGTTTAATAAAGTAAACAAATTAATATTAATCTTTTTTTTTTTTTTTTGTAAAATTTTGATACCTTTTAGATCATAATTGTTCTTTATTTCATAAATTACGGTTTCATATTTTTAATTTTAGAATTTCTGCATGCCATCTTATGAGATTTAAACTGATAATCTATAATCCGGAATCGCCGAAGTCCCGACGAGTCCGGATTAACGACTTTTGACTGTATTCAGTACTAAACCCATACACCATGGAAGTTGGCAAGATCCCACCAAAATTGCACAATTCATTCCTACAGAAACCTAAAGGAACTGATGTCTCGTTAACAAGTACACACTTTATTTATTATGTAATCGAGAGATACAAATTACAAATTCAGCACAAGAAAAAACATGCATAAATATAAATTCAAGATTAAATATTTTTAGATTAATTGACAAAGAAAATTTATTAAAACCTGTGCCAGATTTCATCAAAAGCTATGTTTAGAACATCATGATTACAAACTTCTCGCAGATAACTGCTCCAACCTATTACTATTTTATTGGCTATATCCAGCTGTTCTTTTTCTCATTCAACAGCTTTAAACAGTTGCAAATGAACCACAGTGCAAATCACAAATATGATTTTACAACCTTCGAACCAAATTCATTTTCAAATGGATATTCTCATTACAATTTTTCCCATGCATTGTCATTGCTTATCCATTTTCAAATAAAGTACTATATCAAGCCCATTAATAGACACTTTTTTTATGGTACTGTAGAGTTCCTCACTCTTTTTGTACAAAATGGAAATGTCGAGGAACCTAGTGAAATGTTAAGTGACTTCAAATAACTAATGACGTAGACTCAAGAAGGTTAATTACCCTTGATTTCATTCAAAATAAGATGAACAGTTTGACCCTTTCTCGGGCTTACAGCAAAGCCTCCACTGGGACTTGAACTCAAAATAAGAAATAAGAACTAAACTCTAATTAACTAAGAGAGACTTAGCCAAAGCTAAACACAAGGTCTAACATAGTTGACCCTTAATTTAAACTAGCTGGTGAATATCAAAAGGGACGGAATATACGGCCGAGCGCAACAGCTTCAAGAGAAATTTAGCTCGAAGGCAACTTCAGGATTCCTAGCTCTCTCTCTCTCTCTCAAAGTATGTTGAACCTTCCTTAAATACTACTTCTAACTCATATGCATTCAAAGCAATTCTAAAAACTCATTCTGGTAGGGAGTTGTAAGTGGAAAAAAGAATCGATAGGAAAGCACATTGAAATAAAAATAACTGTTATAAAATACCTTATAGTACAATCCCCATAACTTTGAAAATAATTCACTGTTTACTGTTTTGTAAAAGATCTTAAATTTTATTCTTCCCCCCCCCACAAAAAAAGTGCAAGGGGAAAATACAACAATAACAATTAATTTATATCCTTGTTCATAAAAACAAAGGTGGCTTATCAAGAATCAGCCATGGTTACATCAAATTAAAGGGCAAACATTATGAACAAATGTGCTGTGATATCTTTCTTATCGATTACTAGAACTAAATTGCACTGCTTGGTGACAGTGTGACAACCAACAAAATAATACATAAGTACCAATTATTCTAGTTCAACATTAGATCTTAGTAAAAGACATAGTGATGCATTACCATCATCCACGAATCATGACAAGTAACCTATGTTATTAAGACATACTTTCATAACACTAATCAATAACTTTATTATCTTTCCTTGGTATATCATATTTGATGAGCTTAACCCTTTAACTGTTAAGTTATTTTGATGATTTGGGTACACAAATTGTCAAATTTTTTTATTGGAAAAACCAAATGTAGCCGAAATAAACATCTCCCGATATATATTCGGATATGACAATACGATGCACTCAAAAAAAAAATTACCCCGAGAAATACTCGGGCATGACATTTTCGAACACCAGTGCTGTGCACGAGATAATCTCGGGCATGACAGTTAAAAGGTTAAGAAGAAATTCTGCATCTTCCTTTCTATAGACTACACCAAATTCACTTGCTACACTTTCAGAAAAATTACAGAAAATATGCAATCTGCATTATACAAGATATGAATTTTTTTAAGAATAAATTAATAACAGATAACAATAGGTTATAATTTTAAAAAAATACTCTTAGAAGCATTAAAATTTGTTAACCCTCATAATTCATCCCAGTTCATTACCATTACTTTGCCTGGCTTATAGAACTTGCTTTGCTACCAATCTTCACTTTCAATAGATGGATGAATGAAATCTCTCCGTACATGAACATTTTAACATCTTCTGGGCCACTACTTTTTTATTCCCACATCCATTACCTAGTTATAATATTTTACTTTCTTATTTCCTATAACAATTTAAAAATAATTCTCATATTCTAAACCTTATGAAAACAAATAGCAATATAAATCACAGTGCAAATCAAAATAATAAATGCTGTATATTTTATGAATGAATAAAAAAAAGTTAGGGCATTTGGAGAGTTAAACTCCAATATTCAGTATTAAATATATAAGTAAATTTACAGGCATTTACACCAGTACTGTCAAATTATACTTATGTTGTTACTTTAAAAAGTGTCTTTTAATAACAAAATAATTTAATTTTTTTTTTGGAAAAATGCAATAAATACAAAATGGCAAGACATCTCAGCAACTAAGTTTTGCCATCTCATTTAACTCAAACTATCAATTAAGCACAGATAATTTAATAGTCATTAAATGAAAAAATATTAAATTATAGGTATTACTAAAAAAAATTCAAGTCCACTGTAGAATATTTAAGAAAGTCAGCAATCAAATTTCATTTAACACGGCGAGCTAAAAAACAAACGGGGATTGCTCTAAAAGTCTTCAAATTTGCTTCTTAGGTTATTGTTGCAATGAAAATTTGCAAGAACTTTACAGGCAAACTAGTCACATTTCTGCAATAGCTCGTTTTTAGTTAATTTAGCTTCTCTTATTCCAATTGAATTTTCATTCACTTTGATATATGCAACTTATAATTGCTTTTAAAATTATCAACAAAAAAACTACATGAATATAATTTGCAAGGAAAATTTTTAATTTTCTGTATAGAGCTGAAATGTAATTTTTTCAACAAGTACCATAAACCAAATAAATCCTTTAATTAAAATTTACCAAAATGATTTGATTTTCATGAATACTGAAAGATTAAAAATAGTTAATGCTTCACAGTCTTGACAGTTCATATTTGTACATTTCATTTCAGTTCCCTCAAGCCACCTTTTTCCCATGTACATACTAAAGATAAAAATTAAAATCCCCAGACCTTTTTCCAATTAAAGAGTACATCACCCAGATATTAATATAATTACAGGAGGAAATTTGCTTTACCCAAATACTTAAAAGCAAGTAAAAATGAAAAAACTTCAAAAGTTAATTGCTGCAGACAGCTGTTACTTAGATGAGGATAAAATTTACAATGTGTCTTAAAATATAAGGTATGTAAGAAATTGACCTTTGCTGCACTCAAAAGTTAATTGCTACAGATTTCTGTTACTGAGATGATGATAAAATTTACAAAGCATGTCTTAAAATATCAGATATGTAAGAAATTGTCTTTTGTTGTGTTCAAAAGCTAACAGAAAATATTAAACTTCACATCTAGAAAGAATAAAAAAAGGGGAGATTGGAATAAATTTTATTTCCTTGCATGAAGTAAAAGAAGTATAGTAATTGTGAAACATTTTGGTATCCACATTTCAGTGGAAATACAATTACCAGATACATTAACCAGTAATTAGCTATTTCAATGGAAATATTAATTTTACCATCCCTGAATCCACTTTAACTATTTCTTTGCGGCACGTCTGCATGCAGAGACAGAATAAATGATTCTTTATTCCAAAATGGATTCAAAATGGATGTTTTTCGTGACATCTATGCATATATCTTGCATAATACTACATATATTAACAAATAATCAAATTTAAGGAAGGACTATTAAGAATCCTGCACCTAGGCTGCAATTATTTAATTAAACATAGTTATAATTAAAGGGAAATACACTCCTATTAAAATTCTTATATTTCAAATTAAATTAACAAAGCTAATAAAGTAAAAGAATTATAATGAAAGTCTAAATTAATTCCAATTTACAAATTTGTCATTTTTCAGAAATATTAATTTTTTAAAAAAATTTTTTATAAGTATTAAATAGTAAAGTTAAATCGGCATGGAAAAATTGCTTTACTAGCAACTGACAATAGTCACCGAGTATTTAAATATTTACAGTAGATGGGCATTGAAAATGATGAAGCTTAGCAATCTAGTCACATCAGAGTCCGGGTGTGGTCGTAGGGAGTGGAAGGCAGCCGAATTGAAGACGCAGGAGAATTCCATTTTTCTAAAAACTCCATATCTTTATTCACTTAAAATAGCAGGCCACCAATTCTTTTAGATTCTCCAAGATTACATGTGATAGTAAATTAAACTAAATAGTATTAACTTTAAATTTACTGCATCAAACTATTCAATTGTTTGAATAGTTTAATTAATAGAAAGTTAATTAGAGGTTGCCTGTTTGCTTAGAGCAAAGCCATTGTGTTTTTTGTATTTTACACATACACTCTTGGTATTGCCAGCTGCAATATATATATACATACACACAAACACACACACAATACCTTACCCACTTAAAAGTCCTTACCCAGCTTTTAATTATCATTTTTATTGTTGGTCGTAAACATATATTTCCAATTAAAGAAGAGTTTAAAATGATACAAATATTCATACTTTGGCAATTTCAAATTTTAAAAAAGAAAATTAATTTTGGACAAATAATGAAAGTGAATTTTGAATGGGGTCTCCTGATTTCTGACTTATATTTGGGGAAAGGTTTATAATCATTATGAAAAATTAAAATCCAAGAGGTTTGACTTCTGACAGTAACAATTGGCGAGGATATTTAATTTCAAAACTGCAATTTTTTATGCCATTTTCAACTTGCCTTGAGGGTTCAGTTAATTAAGTTAGAATAATTTGATGAAATAAGTTTAAATATAATGCCACAAAAATTGTGTTTAATTTAATAGACATACAAGAAACAAGTGTCCACATTAGATTTTTTTATATATATATATATATACAGAAAGATGATGCAATTACTAGATATATTAACCAGTAATTAGCTATTTCAGTTTTTTGTGCCTCAAGTGCTAGATTTTTTCTCATTTTCTCAAAGACAATGAAGAATGGGTATCTTTATTTCTCTTGACATTTAAGCCTGCAGCCAGTTAAACATAATACATGTTAAATTCATTTTTTTATTATTATTATTTCCATTAAATCATCCCCAACAAAAAGTTTAGTAACTTCAATTACACCTTGGGGATTACTTGAAAATACGATAAATAGATACCAATAGGCCATTCTAAGTTCATTTTGCATCATATTTCATCCTTTTCTTATAGGTGAACAGTTTCTTAAAATTATAAAGTTCCAAAAGAAATACAAAAAGAATACAACATTATATTAGTATTGCATATTAAATAACTATAGCTTATTCAACAATTTGCATATTCAAATATATTTTATAGACAGGATATCTCCTCCCCAAAAGATAAAGCTTTTTTATTTGGATTTAAAAAATTTGTTTTTTCTGATGCTTAAGTTTTATTTAAAAAAGATTTTAAATTTCCATGAAAGATAAGCTATTAAATCACAGCAATATAACATATAAAATGCATTATAAACATTCTAATTCATAATTCTTACCCTAGCAAGGGCACCTTTAAGTTTCCAATCATGCCTTCCATATAAATTAGTGAAGATTCTGTCCTGATCTTTTAATGGCCCAAACTTTGTCTGAAATATTAAAATATTTTACAAATAATCAATTACATGTAACCCAAAAAATAAATAAAAATAAAAATAATTATATTTCCTGTTAGATAATAAAAATTCATAATTATTACTCAGTATTTCTATTATTAATAATCGGAAGATGCAAATATTTTAATTTAAAAATATTACTTGATACACGAAAAAATACTATTTTAATGATGAATTCATTAAAAATCAATTCATATGTATTAGAAACGTAATTCAATCAGAATTTATAGACACTGTTGACTAGATTTCAGATAATCACGTAATTTAAACTACATCTTTTCTGATTCAGCTGTAATCTCTAAACTATACGATATTACGTGTTCTGATGAGTTCAATGTTTGTTATTTCATAGCATTTCCCCCAGATCTTTTTCTTTCACTTTTTTTTTTAATTGTAAAGTCTATTAGATTTTCCAAATAATAAAATCACTAGTCAAGTTTTAACCAGGGTCAGTAGGGAAAATGATTGACTCCGACTCCTTTAATTTTAATGACTCCTCCCTCATATATATATTATATATATATATGTAAAATGTTGTATGATCTTAAATTCACTAGTGTGAAATCGAGTTATTCTACTACTTGCGCAATTGCTGCAAAGTTAGTTAATAATAATTTATTTACTAAAGAATATTGATTATATTATCTCCTAAGATTAATTTTAGTAGAATTATCTTAAAAGAGTGAATCCATACTTAGTAAGTTCAATTTCGAAAAAAGTTTTAAAGTAACTTGAATGTAAATTGTTAAAAATGTTTAACGAGGACTTGAATTAAATCATGAATAACTTACATCAGATATTAACTCAATCAGCAACTTACATAAGATATTAAAAAATTTTAAAAACTTTTTTATTACTAAAATAGATAAAGCAAATAATAACTTTAGCATTATATGAAAACAATTTTACACAGAAATTATTCACAAAGAACTTTTCAATGCAACTACTTATCAATTAGCCAACCTTACAGAAATATCTATAATAAAGAGTATTAAAACTTTTCATAAAAAACTAAATATTACTTTAAATCCAAGCTACAAAAGATTTACTAACCTATATGCACTTCCCAAATTCTATAAAACACCATTAAAATTCAGATTTATACCAAATGGAACTAATAATTACAACAAAAATGTAGACTATTATTTTTCAATTCAACTTAAAAAAATCTGTAAATTTATTTTCAATGATTGTAACACTAATCATAACTATTGCTGGATCATCCACAATAACACTCCTGTCAAAAAAAAAGGAGGGACAATTACTCCAGCGATATCAATTTTACTGCAGAAATTGCTTTTCATTCAAAATTGAATTAGTTAATGTTCAATCGAAATGCGTTCTTTGGTTCTCTGCATTGGTTCTTAATCCATTCTATTCACGGAAATGTTTGGCCTAACTTGAATTGCCGGTTTGGCATCACCTTATTGCTCGAGTAAAAGACGAAACACCTTCGTATTTATTTATTTCTTAATTAATGTTCATTGAACGGGAGTTAGTTTGTTCCCCTTGAAAAGTCAACTAATTTCTGATTAATGGCAATGATTACTTACTTGCATTTAATTTATTTATTTTTACAACTGAAATTTTGTTATTCATGATTTAATTCAAGTCCCCGTTAAACATTTTTAACAATTTACATTCAAGTTACTTTAAAACATTTTTTGAAATTGAACTTACTAAGTATGGATTCACTCTTTTAAGATAATTCTACTAAAATTAATCTTAGGAGATAATATAATAAATATTCTTTAGTAAATAAATTATATATATGTAAACATATATGCATGGGTTACAGCTTATTTTTTAATATAAATAAAGTAATAGATGCTACAGAAAAAAAAATTGATGGCTTAGCAAATTATTTATAGTAATTAGCATTTATTATGCAAGAGAAAAACTGGCATTAGTTATTTCTAAGAAACAGTATAGCTTCGGCAAGATCTTATTTGATGGAGGCCTATAGATCCGATTTGATAAACTTCAGAGCTGAGAAGAGTCGAGTCTTTCTAGAGCTGAGAAGAGTCTACTAACTTGAGTAGCAGGAAAATCTGTTACTGTTAGGGTTACTTCTTTTAACTTTTCAGGATAGATTTTTATAAGTTCTAAAAGATGTGTCTTGCAAGCGCAATCATATTTCTCTATTTCTTCAAAGGCTCTGTAGAAATCTTGTTTGTATTTTTTTTTTTTTTTTCATTTTTATACCTAAAGGCTCTTGATTCTTTATTTTCATTCACTTTGCCTTAGCCTTTTCAATATTATCCAAAAATATTTCTTAAAATCTAATTCATCACTAGAAGAGGATGATAGAGACTCAACTGCAATGTCTGCAGTTTGACTGTCCTGATTCGAATTCTCCAATTGCTCTGAGAATAATTTCATTCTTAATGAAAGTTCATAGATGACTTTCTTTGCCTTTTTAATTTGTTGATCATCCAAGAAAATTCGGTGTTTCAAATCTACATATATTGAATCCATCAATATATATGTAGATCTCATAGTCTAGCAAACTAGTTTCTCTTTTCTTTATTGAAGAAATGATTCCTTCTGCAATAAACCCTCCATTTCAGAAAGAACAAACATACCATTCTTCCATTCTCGCCTCCTGTCAATTCTTCAGATTGCAGCTTTTTAGTGGCTATACAGTCAAAAGTCGTTAATCCAGACTTGTCGGGACTTCGGCGATTCCGGATTATAGATCAGTTTAAATCTCGTAACATGGCATGCAGAAATTCTAAAAGTAAAAATATGAAACCGTAATTTATGAAATAAAGAACAATTATGATCTAAAGGGTATCAAAATTTACAAAAAAAAAAAAAAAAAAAAAAGCTTAATATTTATTTGTTTACTTTATTAAACATTTCTTTCAATGTAAGTTGTTTAAGTTGCTTCATTTTATGTGATAATACTTTCTCTTTAATTCTATAAACAGACATAATTTCTTGTTCAGTTACAAAGTTCCGCTGTTCAAGGTCCCGTAATTGCTGTGCCCAGAATACCGACTGACTTGTCAATCGAAATTTTTTCGTTTTCACTAACCTCTCTGTCACATTCTTCATGTCTTTATCCATTTTTTGCAGCAATTCCACTTTTTGTTTGTTGGACATCGAAACATACTCTCGTTTTGTAGATCCTTTGGAAGTTCCAGCATCGGAAATTCTATTTGACATAATCGAAAGTTCAAGTTTACATTTATAAAATGGCTCTTACAGTCTGCAAAAAATAATAAGCGGGATCCAATTCGAAGATTAAGGAACAACACAATCATTAACATTACTGAAATAGATAATTAGATAATTTTAGCTTACACCGTCCGTTATACATTAAACAGGCAGGCGAAAACGTATTCTGCAGTTGCGCACACGCATATGCGCAGTAGTCAAGGTCTTACGCGCATGCGTAAAATGCCTGTGCGCATGTGCCAACGCGGTGCATGCGCAGAAAGTTTTCAGCTTTGAGGTCCAGATTATAGATCATTCCGGATTATGGGTGTCCGAATTAACGACTTTTGACTGTATAAGGTGTAGAAAGAAGAGTTTCCAATTCTGTAAGATCATTCCACAGTCTTTCTGTTAGTGAAACATTAGGATTATTTACTTCTTCTAAAAAAGTTCTTAATTCTAAAAACTCTTCATCCTCAAATATGTACAATCAAATGTCTTTAATCCGGACTCGTCGGGACTTCGGCGATTCTGGATTAGGGCTTTTTCCGGATTATAGATCATCAATTTAAATCTGGTAAGATGGCATGCAAAAATTATAAAATTAAAAATATGAAACCGTAATTTATGAAATAAAGGGCAATTATGATCTAAAGGGTATCAAAATTTACCAAAAAAAAAAAAAGCTTAATATTTATTTATTTACTTTATTAAACATTTTGGCTAATCTTTGGAATAAGGTAACAGATAGTTTGGCAACATTTTGGTAAGACATTTTGGTTACTAGGTAACACTTTAGCGATAATCTGAGAAGTACACAGTTCGAATCACAGATTATTTTGTCTGAGAGAAATGAGAGATCATGAGACATTTCATGTGACATTTTCCAGAAAATTCCGATCGTGATTTTAGCTAATAAGCACTTAGAAACAATTTTGCCGCTAAAGTGCAGAATCGCCCACTTATTTGTTTGGCACTTTTTACAAGAGTAAGAAGAATTGGATTTTTGTCAGTTTTCTTTGACTTTTTAAGTGAAAATAGGTCGATGTGTATATGGATAAAGTCAAGAGTGTGCACAATGCCATTTTTGTGCAATTCTGAGATGTTTTTTTAAGTGAAAATAGGTCGACGTGTACATGGATACTGCATATGTGCAATTCTTAAAAACGCACGAAGCAATGGGCGATTCTGCACTTTCTCCCAATTTCGCACCTAATCTTCATCATGATTAAACACTTTTGTTCCATAAAAGTTCCATAAGTGTAATTCGGCTCGCAGATGGTTGGAAAAAATGTTGAGTAAAAAAAAAAACATGTATTTACTTTGTTAAAAACAAAACGGCATCCAAAAAAAAAAAAAAAAAAAACTAGCAGGTTGCTGTAGCAGGGTTGGTCGCCAAAAAATCGCCAAGTTACCATAATCTGAAGATTCACCACTATTTCTTTCAATGTAAGTTGTTTAAATTGCTTCGTTTTTTGTGCTAAACGCACATGCATAAACATTAAATGCGCATGTGTAAAGCATACAAAAAAAACGTTTGTGGCTTTGAGTCCAAATTACAATTCATTCTGGATAATGGACGTCCGGATTACAGTCTTTGTACTGTAACTGCTATTTATTATATAGGTGATGAATTAGGATTTTGAGATTTGATGAAAGAAAATGTCTTTCTTCTTTACCTTTTTTACCTTTATTCTGTTTTCATTGTTAATGCTACAAAAATCTCTTAAAGCTTTACCTTTCTTTTTTCTTTTTTTTTAAGAATTTGTACTTGTTTGGGGAGGGGGGCCATCAATGTAAACTAACTTCTCCTACTCCCAAAAATACATATATATCTTGCGAGTGTTTTTGTGCATACATGTCTGCATAGTTTTGTTTTATATCCTAAAAATTTTTGCCCAGTCTAAAAATTTCAGCTTCCACAACTACAATATTTAATTTTTCAAGATCCAATAATTTTCTTCAAATATAGATGTGAAATACTAATCAAAGTTTTGCTAAATACTTTTATTTCAAATACCATACGATCATTTTCAACAAAACAGTTAATTCATATAATGAAGCTAATATAAAATTTTGCTATGGTTGGAAAGTGAAAAATCCAATCATGTATGAACTTATCAGTAAACACATAGTTTAAAAAAAAAAAAAAAAAAAATTATTACAAAGTAGTTACTTATTCAAATTCTCAAAATACCTTACTTTGTATCCTCACAATTAACAAGGTTGCTGAATATATTTAACACATAATAATACAAGTTTTTTGAAGTTCTGAGTTAAAGAATGATAGATTATCTGAATTTATATACTATAACAGGGGTTCCCAAAGTGTGCGCCCCGGGGTGCCATGAAGTAAGGACAGGGGCATCTCACGGTGCCCACGTTTCATGTACATTAATACATTTCATTATTTTTATTCCGTTTCTTGAAACAATAGTTCCTTAAGTTTTTCTCAATACTTATATTTCAATTGTTCATCTAATACCATTTATTTAGTATATTTTTAACATCTTTATTTCTCCTTCCAATCTAAAGAATTTTTGCTCTTAATTTCTTAAAGCACCCTTTTATTCTATCACATAGCTCCTTCAATTAGCAAATAATTCTGTGTTTTGCATCAGATTTATATTCAATTCTTTTTACTTCCTTTCATAGGATTGCTATACAGTCAAAAGTCGTTAATCCGGACTCGTCGGGACTTCGGCGATTCCGGATTATCGATTTTTCCGAATTATAGATCATCAGTTTAAATCTCGTAAGATGGCATGCAGAAATTCGAAAATTAAAAATATGAAACCGTAATTTATGAAATAAAGAACAATTATAATCTAAAGGGTATCAAAATTTACAAAAAAAAAAAGCTTAATATTTATTTGTTTACTTTATTAAACATTTCTCTCAATGTAAGTTGTTTAAGTTGCTTCATTTTATGTGATAATACTTTCTCTTTAATTCTATAAAAAGACATAATTTCTTGTTCAGTTACAAAGTTCCGCTGTTCAAATCCCGTTAATTGCTGTGCCGAGAATACCGACGACTAACTTGTCAATTGAAATTTTTTTCGTTTTCACTAACCTCTCTGTCACATTCTTCATGTCTTTATCCATTTTTTTGCAGCAGCAATTCCAATTTTTGTTTGTTGGACATCGAAACATACTTTCGTTTTGTAGATCCTTTGGAAGTTCCAGCATCGGAAATTCTATTTGACATAATCGAAAGTTCAAGTTTACTTTTATAAAATTGCTCTTACAGTCTGCTAAAAATAATAAGCGGGATCCAATTCGAAGATTAAGGAACAATGCAATCATTAACATTAACTGAAATAGATAATTAGATAATTTTATCTTACACCGTCTGTTATACATTAAACAGGCAGGCGAAAACGTATTCTGCAGTTGCGCACACGCATATGCGCAGTAGTCAAGGTCTTACGCGCTCGCGTAAAACGCCTGTGCGCATGTGCCACCGCGGCGCATGCGCAGAAAGTTTTTAGCTTTGAGGTCCGGATTATAGATCATTCCGGATTATGGGTGTCCGAATTAATGACTTTTGACTGTATTTGTCTTCCGAGCATTGGCATCTGTTGACATTTCTTTTTTTAGCTCTCGACTGTCAATATTGAACTCATACGTGAGTAAAAGTCATACAGTCTTACACAGCTGTGAAAAAAAAAGTTGTGATCTCGATGAAATATTGCAATAAATCATCGAGTCCTTACTAATATTTTGCAAAATAAAAAGAATTTTATTAAATGAACAAAACATAGTAATGATAGTTTGAGTGATAAGGAATCGACAACAGGCAAAGAAGAAAAGAAGCAAAAATTTCATGACTATTAGGAGAGTTACTTTGATTTTTTTTTTTTTTTTTTTTTTTTTTTTTTTTACTTCAGTAGAAATAAACAAAGATGATACATGTGATGTCTGTTAAAAAAATCTTTGCACTCAAAACTATGCTCCCAAGTAAGCTAAAGCTAGATTTGACACCATTCCTCGTAACTTGGTTGACAAATCTTGAGTTTTTTTAATAAGATGTTGCAAGATTTACAAAATCAAAGTAGCCTATTCACTAACAAATGTTAGTTCCAAATAACGCACAGCTAGAGTCTGCAAAACGTAAACTGGAAAAAAAATCGCACAACATCGCAGAAGAGCTTATTCTACCGGCTGCTCTCAAGATGGTTAATATTATGTGGGAAAACTTGCAAGAAAATTCATTTCTAATATACCTCTATCTAACAACAATATAGTCGAAGAATTTAATGTATAACTCATCTCGGTGTTTACTTGATAGAGAAAATGAAATGTTGCAGTAAGGTTGCAGTCGGTTTGCAGTTAGATGAGGCTACTAACAGTAACAAAATACAAATCTTATATATTATGTATGTTTCCTGGATGGTAATATTTTTGTTGAAGATCTTCTGTTCTATAAGAATATAAGCACAAAGGCTTGATTTATTTGAAATGCTCGACAAGTTTATAATGGAAAATGAGTTAGTTTGGAAATAGTGTGTCAGTGTATGTACTGATGGCACTCGATTAGTGTTTGGTCGCTAAGAAGGACTGCAAAACACTTAATTGCAGCAAAAAGCACTTGCATTGAAACTGTGCACTTGCGCTGGATATGTCATAGACATGATAAACTACATAAAAATTAGCCCGCTGAAAGCAAAAGTTTTAAAAACGCTGTACTAGGACATGAAAATTGAACACACGGCCTCTTTATTCTATTGCAGTTCACAATGGCATTCACATGGCAATGTCCTGTCTCATGTGTTTGAGCTGCATCAAGAACTTCACACTTTTCTGCAAGAGGAAGGTCAGGAGATTGCTAAGTATTTTCCCGAACCAGACATTTTGCTAAAACTAACATATTAGTGTGACATATTTGAGAAACAAATTTAGTTAACATATTTGAGTCTTGAATCTGTCACTGCAGGGCAATGTATGCACATCTTGAAACTTGTAGAAAAGATTTCAGAATTTAGAAAAAGTTGCATTTGTACATAAGAAAACTGAATGACTGGGTGCTCAAGGCTGTTTTTCTACCTTGTACCAATACACAGATTCTAATAAAGTCATTGTTCAACAGAAATTTCTGTCCCCTTTCATGGAATACCTCTCAAAGCTCAGTATTTGGTTCACAAAATACTGTGCGGGAGATAATGTAAAGAAATGTATGTTCATATAAGATTTTTTTCATCAGACGAAGAGAGTTTAATTAAACCCTTTTGCGATAACATTCTAAAAATGAAATTTACTTGCTCAGATTTAATGGAGTTTTAAATCTCAATCAAAACTGAGTATCCTATTTAAGTTCTAAAACTCTAAGGAGCCTCATTTCCCTTGCGACATCCTATCTACGCGAAGCTGGATTTTAATCTGATGCTGTATTAAGGAGCAAACACCATTTGAGAATCATTGTGGAGTAAGAAATGAAAATAGCTGTATCAAGCCTTCTTCTGCAATTTGAAAAACTGTGTGGGGATCAACAAGCTCACTTGACACATTGACTTCCTAATCTGACAATGAAGGTTTCTTTTATTTGTATTTAATTTGTATGTTTCCTTATCAATTAAAATGATACTTTTTCACTAAAATGTCGCTTTCATTTATGTGTTTGATTAACACTGTGGTAAAAATATTACAACTGGAGCGCCGTGGAAAAATAACAAAACTATAAGTGTGCTGCATATTGAAAAAGTTTGGGAACTCCTGTACTATAACATGAATTTATAATCTCCAATTAAAACTGAAAATGAATTATGGATAAAAATAATACTTCAAGCTTACCTTCTGAGGTGCTTCTCCAGAGTTCCATCTCACCAGTGCATAAACAGGGCTTGGATTAAAATGTCCTGAAAAACAAAATATATTTCAGATTCATAAAGTGTATTAAATAAATACACAAAATAGCTCAGAATTTCAGGGAAGGAAAGGAAATATAATTTATCATGTATATCATATATTTAAATTGGTTTAATCCTAATATATGGTACATGCAGGATTTCGCAACTTTTCGTGACATTATTACGAGTGGTGAATGCAACACTTATGATGAGCAGTAATGAGTCATTTCAGTGTTGGCGAAAATTTTCAAAATCACGCCAAGGCCATTACCATATGCTAGGACTTTACATTTAAATGTAACTAAATATCCAAGACTCGTTACTGAATAAGTATACATAATTTTATAAAATGCAATAAATATTTAATTACTAAAACCTACCAATGTAAAATAATCATTTTACTTTGATACATAATAAAGTTTTGTATATGGATACATGTTACCACATAACATCTCATAAACAAGTATTTTAAAATTGGATAATTAAGACACATCTTTCAATTTACATTAAATGTATCGTGGACATTTAAAGGATTTTGTTTATAATTTCTTCCGTTTATATATGTATATATATGTCTAAATACAACTGGAAGGAATAATAAAAAAATGCATTCAAATTTATTAATCAAACATAATTCTCAAAATAATTGGAGAAACTTGAATATCAAATTGTCAATGAAGAAGAGAATTTCACTTTGTTCTGCATGTGCCTAACCAAGTTCCAATGAGCCATACAATATTGTACAGTTAAAGAATATACAATGCTCTTTCACAGGTATAAAGTCACAACTGTAAAACTAATTGTGGCTATTTTCCATTCTGTAGCTACAAAAAGCTCACATTAGTAATATTTTGCAGCAAATTTCATGAATAAATTAAAAATAAGCTTTTCTGTAATTACATTAACTCTTTAAAAACCAAAGCCTTAAATTAACTTGTATCTTAAAAAAACGAACTGCCCAAAATAGATTTCGAGAGTCACAACTATTTCCTCCCCTTCCCATCCATTAACCCACAAAGAAAAGTGAAGATTTCAAATGACATCCTTTATATTTCTAACAAATAAAGATAAGAAACCATAAATAAATCCTTTTAGAACAAGCTGTCTGCAATTAACTGATGCAATGCATTTGGGGACACTGCACCTGCTACTGCATGCCTTATGGGAGGGAAGAAAACATCAGAATTTCCGGCGTTTAGGGCGGTTGTGATCATTTGAATGAAAAGCCATCTGGGCCAATGTGGTCTTCCATGAGTTAAGATGGCCTTGATTATTCCTTCTTGGAAAAGTTTGACTTCAAGAAATAATACTTCCATAGATCTTCATGTCTTCTTTCACCAGCCCCATATAATTTCATTCCAGCTTTCACAACTGCAATGAATGATACAATTGGGATATGTTTTTTAAACTTAAAAACTTCAAAGGAACTTTTCTACATGACTTTTAAACATTTATTTGAAATCACACCACATATTCTAATTTACATACAGATGTGTACGATTCTAGTATATCTCCTATTCTCAACCCATATTTTTCATATTTTAAATTTATTACAATAGAGCACATTATAGTTACCAGCCTAAGGGCAAGAATGCCTTAGTGGAAGTCTTTCTAGAAGAAATTTAATCACTTTACACATGACAAAAATCACAAATGCAGTCAACCTGCCAGCATTTGAATCAGGGTTGAACTGCCAGTGTTTAAAGGTCTGAACCACTTAGTTGCTGGTGGGTGTGTAAAATATAATTAAGACTGCCTTATAAAATGTTATATTTTAGATTCAATTAATCAGACATTCCCTTAATTATTTTATACACTATTGTTATTACTGTTGTTTTCCTTTACTTGCATAAGAGATTAAGTGGATGTCTTTGTGGCAAGCACTGATCTTTCATGTCGAATACTTAACCAAATGGCTTCACTATCCCAAAATAGGATTTTTCTGTTTCTTGCTCTGTATGTGTTTTCTAACTTCAGTTTCTAGCATTTTGCATAATATTAAAATATTTTCATTAATCAAAGCGATCCATTAATTGTCTTAATACAAGATCTATAAATAATACACTCACCTTTTATAATGAAAAAACGTGGGGAATATTTTATAAATAATAATAAAAAAACATGGAAGACATAAATTGGGATTAAAAAGAGACAAAATGGAGAATTTTATCTTACTCATATTCCAGTCCGTATTTACCATACCATAGATATCACAGATTAACTATGCAAATGAAATAGTTGATGACAATCTTCTTAAAAGAAGGACAATCGGCTTGTTTTCTTGTTAACAATCTGCTTGATTTTATTAAGAATTTAAGCTGATATTTATATTATAAATCTGAAAATGTATAAAACTTATGTGGAATTTCTTCCACAAGCAGGAATAAAGAAAATAAAACTTCTACTGTTTTGTCATTTTAACCACTGTAGGGCTGATAGAGTAGTAACGAGTATAATAAAATTTATTTCTTCATAGTACTATTAAACCTGATTTCAGTGTCACAAGATTTATTACTTTAAATCTGTTGAATGATTTTTCTCTCAAAAAAATTTGAAGGGTGTCATTTTTTTAATCCACAAAATTAACCAAAAAGAAAGAGATCAGAAAAGAAAAATTATCAATATATTATATACCGAACTAATTCTAGAATTTAAAACTATGTTTCTTAGAATATAAATATCAGGAATTTTCTTCTCTTCCTGACTAGAGAATCATGCAGTTTTGCGTGAAGCAATAATTCAATCTAAAAGTAAATCACTTGAAAATTTCAGAGATGACTTATTACATAACAATGTCGAATGCCAAATTCAAGGACTTTAGCTATGAATATTTCATCTTAACAAGCTTCTGTATTAACATTTGTTGTAATTTTTCTGCATAATAAATATGATGTTAAATTTATAGCATTTTATTCACCTTTGCAAAGGACAGAATTCACCAAAACTCTGCCACTAGATGCCATCGTACTATTCGTCTGTTGATGCCAAAATATTAATAAATCGGATATAGGAAGTAGACAGCTGTTGCCATCAGAAAGGAAGATATCCTAAGTCGTGCTTTCACACACTCAGATCGTATTTTATTCTGAAGTGTCTAGATGTAGGAACATCTTTTTACAAGCAATCTGGAAGTAAGCATAGTGTAGAAGGAGGTGTGGGAGGGGGGAAAGAGAATCAGGTACGCGCTAGTGCAAGTAGAGTCGGTGTTGGCTAGTGGCGGCTAAGACTACTATAAAGTGCTAGTAGCTCTAGCGACGGCGAATTGGGGGGGGGGGGAGCTCAGTGTCGTTACAAGATGTAGCAGTGGGATTACGTTGAACTGCGGTGCTTAACCACCAGGGTGCCTGGGCGCCATAGCCCTACCCCTCATCGAATAAACATGATAAAAGTTTTGAATTATGAGAAATATAACTGAATGTGCTAAATAATTAAATGAGCAAGAGTTTAAATTCATAATTGCTAATAGTTAAATACATTTTTTTTTCCTTAAGTACCTAATTACTAATCCATACATAATTAACTATTTTTTTAACAACTATTTCACAGAAGAATACATGTACACACAAGAGAAACAAAATACGAAGTGCGACAAAGTGGGAGAAAAACCGTAGAGTCACTTTAGTGTGAATGACTCAATAAAAGTTGTAATTCTGAAATGGGTAGCATGTCACATGGGTATCAGTGTTTTTCACCGGGATGCGGAGAATGTATGAGAGTGCTAATAAGGCTATTACTGGGGGTTTGAACTGAATGAAAGAAGCTGACCACTAATCGCTTAATATACTCTTGAAGAGACGTGGAAAAAACAAGTTGAATTTCGTCAATCGGCTTAGTAGAACGGGAGATATATAACAAATAAAAGGAGGGGTCCTTTTATTTGTGCGTGCATGCGTCTGATCGCCTCGAATCTGATAGTTATTCAAAATCTACGTCACACTAAAGTTGCTTTTTTGTCTAATTTTAAATGTCTGACTAATTTTAAATAATTGACGAAAACATGTTTGTAGTTTTTTTACATAATTCCTTACTTGGTGATGTTTCTCGGTTATTTGGCAATTTTTTTAATCTATTTGGCGATTCTATCTTTTACTTAGAGACTTTATTTCAATTTAAAAATTTCATTCTATGATAATTTGATCATATTAACTGAACTGTTAATAGCCGATGTATTTTCCTTCTTTTCGTATTGTACTACCGCAGTTTGATAACAATATCCGAATGATAACGTTAACCGCGATCACATATAGTGTTGCAACTCTCAGGGCTACAACGTGCAGGTTACAAATTTAATACGAGTAATCACAGCAGGGATTATTAATATAAAGATTTTAATATGGATATCTCATACAAGCTGGAAAACATGGCATTACTATGAGAATTGCACACATATAACTGAGTGAAAAGGGAATTTCCCCGCTTAGTTCGCAGTAAAATAAAAATAAAAAAAAAATAAAAAAGAATAATAAAAATAGTCCAATCAAATGCGGCGCTCCTTCTATCGACTTCGCCCAGCCGTTACGTAATCGTCTGTCTGCAGCAGCTGTCTCCAACATTCTCCTCCTCTTTGAGTCGATTTCAGGTTGGTTCAAAGACATACAGTACCATTTTCGAAGAGATCTAATCTCTGAGACACCTTGATCACACGTCCAAATCTTGAAACTTTAGCACCTTGCAGGATGTTACTAAAGTCATTTGAAGAGTCATTAGAATCTGAATGCTCATCACTAGAAATAGAAGAAATAGGATTAGTAAAAGAGTTATCGTGTATGGGATCAGTGGGCTTGTTCGTTAACTGCACTTCCAATGGAAAAACTCGCTGAATGGGACGAAGCAGCGTACCAGCTCGAGTCTTCAGTTCTACAGTTCTCACCTGGCAATCTTTTCCAGGAATTAGTCGAATGACCTTAGCTAAAGGCCAGTGCATCCGTGTTTTGATTTTAGGGTATTGGGATCAACTACTTTTGGAACACATCCACATATTTTGTTTTGAGAAAGTACTTCAAAGTTCTGGTCATACATGCCCTCAAAATTTCTCAGATTTACATCAAACACTAAATGGGAATGAGGACTTGTCTCCCTCTCCCCAAACAAACCGTGTATAATGGTTTGTTTCGATTTAGGACGCAGTTGTAAAAACGCGATGACCCTTTCTGAGAGATAAGATTTCTGAGAACCACTGTCCAACATCGTACGAACTGTAAGTTGTCTACCTTCGAATACTATTTTTAAAACAAGAGTTTGCAAATACACATTTTCATTACCAGTTGACTGATTAGACAATACATTACTTGAAATAACAGTACTGTCAGTCTCATTTGGCTTTACAGGTTCGCCAGTTGAGCACATAATGGTATAGTGAAATTTATCACAAGTTAAACATATATTTTCTGAAAGCTTATATCACAAGTAGAAAAACTGTGAAGTCGTAGGGGCAGAGGGACAAGCGTTTAGGAGCTATAGAATTCACAAAGTATCATTAAGTGTGAGGCTAACGCTTTTGCAAAATGTGCCCACTTTAATTGTCTTTCTGCTCGTCTCAATGTTTATTTGATGAGTTGCACATTGATTGTCTCTTGTAATAGATTTTGTTCGAAGTCGAGAACAAGTCAGATTTTCAACATCCCAACGCATATTGTCGTTCCAAAGACTTGTTTTTCCCTTTATATTGGGATCTTCACCCTCTTATCATATTATTAGTTAATATAAATACGTGAAACGAGCATTTTAGCGACGTTTGGTTTCATGTTTCCAACATTTTACTGGTACTTTGTGGGTCTTATAGCTCCTAAATGGTTGTCCCTCACAGTTTTTCTACTTGTGACATAAGCTTTCAGAAAATATATGGGTTTCCGGAAAACCGGTATCAAAGCAGAGAAGGTTCACGTGTCAGTTTTGGTTGTTAGTTCAGCGTGAGTTCGGAGTACTGAGATATCTCGGTGTTAGCTTTCTAATTTGATGCACTTGGCATTGCGTTTTGTTTAACGTTCTTAGTAGTTTGAACTATATAGCTACTGATTGTACAATGTGATTCTGTGAACACCTGTACGAGTATTTCTGTGGAAAATCCCAGTAGTCTGAAATGTTTATCTTGATAAAATAAATTTTATCAGATAATTGTTTTTATTTATTTTATTAAATCAATTGCGAACCCGTACGTGCCTAACTGTTTTTGGTACATAGATAGATGGTTTTAGTGCTTTTATACGTGAAATTATTGTATTTTTCTTAATGTAACATAAAGAAATTTAGAGACAAAAAAATGGGGGGGAAAGGCGGAAACGTAAGAATTCAGGAGTATGTCTATTTAACATTTAGTAAATGGGTATGTCGGTAAATTGGCGAGATATCGCCAAACTGGCAACAATTTTGGAAACTAATTTTTGTCGCCAAATTTGGCGAGAAATCACCACTGGTCGCCAAACTAGCCGACATTTTGTCCGGTGCATATATAGGTATTGTAACTGAATAATTCTAATTTATTTCATGTGTAACTGTAACTGTATTTGGTCCTCATATATCATCCAGTAATTTCGAGAAGCATTAAGTACTGCAACTATTTCGGTTATCGAGTGAAACTATATAAGGCCAGAGAGAGCTACTGCTCTCAGTTACTGGGAAAACACCTGTATCACACCTGTATGTCTGTCTTCATTGAACGTGAGATACGACCGGACTCAAGACTGTGCATCTTCCGAGGATGGATACTTCATGTTTCCTGCCAAAATTACCGCTCTCCAGTTTACTTATTTATGGACGTGAATTACTTCTACCTCTTAGTCGTGTCTTTTGTGTACGCAATCCTATGGACTATGACGCTGCATTACAAATTATTCCTATCATCAAGGAAGCTCGTGATTATCTCGTTGCTCTGCGAATGGCATGATTAAGAAACTGAAACCTTATTATCTCAAACTCTTGGCCAACGGACTTGTTAATGTAACATTAACAAGTTCGCTTCGTGAAAAAGGTGAAACCTACATCGCCAGCATCGACCACCCAGAAGCCTGCCTAATTCGCAAACGTATCGAACCCTACCCAATTATTCCAATTCCTGCGGATTGGGATAAACGAAGTGCCGTCATTGAAAACACTGAAGCTGCTCCCGAAAATGAGTTCATCACACCGAAGAAATTCGCAAAAATTAATAGTTCTGAATTAGCCCGCAGCTAGAAATGAACAACCAATTTAGTGCCTTAGTTATTGATTAAAGCATGGATACTACCGCTAGTAGTAACGTGGAAAACGTGCTTCCTGCGCCCAGCCTCAGTAAAGTTCTCCACGTGAGGATTAACACGAAAGATAAGCATCACCAGATACTTTCTCATAAGGTGAAAAGACCGAAGCCAAGTTTATTGGAAAAATTTTCCCTCACTGTTTAGGTGTAGAACCTGAGACGCTTAATGAGTACAATTTAATTGTGAAATTCCTTAAACCAACGTTCTATCGGATATTTTCTTATCAAGATTAAATTTGTCTTGATTAAAATTGTGATAAAAGGATTACCTGGTAATACTGATGTGGATAAAATTCATCATGCTCTGTCGTTACTCCACTTTAAAGTGCACATCTTCGGAATTTTAAGACTAAAGCTCCACTATCGATTTACCAAGTGCAACTCCTAACCAACGCCAAATGCGGAAGATATTTATAACATTGATCGGCTTCCGCACTTTGCTGTTAAAATCGATAAGTTTAAACTCAGGAATTTTGTTTACTACAACTCCCAAAAAATCGGACATTCGTCAGATAGCTGTGAACACCCCTTCGATGTATGAAGTGTGCCAAAAATCATCTCTCCTCGGAGTGTGGCCTGAAACGCACTGATAAACCAACCTTCTGTAACTGCTCTCAAAAACACGTCAGTTCATTTCGTGGAGGTGAGTATTTTAAGAAGTTTGCTAAAAATCCGCACTCTGCGCATATTCGCACAGGAATTAACTACGCAAATGCCGCTAAACCCAAAGTTATTCTTATTCCTACTCAGCCTGTTGCCCTCAGCACTGATGATAA